CTGTAAAGCCTACCTCGCCTCACCACTGTGGCGGCCAAAATCGGCCGGCCACGGTCCTGAGTGCTGGCCGTAAATGCAAGATTGGTTGGCATCGTTTAATTTCTTCCTCGCTCTCTGGCAGAGCCACTTTCGGCGCCTGGCGCGCCATGCCTTTGCCGCTCCCTCCCGGTCCCCTTTTCGGCCCTCTCGATTCATGTCGTAGAATCACGGTGCTGATTGAGCCGATTGTGCGAAAGATGTATGTAGACCTCCTGATACGCCGAAGAGCCCAACGTGGTACCCAATGCAACAACGGGGAAGCGTGATGCATTACCTCTCCTCGGCCGCTCTCTTCGCCCGTCCACGTCAAAGCTCTCCAGCATCGGCTCATCCAGCTCTCCGCAACGACAAGACACGGAGAAAAAAAAAAGTAAAACAACGAAGAAGAAGATGCAGGCCGTTCCCAAAGCAGAAGGCCAGCTCATCATTCCATTGCGGCTTCTCCGGCCGGAGCTCCACGGCCTCGATGGCTCAGGCGTCCTTGCCTCATGCTTCGCGGTCCCTCTTCTTCACCGTCACTTAGAGGACACAGATTCGTCCCCTTCCCTCATCGCTGTGTGCTTGCAGGCCGCCTGGGACCGGTGGCGGAATCATTCCAGCCCGCTAATGTCGGCCCCGTGCTGTCTCGGCCACTCGTGTTCCTGAAAGCCCCATATCAAAGACAACCCGGCCCTTGTCTTCTTGCCCTCCATGTGAGTTGTTTGCGCTAGTCCATCTTGCCATAGGCACTCTCCTGCAGCTTTGTGGATGATTGCAGCTTGTGGATGATCGGCGATTCAGTCCGAGCTTCACTCGCGACTCCATCTGCACCTGCTGGGCGTATCCGTAGAGCCCATAGACGCTGGTCCTGCGTCCGTCAACGCCACAACCCTGGTCCAGAGCTCTCTTGCGTCGCACCAGCTTCACAAGTGTCAACTGCGTGGCAAGTTCCTCCGTCAAAGGGCCCTCCTTCGCCCAAGAGTACAACGTATAGCATACGGGCTCCGTATCTCAGAGCGTCTTTTGAGCAGGCACAACGCGGTTCCGTTTCGCGGTTCATGTCCCGGCTCCAGCCAAGGCTTGATAGCTGGCCTGTTGATCGGCGTGTGTGTCTTGCCGGGGAAGCAGTGACACGCCTTCCGATCCAGTTGGCGACTTGAACCCCCCCCTTGTGTCCGATTCACGCACACACGCACAGCTCATTGACGCAGTGCTTCCCAATCCAAGCCTTGCCCTGGGTCCTCGGGTTTCGCCCTTGGCGTTTCCTTTTCGTTCCGAAACGGTGTGTGTGCGTGCGCCTGCTGTCAAACCCATCCTTCCCTGCCCTCTGGCCCTCCCCCCCCCCTTACAACGCCACATCCACAATTAACGAATGCCCCCCCGGAGAATAGAGCCGCGACAGGGGTTTGGATTCGTTCATGATATCCTTGTGGACTGTGCCCTGTATACACATCATTAACGTAGATGGGGTCAGCTAGCAGGACCACCAAGCTCATAGGGCCACTCGAGTTGATCGAACACTCCCTTCCCCCCCCCTTTCTACCTGGGCCAGTCCACATCCTCCTAAGCATAAACCCTGAATTGAATGCTGATGCAGTTTGCCGTGCAGTTTGCAAATGGCCACCCCCGGGAACCAGGCTGCTTTGCGTCCAGACGAGTGTTGCCACGTTGGCCAGATTAACACAAGCTCGCTCTCCTGGCTTCCTGCCCCCGCTATCAAGCTTCTGCTGTGCTGACGGTCCATACGTCAAGAAGACGTGCAAAGTACCACCACAGAGTAAAAGAAACGCACGTCTCCAGGTATACTTTTATCAGAGGATCCAAGCTGCGGCGTGGATATGGAGCCAACCATGGCCCTTCTGGGGCATCCGGGATATTCATGTGAGTCGCGAGGCATGCATAGACCACCCCCCATGCATGCCCATATTTGAAAGAGAAGCCGTCGTCGTGTACGATTCTAATAGGACGTCGTGAAAAAGTAAGAAGAGGGAGAAGAAGGCTAAACAGCTGCAGCAGAATTGGTTGTTCCTCAAATGGCTTACTATTTTCAAGATGCTCCATACTTCGCGCGGGTGGAGGTCCGTTGAAGCAGTCAGTGCTGCCCAGACAAAGAAGATGTAGCTCCGTAGCCGCGGTCCAAATATCGCCAGCCCGACTAGGGCATCGTGCATCTCGTCCAACCCCATTTGGCGCGGCAGAGTAAGAGAAACAGTGAGAAAGAGGCCGTCGAGGGAGTGACATGTGGAGATGTTTCTGAGAGCCGCATTCGCAGATGCTGTGTGACCAACGGACCCTGCTGCCTTTGCTGTTCCTGGCCGCACGTCCAAATCGTTCTTATGAAAGCTTCATATCGTGGCGCATCCGATCCGAGCAGCATGACCGTAGATTGGAGACTTTCGACAATACCGACGGAAGGCGTGACAGTATGGAGGGCGTGATAGTATGGGAGAAGTACGGGGGATCTCCGTGTACCGTTCATTGGATGGCGTATCAGCGTTTTGTTCCGGCAGGTAGTGACCAAGTGTGGCCCAATTCCCTTTTGTCCCCGTCTGTGTTCTGCTGTTAGTTCGCACAAAGGCTAGAGGGCTGAACATGGACTTCCCCCTTTTTGGACGATAGACACTCAAGCATTCCGAAACAAGCGATGACACATGTGCTGAATGGGCAATCCGGATTGTTTGTAGATGGCATTCGCTCTCACGTACCAAGTACCGAATACTCCCATGGGACGGGCAATATCCACAGTAGCTATCCGTCAAGCTTTCGTCGACCCCAAGCTTGGAGCTCGCTTTGGTGCCCTCCCAGGCTGGTTTCCCGCTACTACAGGCATGGCCAGCACGGCCACACTACCGGCCACTTGCGGAACGAACGAACCAAGACCCCAGCATTCACCGAATTCGACAACCTAGAACCCATACCCAGGCGGTCAGGATCCATCCCCCTGTTCCATGACACTTGTCCATCCTCGGGACGAACCATAAGAGAAGACCCACAGTGGCCGCAGATCGAGTCGCCCACTTACTTGCTTGTGGTGGGAAAAAAGTAGAGGGAGAGGGCATAAGGAAAAGGCCCCCAAACAAGCCAGTGCCTGTTGCCTTTGTGGCGAGGACAGCAGGTGTGTTTGCTGGTTGTGGCATGCGCGAGCAGACATCGAGGGGCTCCATGCGGTGTATCAAAGCGCTGTCGTGCTGCAGTAATCGTGTTAACAAAAAGGGAGTTCAGAGCTAGAAGAAGGAGATGGTATGACGGAACTGGCGGTCTTAGTTCAAATGAGAAGGCGAAGGATCCAGCAGGAACTGGGAAGACTTTGATGAGAAGCAGCCAGACTTACTGTGGCGAAGGGCATATCTTCAATCTGCCCTTCCTTTGCGTCATCTCGGTCCTGAAATTGGTTCGCCCGCACTCCCCCATTCTCTGTGTGCGGACGAGTTGCTTCCCCCTGTCTCGGAGCTTTGTACGGAGCGCTTTGACAAAAGGAAGTGTGCAGGTACACGTTCGTGTACGAAGTAGCAACAGCAGCGACAGCAGGTTGAAAGAAGCAAAAGAACGCGGGGACCGTCTGATGGATTTCTCTCTCTACAGGCAGCCTATGAGGCTGGACCAACGTGGCAAGCTCCTCTGCAGGCTCACGAGCACAGCACACCCCAGGAGGAACCCCCCTTCCCAAAAGTGGCCAAGTGGAGGAGGAGGAGGAAAGAAGTTTAGAAGAAAGGGGAGATATGGGGAACGCCAGATCACATGTGTCGGCCCAAGCAATTGAAGTTGGGCAAGTTCTCGGGAAGAGGTGGTCTCCCAGTCAGCAATTTGTGATGGGTTAGGACAATTGGCTGTAGGAGTAAGTGCGGCCTTCGACCGGGGAGGGTTGGCGCGCCAATTGCCAGCAGTTCGGCATTTGGAGATGAGGTAATGAAGTAAGTAATAATTCCAATGGTAGAAAAGGCCAAGTGAGGCAATGGGAGGCAAGGGGATGCCATGTACGTCGCCAGCCCATGGTGGTGTTCTGCATCGAGGTTACCTTACCTCCACACCAATCCCCCCACACGCACACACGCACACACACGCACACCTGCACACGCACATTTTCACTCCCACCCCCGTCCTTGGGAAACCAGGAACGTGCTACGGGATACGCCATCGCACAGCAGGCAAGGGTGTGCCACTGGGTCGAAAATGAAAAGGGGGGTGTGTGGGAGAGGTAGGGCAACTGGCATGTTGGTATAGGGCAAAACGTACGGATACCCAATCCACGTATCAAAGCATCTTTTTTTTATCCCGCAGGAAGCAGGACGATAATGACGAAGTTCGTTGGCCCGTGTAGAGGAAAGCTGCTTGTTGGTCGCTGGAGAGTCCCACCGAGAAAGGCTTGGGTTGTAAAGGTGCCGGATGGTAAAATGGAAAAGACGAGGGTCGAATGGAACAGCTGTTGATCAGACTTCCAGGCAAGTATAAGTTAGCTTGGCTGTCCCCAATGGCGAGATTCAAGAAAGCTGCCAGACTTACCAGCCAGGCCTTGGAGAATAAAAGACGCCCGAGTAGCAAAAGAAGGCGAGTGTCCTAAATTTCCAACGTCTGAAGCCGTCAACCCTCGTCAACCGAATCTACAAGCGAGCGAGTCCCGACAAGACTAAACGGGGTGCCCTGCATCAAACGATTCCGGCGCTAGTCTGGAAATTGCGTCCTCCGGATCGTCTTTGTCTATTGTAGGTGCCGACTTGACAATCTTTGACATCTCAGTAGCATCATCATCTTCCAAGCTTGGGACTGGAAGAGGGATTGCCTTCGTTGTGTCCAAGGGGGGTTCGGGGCTTGAAGAAGGTTGGCCCTGTCTGGCAATGTCCATTTGCTGATGCTGTTGGATCGCAATGCAGTTTTCTCTCTGTCTCCCTGTCTCTCCTCCTCTTCCTCTTCCTCGTCCTCGTCCTCTTTCCCTTCATTCTCTCCGTCCTTATACTCGATCGACGCCACCCCTCGACGGAGAGACCATGTGTTACTTCGAACAGACTCGTTGGAGTTGCGGCTACTGGCGTTGGGGCCACTTCAAGCAGCAGTGCAACAAGGAGTACCGAATGGGCGAAACATGCGGGCTCAAGCTGGTCTATCACACAATTCCCGATCCGGACGTCTGCAGATTATGCCACGATAGAGAGAAGAAGGAGCGGCGCCTCAATAAGATGATTGCAGACGTGGAGCGTTGGAAGCAGGAGGGCAATCGCACTGCCACCATCGAAAGGACAGAGGGCGAAATGGCAATCGTCCAAGAACAAATCTGCGCAATGAATAAGGAACATGCGCTTAGGCAATTTTCGCTGGCTCAGGTAAGAGAGATGGCCCCCCTTCCCCCCTTTCTTCCCCACCTGTTTTTGAGAAGACGGTATACAAGACACAGGAGAGAATTGGCAGAGAGCAAACCACCGTGGAGAAAGCGACAAGCTTCTGGCTAACACTTCCTCTGCTTCAGTGATAATGGCAGGGGGGGAGAAGTCAGCTTACAGTAGACACGGCCTCAAAGTCAAAAGGTTCGCCAGCGGATATCAGAGGCCAGGCTCGACGCAAGAACCGAGCCACCCTTGGCGCAAATGGCAAACCATGGAGAAGGATAAACAGATCCCGGTCCCGCGGAAGGAGTATCGTTTTTTTTCTTTTGGTTCCAAGGCTTGCTAATCCACGGACGACGTTCGCTGTTCAGTCCGGGTCGTCTTTTCATTCATCTTTCTGCATTTTCAGCATGGCATGGTGCTGGGCACATGAGAAAAAAAAAAGCGTCTTTTTTATGTCGGTTAGAAGGGCACGAGCTTGATCGAACTTCACTGTATAACTGGTGCGATGGATCTCACGAAGAAGCGTCTGGTTGGAATTCCTCGTTTTGCTTCTTCTGTTCATTGGGTTGCGGTAGCGAATGGGTCGTTTTGCACTCCTTTTCTTGCTCTTGAATAGATACCTAGGCATTGGGATCCTCTAAATGACATGTTCCATGTTCTGTCGACTTTCTGAAGCGCCTCTTTCGGGGCCCTGGGCTGAGAAGGGCGCAGAATTCGTGTAATGGTGGGTTGGAAAGAGTTTTGTGAGTGGGCCAGTGCTGCTACTGCAGACGACTGGGGGCATTTCGAAGGCCTCTTGGCGGGGTGAGGGTTGAATGTGTGGCAATGTCCATCGTCTGCTTGATGTGATGGAGGCCACTAGTAGGGGGATAGCGTCCATGAATCGACGTCACGTCCAGAGGCAAAAGTTGGAATCCCGATAAATCCCCTTGATGCTGGTACAGACCGCGGCCGTGGCGAGGGGAAGCCAAACTGCGCGAGTATGCGTGGGGGGGGGGGGGGGGGGGGGAGGAGTGTCATGGCCAGTACCTGAACACAAGCAGAGTTAGTGGTGAATCTCCGTGAGCAAGGTGCCTTCGTAGATAGTCGAGTGAATGCTCTCGCTTATCGCGTCTGTGCCTAGACTAAAGCGCATGTAGCCCGCTTGCATGGTGCCGGGGACTTGACGTGAAGAGTTGGGGGTGGACATGGATACAACGCAATCGAACACCGCATCTGTCGTTGGACGTGTTGACGTTTCGCTGCGCAACTCGTCAAGGGCACCGGTTTGCCGGGACCTCCATTGACCAGCATCGTACGGAGCTCTCGGCACAGATTCGAGTACGGGACGAATAACGCGCAGGAGATGTGATAGTTGCTACTTTCACCTCGACCATCGCGCTATTCGAAACGCTGGCCGGGGCCGTAAGCCACTGCCGTCTGACCGTAACAGAGCAAGCTAAGGCTGTACGAAGCAGCTTCATGGCTATTGGCAGGCTGCTCTGGCGGTGCTGTCTTGCCTCCGTTCCACGGCTGTCAACCCCCCTCTCTTCCCGCCTCCGCCCATCGCTTATTATGGCACGGCTCCTCTCTAGCCTCTCCCGTCGCTCCCATTCATCTGCTGGGGTTCGCAAACCGGGGGTGGCTGGCCTCAGTCGACTCGCCCTGGACAGCCCACCGAGCTGGAACAGCGCTTCTCAGGACCGTCTCCCGAGGATTTGGTTCCTTCAGACAGGCACAAATCCCGATTTTTTGGATGTGCGGCAAGCCCCCCGAACCCTGTCCACCCCCCTCAAAACGGAACGGTAAACGGCGGTGCGAGCCGAGGCCGACGAATCAACCAGGCTAAGAGACGGAATCCGACGGCTAGTTGGACGGCCAATCCTGGGCAGCTTCAGGCACTACTGTAGACGAACGACGACTCCACAGCCTCGGCCATGCACGTGTCTGTCGCTCAATGGACACCTTGGCGGTCATTTGTCTTTTCTACTCGATGGCACCAGACCCAATGCCTTCGTACCGCAGGCGGCGACAGACCGAGAGCCTCTCTATTCAGAATCATTCACTTTTTCGTTGACGCCGAATCACAATGAGCCAGTCGAATTTGGCGTCAAACGCCAACTCGACTAGCGGACGCTTTGTTGCTGGACAGTATATGAAGTGATTTTCTCTTTTTCTCTGGCTCTCTTGAGCAAGGACCACCTGCTGGCGCATGCGCTTGCCCCCTCTTCGCCTTGCGCTGTCTTTCTTGCTTTCTTTCTTTTTTTTTTTTAAAGGAAAACGATTGAAAGGGAGTGTGATGCGGGAAATTGGTAAATCTCGGTTGAAGAGGCAACCCGCTTGAGATGCCGACTCTCGCTCGAAACAAGGGGTTCAGGCCCTCCGAGTGCGCCTGGGGTATCGAAGAAGATACTGACGAAAATAGATAGAAGAGAAAGGAAAAGGTAAAAAGGGTGTTTGCGAGTGCTGGTTCTGGTTGTTGTTCCGCTGGCACTTCCGCTGCAACAGGTCTTTTCCAACCGCGACGATGCTTGGGCAAAGGAAGCCACACACTCGTCATTATGATTTCATGGCCGCGGCCGCATCTGCAAAGGTCCCAACAAGGGCTGCGTCGTCGTCTTCAAGTGTTCTCAGGCTAGCTGGTCGGTTGTCGTGTGCCTCACTCGAATCTTCGTCGGCAAGCCAGTCAACTTTGATGCCAGCTGGCGGACTGTCCTCCTGCGTGCTGAGCTTCGATACGAGGTGGTGGTACCGCGCGACACGGGCGCCTTGGCCAGCGTAGGCAAAGAGTGCTGTCGTGGATTTGCGGCCGGTGGCGTCTTGGGGAGCGATCTCGAAGATGTCGACCATGTTGCTGCAGCCAGAGTCAGAATCTTGAAATCGATGGTGCTCATAAGGTCGCCCTCGGGAAGAATTGAGGTCATTTGGAAGTAACCAACTTGGATGTCTTTGCGACCACTCGCTGCAGGGCCTCATTCTCTCGCTGGGCCTCGGCAGTGTCGCCTTCTCCGTTGAGCGTGCCATCGCCGAAGCTGCCGTACTGCATGCCGTTTCCATCGTCGTACAGGAGGCGGTTCTCTTCAGTCTGCGGCAGGGAATGACTCGGTTAGCGCCAGATTCGCAGGCTTAAGGGATAGATCTCGAGGGTCGCGGGGGGCTGCCGAAGCAGGAGATGCAGGTCGCATAGGGCTGCAGAGAGTCGCATCACGCAGTAGAAAGCGCACCTCGTCGTAGACGTCCTTCTGCCGCCTTCCGAGGCATGATTGGCAGAGCCCCATGATGTCGAGCTCGGGGTTGCGCCAGTGCGTGCAGCAGCTCGGCGCGGGTCGGTAAACGCGTGTGTCGAAAGCTAGCAGTCGGCCGGCGTGTTCATATCATGGTTTCCAGAGCGCTCAGCTGCAGGGACTCTGGCAGGATGCGTGGTTTTGTCGCCTGAAACCCCTGTCTGCGATGCTTGTCGTCGGTCGTTACCTGAGTCAAGGACGAGGCGCTCCATGGCTTTGGGGGGGGGGAAGGCTCGCGAGCGCCTCGTCGGATAAATGTCGGGTCGCGCAACAGCTGGGAGCTCCGTGAAGCTTGGGTGGAGATTCCTCTTTCGGCAGCTCCTCTTGCCCCTCTTGCGACCACTTCGTGCTTTGTCATCAAGTTGCTGAGGAAGCTCTCGTCATTCTGCTTCACCTTGTTCATCCTCATCATCTAGATGATCCAGGTAACCTTGAGCATCATGGCATGGACGGAATGTGTTGGCCAATACGCAGGTTCAGCGCCTCTTCTCCCTCAGTATTTGCTCCCTGTGCCCCGCTCTCACAGCCGCTATAGATTGATTAATCCATACCGGGCCATCCCTGGAGATACTGCGATAAGAGAGAAGATGGTTTCCTTGACATCTCTCCATCCCTTGACGTCAATAGACGGATCTATCGTTGCCCTTCTTCAGCTTAACCGATAAATGGGCAAAGGTTTGAACATGGCAGATCCTTCTCCAATGCAGCATAAGAGATCGATAAAAGGGGCGGATGGCCTCCTTTATATCGGCTTTATATCGACATCCCATTCTTAACGCATGATTGCCATACTCAAAGTGTCAGTCTATGTCAAACTTCTCTTCCAGAAGGATTCTACCGTCATCTTCCCAAGGATATAAGGAACAGGACATTCGCTTCTCTGGTCAGTCTTCATCTCCATCATCTCCATCTCCATCTCTATCTCTATCTCCAACGCACTTCACCCTCTCTTGCTCTTGCTCTTCGTTTGTCCAATTACAGCCCCTGTGCTTCAATTCGGGCTCCAAACGTACAAATTTTCATTTTGCAATCACTTTCAGGAGCTCACATCATGCTCAGCATACTTTCTTGGGCCTTGGTGGCTCTCCCCCTGACTGAGGCCCGCTTCGGCATCCGACCAAGGGCCCAAAACAATGAGACGGCACAATGTTGCCCGTGCGTGTCTAGTGGCTTCAATCCCCAGGATACGACTGTGACTGTCACCGTCACAGGCCCCAAGGAAACCGTCATCGTCAGCCACACAGTCGTTCAGCAGGCAACCACCGTCTTCGTCACTCAAACTGTTGCTTCTGGGTCGCCCAGTGCTGCCGTCCACGAAACCACGACTGATGCCGGGCATCCAGCCAAGATAGAAACAGCTCTGAATGCTGTTACTAGTTCAGGGCCCTCAACAAACCTGGGGCCTATTAAGACAATTACGAAGACAGTACAGGCGGGAGATGGCCAGCTTGGAGACGGGTCTAAGTCGCCGAAGACCGTGACGGTGACAGTCAACCCAGATGAACCCAGCTCTGCGTCATCTTTCGTGACTGTTGGTTCCCACCCTCAGAATTCAGGCTTGTCGACTCCTTTACCAAACGCGGTTGAGCCATCTCCCTCGGGCAATGGCCACGCGACCGGCGCCAGCACCGTCACGGTCACGATCGGAACCCAGCCCCTAGCCTCTCAGACCGCCGAGTCAAAGCCAAGCATGCAAACTGTGACCTTTGTGCAGAATCCATCTGGCGCCGAAACGGCGACTTTTGTCGAGAACCTAACAGCAAGCCCAACTGCTGCCACCGTCACCTCGGCCGGCGCACCCGCAAACTCCCCCAGCGAGACAGTGGCAGTTGACAAGGACCCAGCAAGCCCAAGCACCGCAACGGTGACGCTTGCAAAGAATCCCTCAAAGCCGGGCACCGAGACGGTCACATTCGTGGAGAATCCAACAAACCAGGGCTCTACAGCTGCGGCGGCGGCGACTATGACTTCAGCCGAAGATGTGTCAAGCTCTACCGCTCAGACACTCACCTTTGCCGAAGATATTCCTCAATCAACCTCTTCCGCATTCACGACATCTTCGCCGAGCCCCAGTGTCCAGACGGTGGACTTTGTGCCCAACACGCCGAACCTTGCCATCACGACCTCGTCCCCTGCTCAACCAGCCATCACCGCTCCGCCACAGTTCGGAACCGTCTTGCCAGTCACCGAGAGCTTCACGACCCTGACACAAACCATGACCTCAGGGGGTAACGTCACTGTCGAAATTACCATCGTCAACATCTTCACCGGCGAGACCATCTGCAGGAAGGAGGGCAGTGACGAGCCGTGTGACTCTACGCATGAGACGCTCCTGCTGAAGCCATCAGGAGAAGTCCCTTGCTTGACGACAGGCATCTTTACCAAGACGGCAACGGCAACGGCATTCAACACTGTTGTCGTGACGGTCAGTCCTGGGCTGTGGGCGAACGGAACATTTGCGACGGGAGTTGCGCCGCCGGCCGGTGCCGCCTCGGGGACTGGCAGCCCTATGTTGCGAAGGGGGAGGGTGCCAATGGTTAGAAGGCGGCTGTGAGGAAGTGGGATCTTTGTAATGGATATGGGCTTTGTATAGGTAATGTCGAGTGCGGGTGCTTCTTTAATTGGTACATTTGGGCGTTGCGGCATGAGGGGGGATCTGTGTCTATCTAGGTTATCAGTTTGTGGTCCATGGGTTTGACGGGGTTTTGTTCATTGGGTAATGATGCTTATTTCTGGCTTTGTATCACCTATAGCTGTACTAATGCGTCTAGTCTCTGGTCTGAATCTCGTCCGTCGAGAATATAATTAACGTTTTTAAGCTTGCTTCAACTCTGCATTCCTTTTTGCAGTTGCTTCCCCTGACTTTCTTGGCAGTGCTCGAAATCCACCATCCCCTCGAACATAAACTAAACAGTCCTCAACAGTTCCATCCCCCGTGATTTACTGCCAATTCTCCCGAATCACCTCAGCAATGACCCCATGGTCTTCAAACTGCTTCAACCCGCTCACAACAACCACGGCCACCACTCCGGCCACGCCCTGGACCCGAATCGGCACCGCGCCGCCATGAATCGCATACTCTCCAGCCTCGCTCGGCCCCAGGCCAAACTTGGCCGCAAACGCAGCCTCGTTGCCGGCGTACTTTTGCCCCAGGTACCACGAGCTGACTCCGAAGCGCAGCACGGCGGCGCGCTTGCGGCGCACCCAGCTCTCGTTGTCCGGCGTCACGCCCGCGCCCGTGGCGACCTGGTAGAGCGTCTGGGATCCGGCGCCGTTGCTGATGGAGATGAGCGTCGCGCGGCCCTGGCGGGCAAAGGGCAGGAGGCGCGCGTAGAGGAGGTTGCCGAGCTCGACGGCGTCTTCGGCCGTGAAGGACGAGAGGGTGAAGCCCTCGGCGCCGACGTCTGCATCTACCAGCGCTTGAAGCTATTTTAGATAAGAAGAAGAAGAGTGTTTGTTAGTCCCTCTATGCCTCGGTAGTGTCTTGAAAACATCATGTCCAAAGACTCACCTCCTCTGGTGTGCTGCCGCCAGGGGGGCTCTGGATGGGAGCCGCAGGGGCAGAGTCTCGGGCTGCGCTGAGGGCCTTTTCGAGGCCGGTGCCAGCGGGGAATGATCGTTGCCAAACCTTGCCAGCCATCTTGAACTGACTCTTATAAGATGAACTTTGTGATGAGTGAGAATTGAAATAGGTGAGTGAGATTCGAATTATACAAAATATTAGTAGAGGAGTAGTAGGTAGTCTATGTCGTAGTAGAAAGGAGAAGCATCATGTCCAAGCATCGACGTCAAGCCTCAACTTAAATGCTTCGGCACTAGACCCGATCGGCCCGACTGGAACCATCGTCACATCAGCTCTTGGAACAAAAAGGAAACGGACATTCTTGCCAGTCTTCGGCTTTTGGCTGGATTTGCTGGTGGATCGGAGAATCCGCCGCTGTTGATAGGGCCACCATAAAATTGGAGACGACCTTAGAGTCGTGGGTTTCTGGGTACTGTGGAGAAGCTTAAAATCACAGACGTGTTGCATCATCGTCAGGTAAGGTCACCTCAAGTGTTGCTATAAAGGCAGAGCGGGAAGGCACAGTGGCACGGAACCGCTCCTGTCATTCTCGGCCAACGCATAGTCCATCTATGGCTAACCATCTGAAATCATCTCATCTAGAGGCACGCCTGTCTTTTGGTATAGATAGGTAGGTAGGTAAGTAAGCAAACTAGAGTCTTGCTGCGAACTCGGGGAACATCGCTCCTCCTATCGACGTGAGGTTGGGAAACAAAGAGGAAATGCACAAGGGAAGAGGGACAGCGGCCAGAGACAAGACAAAGATCAAGACAAAGACACGATTCCCTAGGTTTTCAACTCATACAAATATCCGTGGCCCTCCGATTGATCAGACACAATATTCAACACATCAAAAGCCATATAGATTTCCGGAGCCGCAGCCGGACAAAGCCCTGGACAAGGGACAAAACCATCCAGAGGTACAAGACAAGGGCAGGTCACAACACCTCATTCTACCTATGCTTCATCGTAGCGAATTTCATTCTCCATCGTCACATCCGATTCGCGTCGCCTCAACACCGGTTCGGCCTGGAAGCCGTTGCTCTCAACGATGCTGGCAGTGTCCGACAGCTTGCCCGACTCGAGGTCCTCGATGCTCTGCAGCGCCTGTATGAATTTGGCTTGCTCCAGCTTGAGCATTGCGCGCTTGCTCGCCGTCGCCGCGTCCTCGTCCATCAGCTTCTCATAAACTCTCATAGCGTCCGGCCCGCGCACGCCCAGCTTGTCGTCCAGATAGTTGCGCAGCTCTCTTCGAATCGCGGGGATCATGCGGCAGACGATGCGCTGCGTCACGGCATCCGAGTATCGTAAGGCGGCGAGCTTATAGTACCCTCTAACGTACGCGACAACCTCGACCTCTCGCTCGAATTCGTCCGGATTGAGCCGGGCCTGCTCCGACTCCCGTCGCTTGACCTCCTGCATCTGCATCTCCTCCGTCATGGCCTCCCACGGCGCGAGAGGCTTCTGCTTGTAGCCAGCTGCCACCATTCTCATGTAGTGGCGGAATCGAGCCAGCACCGCTCGTTCGCTCTTGAGGCACTGGTCAAAGGCTTCCGTGTTATACGTCATGACTCTCTCTGCCTCGCCACTGTAGAGCTCTTCGAGTGCCTTTTGCGTCGTGTCCCAGTGCTTGTCCAGACAGCTTTTGAGGTGTCGTTTGGCCTCGGGGTAAATGTATCGCTTCTTCAGGTTTTCAAACGACTCATTCAGGGCTGAATCGAGCTCGGCTGACAGCTGACGTATCACCTCTCGTAGGTAGACACTAGTAGGTCCTTTCCACGGCCTGATGGCCTCCATGGCCAAGTCATTGTAGACGTCAGGAGGGATGATACTGGGCATGCCGGCTTTCATCTTGGCCCGTATCTCCTCCCTCACTTGGCGAAGCGTCCGGAAGCCTCGTCCGACCTCCCAAAATTCACCAAAAGGCTCAGCGAGCCCCTGCCTATGTGCGGGAGGCAGAGGCTGCTGAGGGCCGAAACTGTTACCATTGATGCTGTTGCCGGCGTCCTCTGGCTTGACCGTATTTGATGGCCCGGCGGCTGAATAGTCGGTCCTGGATCGCTTGGATGGAGTGGCCTGCGCTGTCGGCTGTCGTCGTTTGGACGGGGTGGCAGCGCTCGTTGTTGCGACGGACGCCGCATCGGACTCGTCATCGCTTAGTGCAATGACTGGAATATCACTTCGATCTTTGAGAACGAATTTGGGCTTGATTTCCAGGAGGCAATCTCGAAAGTTGGCGGGCAAGCTGTTGATACGAGCTGCGAATTCGTCAATCTTGATCCGGGCACTATCCGCAAAGCTGTTGAGGCACGTCTGTATCTCCAGTTCCACATTGTGCGGGAGTTCGGGGAGGTTGGCAAGCTGCCTGTTGACCTTGTCGAGGTTCAACTTGACTTTGTGCTTGATGTTAGGGAGACTAGGAAAGCCAGTGTTAGTGATAGCCCGAGGGTTGTCATAGGAGGGCGAGGAGGACTTACCTCTTGGCGAATTCCTCGCCAAGTCGCTCCGAAAGAAAAGCCTTGAGTCTCTCCACGCCACAGCGGTGGACAAACTCATGAAAAGCTTCTGGCCATTTATCGACCGACTCGTCCTCAAACATTCTTTCCTCCCACTTCTTCAACTCTTCTAAATCTTTACCCTGGGGACGAGAAGTGATAAAGTATCCCAGCCCCGTCGAGTGGGCTTGTCCCTTCATGATCTCAAGCCATTGAGCGTGGTTTCCGCCGTCTGGCAAGAGATCAGCCTTGGTAAGCACACCTATGGTCCGGTCCTTGGCTTTCAGCTTTCGAGTGAGGCCAAAAGTCGCCGAGTTTTCTGCGTCGCTGTTCATGGGCATGGCGCAGATTATAATGGCGGAGGGGTGCTGGATGTAGGCGCTCGAGAGGTTTCGGACCACATTGACCAAGTATTCGTCGTTGGCGTCGGCGGGATTCTGGAAGATGCCAGGCATGTCGTAGAATGATAGGTCCGGCAGGTCGGGACCCTTGATTTCCAGAGCCACAATATTGGGCGAGAATTTTGCCTGCGGCTCCTCTGCTGCCTTGTCGATGGGAACATTGGAAGCGATGGAGCCTCGCCCTGGGACGAAGAGACCGTGGTGCTTGTCATCGTTCAAAATGGCAATCTGGGCCCAGCGCAGGACTTCTTCGATTTCGGATTTGTCGTGCATCGTCTTGAACTCGAGGACCAACGTACTGGGTCGCTTTTTCCAGGGGAAAAAGGGGTCGTGAGCCGTGACATCCGACTCGTGTATGGGGCGAGGAGGAGGCTCGTACACATACTCCTTGCGCAGCCAGACGCGACACGACCATTCGGCATTGCGGGAAACGCGAATGTGCAGAGGACATCGAGTGCAGGCGCCCTCGCTGCGTGGCAGATCCAGGTTGGCCAGGCCTGACATGAGACTCGATTTGCCTGCCGACTGGTCGCCAACAAGGACGAGCTCGGGCAGCTGCACGTCGTGGGACACGCCAAGCTGCTGGAGCTCTCCGAGGGTGTCGTTGCAGGCTTTGAGCTTCTTGCCAATGTCCTGGAAGGACGTGTGGAAGAAGCTCTCATCCATGTTCTTGGGGCTTCCCGCAGCTGGCACACTCGTAGCTGCTGGGTTGTTTTTCGCCCTGACTTCTCTGAAGACGGGATCTGACTCTACGGTGCGCTCGCTAGGCGCAGCTATTATTCGTAACGGTTAGCATGTGGTGACTCGACGAAGCAGTAAGGTATCTGACAACTCTGTCTCATCCAGCTCTAGGGGCATGAGACTCACGAGCGTTGGATCGATCTCCACGGCCATACCGCGCTGAACCCGGGAGCTCATCGCCAAGCGTCCCGTAGTCGCTGGCGTTGCCCGGAGGCGGGATTGGTTCCGGGTCAGGCTTGACGACTGCGCCGATATGCCTTGCACGGCGGGTAGCCAGATGCGGCATGGCGGTTGAATTCTCAAAGGACGTCTAATCCTCGAGGGTCCGTCGGTTTCTGGGCATCCACGTATCGTGACTGTCGTGAAAGAGGAGAGGGTTCCTCTGCGGCACTGATGCAGAATGATTGACGAGTGATGGACGAGGCTGAAGAAAGCTGAGGAGGGAGGTGCAGGTAGACTTGGGTAGTAGATTCGTATCGTATAGAGGGAGAATGAGAGAATGGTAAGAAAAGAGGAAAGTGAATTAGGCAAAGACTTGGGAGGAGAAGATGAGGCGAAAAGAGAAGAGAATTTGTGAAAAGAATAGAAGAAAAAGAGCTGGGCTGATGCAAGAGTAAAAGTGAAGTGAGGGTGAGTTGGCCAAGGCGACGCGCGGGTGAATTTGCCTTTTGCCTACCTACCTAGTACCTACCAGGCGAGTTGAGTGCAGCAAAGCGCTGATAATACTGGCTGGCCACTGATATTCACCCAGCCAACTGGTGGTGGTGTTTTGCTGCCCGCCCCATACAAACTGCAGGGACCAATATCAGCGTCCTGGGAGGTTAACTGTCGATAAGCGAGTTGATGCCTGACTCAACAGTACGCCAGCAGTATGCAATGCAATCGAGGAACGACAACCCAAAACGAGCAATACGCTCTTATAGAGACGTCATCTGAAAAGCCGCGCAACTTACAACAACTTCAGCCGAGCTGTGAGCTGTGAGACTTGGCCGTGTTAACAGAAGTGAATGCCGTCTGCTAAGGCCCCAAGTATCGCCAGAGCTTCTCAAGGGAGCTTTTTAGCTTGGGTAAGGTACCTTTAAGTTCCGGGCGCGCTAACACGAAAAAGGGGTGGCTGGGCTCGAACTCGGGTCAGGCACAAGGGACTTGGCTTCAGGTCCCAAGGCACGTGACATTACTTTGGTACCCTGGATTGGTCTGCCAGAAAAAGCTGAGCTTGGAGATCAATGAGCCTCGTGAATATACATACTTGCGTCTCGAGAGAATTTCACACATTAGAAGTGAAGAATCAGGCTACATCTCGCATCTGAGCCTCATTCCCCTTGGTAGTTCTTGTGTAACTGCTGTACTTTAGGTACCTGTACTGATAGCGGCTTGTGTTACTGGCTTCATTAGTGGAACCTGCAGCATCGTGTGGCTGCCACACGGAGCACCAGGTACATGTACTTGTACTTGGACCCTGTTTATCACAAGACAACTTCCGGAAAGACAGTTTGTGGTCGATGGGAAGATCGACTGCCTGCTTCGATGCTTGGTGTTTTGCAAATGAAGCTCCATTCCTTCAATCTCAATGGTTTTGACGGTAATTGTTCTTTTTTACTGGTTATTGCCTCTTTTTGCCCCTCAGTCAGATTACATTGCCTGCAACTGCCAATCCCACAGTCGCAGTGAGCAAGGCTGCACTCACAAGTACTCGGGTACCTGCACCATCGCTTAGGGGGAAATTTTGCCTGAGGAAAAATGAAAAAATGAAAAGAAAAATTGTTCAAGGGAAATTTTAGTCTTCGGCCATTTGCTCCTTAGCTCGACCCAACCGTAGACTTTACAAGCTTCATAGCAGTCTGATAGCCAATATTCCCTCTTTGTTTATTCTCTCACCCGAGAAACCAACAGACTCATTCAGGACTGCTTGCTTCTTAGGCTCACAGCACTCATCATGGACTTTGCAGGAGACGGGCGAAACGATGCCCTGGCTGATGGCCGACGCATCTACTTAGGCGCGGCAACCTGTTCTCAACCCTCCTGTCTCTCTAGCTGACCGGTCAAGACAGGCAATCTCCACTACGAGCTCAGGTCCGAGGACATTGAGGAGTTTCTCATCTCCAATGGCTTCGACGACATTGAGAACATCCAGATCTCTGTCGACGGCGTCAGCGGCCGCAACCCCGGCTACTGCTTCGTGGACTTTTCGCAAAAGGCAACGGCTGACCGTGCTCTGAACGACCTTAGGGCCAGCCTGCGCGGCCGCGAGCTCAAGGTCGGTCCATGCGAGCCTAGGAAGAAGCGCACTGGAGACGGCCGACAGGGCTTCCAGCGGTCCAACGACTGGAGGACTCAGTCTGGCGATGACGGCCAGCAGTTCCAGAGCGGCGAGGCCAGGGACCAGAGGTCTCGAGGATTCACCCGCTCCGAGGAGGTGGCCGATGACTCTCAGGGAAAGCGGCTGTATGTGGGTGGACTGGCCAAGATGGGAGACCCTGATCAGAACACGCAGGAGGTGATGGACATCTTCACTGGATTCAACCCGTACGTCTCACTCGCTCATTCCTTGACTCTCACTCTACCTCTCATCGCCCTTTCCTCTTACCCTCTTTTTACCTCATGAGACCATGTGTGAGAGGTGTATTCCTAACGTTGAAGCTCAGGTCGCACATTGGCAAGCGCATCGCGCCTCCTGAGAGCGCCCGCAGCCCTGCCGGAACATACTACTACTGCTTCGTCGACTTTGAGACCAAGGAGGAGGCCGAGGCCGCCATGCAGGCGCTGGATGGCGCCCAGTACGACGGAGGCTTGCTCAAGGTGTCGCTGGCCAAGAGGACAGAGAGGCAGTTCAACCGCCCCAACGCGGCTTCAGATCGCAACGGCGGCCAGGGACGCGGCTGGAGATCAAACAACAACAGCAACAACAACAACACACGACCTGAGGGCGGACCTCCGGCGGCCAGGGCCATGGGATCCAACAACTGGCGCAGGCGAGAGGCCGAGTAATCGACGGGGCAACTCAAACAGGCGACAGCCGGCAAAGGCTGATGCAGGCACTGAAAAGGAGAGACGGCAAACAGAGGCTTTGGATGGGGGGAACCAGGGTAATGCATCAGTGATACATGACGTATGAATTCTTTTTCCTGCTATTGTATTCGGTTATCCATTACTACAGCTGCTGCAACGAGAAGACGGCGTTGGATCAAAAGAGAACAGCATATGATTCTATCTTAACCACCGTGTCTCGCCCGAATTGTGAACCCCCATGAGTCTGGATCCAATCCAGCATCCTAAATCCAGGAACAGCCACCACGTGCCGCATCCCAGATTCTCTTGTCGCGGGGTCGCTGGACCCTGTTCCGCACCCGCATAATTGCATAGCGCGGGGCCGCCGCCTCTAACCTCCACCCCTGTCATACCAAGCAAATCGTGACCTCGAGAGAGCCAGTCGTGCAGCAGCCGCTCCACCGCCTTGCTTCCGCCAGTTTGCTGGCGAGATTCTCTCTGAACTTGATATAATTCCACTTGATACTACTGTTGGCGCTGTTTTTCTTCCTTTGCCCTGCTCCTTGTTCTGCCTCTCCCGTGAAAGCTCGCGGTATCGCCCACCCGATATCAGCCACCTCAGCCCCTCCCCCTCTCTCAACTCTCTTCTTTCTCCTCCTCTACTCCGTCCGCACAGCTCTCAACTATGTCTCTCCACGTCCCTCTGCCGCATCGGTCTGCCACTCCAGTTGGCGCTGCCACCAAGGCTGTCATTCTGGTAAATATCAAATCCGCCCTTTTCCCTCTCTTCTGGAAGCGACTTGCTCTGCCTGCTCTTGGCTGGCCATGGAGCTTCATCGTCTCATCGCCAATGGCTGCGGACAGCTGGCTTCAACGACGAAAGTCGCCGTTGTACAACTCTACTGTATCATACACAGACTCACACAGCTAACACCATCTCCTCTCCTCTTTCTTTCTACGATTAGGTCGGCGGTCCCTCTCGTGGCACCCGATTCCGTCCGCTGTCTCTCGACCTCCCCAAGCCGCTCTTTGAAGTCGCCGGCCACCCCATCATCTGGCACTGCTTGGCCGCGGTTGCGCGCGTCAAGCAGATCCAGGAGGTCTACATTATCGGCTATTACGATGAGTCCGTCTTCCGCGACTTCATCAAGGACTCCGCCCGGGAGTTCCCTGGCATCAACCTGCGGTACCTGCGCGAGTACGAGGCCCTGGGTACCGCCGGCGGCCTGTACCACTTCCGCGACGCCATCCTCAAGGGCCGCCCCGAGCGCCTCTTTGTGCTCAACGCCGACGTTTGCTGCTCGTTCCCGCTCGAGGAGATGCTCAAGCTCTTCATGGAGAAGGACGCCGAGGCCGTCATCCTCGGCACGCGCGTGAGCGACGACGCCGCCTCCAACTTTGGCTGCATCGTCTCCGACGCGCACACGCGCCGCGTGCTGCACTACGTCGAGAAGCCCGAGTCGCACATCAGCAACCTCATCAACTGCGGCGTCTACCTCTTCTCCACCGACGCCATCTTCCCGTCCATCCGCTCGGCCATCAAGCGCCGCACCGACCGCCCCGCCCGCCTCGTCTCGTACCCGTCCTCGGACAACCTCGACAACTTCACGATGCCGCGCGCCGTGGCCGACGACGACGACGACGAGGACAAGAAGGAGGTGATTCGACTGGAGCAGGACATCCTCGGCGACATGGCCGACAGCAAGCAGTTCTTCGTCTACGAGACCAAGGACTTCTGGCGCCAGATCAAGACGGCCGGCTCCGCGGTGCCCGCCAACGCCCTGTACCTGCAAAAGGCCTGGCAGAGCGGCAGCGAGGAGCTCGCCCCCGCCAGCGCCAACATCGTGCCCCCGGTCTTCATCCACCCGACCGCCGAGGTCCATCCCACGGCCAAGCTGGGCCCCAACGTCAGCATCGGACCCCGCGTCGTCGTCGGCGCCGGAGCCCGTGTCAAGGAGAGCATCGTGCTCGAGGACTCGGAGATCAAGCACGACGCCTGCGTGCTCTACTCCATTATTGGCTGGGGCAGCCGCGTGGGCGCCTGGGCTCGCGTCGAGGGCTCGCCCACGCCTGCTGGCAGCCACTCGACTAGCATCATCAAGAACGGCGTCAAGGTGCAGAGCATCTCCATCCTGGGCAAGGACTGCGGTGTTGGTGACGAGGTCCGCGTGCAGAACTGCGTTTGCTTGCCGTACAAGGAGCTGAAGAGGGTATGTTTTTCTTTTTCCACTATAGCTTACTCACTGTTCAATTCTCCCTCTCTGTCGTTCTTTTCATATGCTAACTACAAATGTGTCCAGGACGTTGCCAACGAGGTCATTATGTAAAATGCGAATTCAAGCACGGTTCTCGACAATTAGCGTGTGATAGAGCAACATGGGAGTAGCATGCAATTAATTGTTTCCCTAAGGGATATAAAAACGAAACGAGGGACGGGAGAACGGAAGATGGAAACTGCTTTTCAACACATGGACACCAAACTTATAAAAAACAAATGATTGATTCCCCAGACTATACAATGTCATGTCTTCTGGTTCCTGCCTAATACTCCAAACTCAAGAAGTGTGGTTCTCATCCAAGGATTGCCTTGATGCTTCCAGCAGCTGTTGAGATGCGCATGGGCATATATGTATGTATAATCCGTGGAAAACAGGTACCTAACATGAGCCCACTTGCCATTCCAATTCCCCGTCGTTCGTGAATGCATGGTCAAGACCCGATTGTACATCTCCAAACATCCTCCTCACCACCCCCTCCTGGGGGTTGGGTATATATGCGATCCAAGCCTTCCTTTATTACCAGGCTCTTCTAAACCATTTTCCAGATACCAAGCGTGACCCCTGTGAAGCCTAAATGACCCCCCCCTTCTATATGCACCATAGCCGTAATGCCGTTTCATATTGTCTCATCCGAAGGGAAAAAAAAAGAAGTGCGAATGCTTTCGAGCCTGATCAACAAGGCTTTCCGTGTGTTTCCAAAATCAAAAGAGATGCCAGAGAATCCTACCGTTCCCCGACAACTACAACTCCTTTTGCACCGAAAGGCGGCTCGCTGGCCGGGCAAACATGGGACTGGAGGGTCGGCTCGATGTCGACGCCAGGCCCTTGACGTCAAACGGGTCAATGGACTTGAAGTGTTTCGAGGGGCCCAGGCGAGGGGTGCCAAGGGGCGTAAGCTGTTCGATGGCGGGCTTCTCAAAGGTCGCGACGCGGATGGCGGGCGGGCGATGTCGAATCGACGTCTCTTCAAAGACGCTGTACATGTAAGTCGAGAGCAGCACTAGCATCGTGCCCAGGAGGAACTATTTTACATGTTAGCACAGTTGAGAATCGAACAGACCAAAGGTATTCGAAGCGTGGATCGTACCGTGAGAGTGACTTCAAACTCAAAAACCCATACGCTGACGAGAAAGCTGAGGATGATGCTGATGCTCGTCGCAAAGTTTTTGACGATATTATCAGCGTCGCGAATAACGAGACTAGCCAAGATACCGCCAGCGGCTTGCAACACAATTGTCGCCCATACAACCGCATTGTAGCCCTCAAAGAAGCCATGCTCGCGAATTCCAGCTCCGTCCTGCCACATGACGCCACCGAACAGAGCGGCAATCATGGAGTAAAAGCTCAGCTGCAGGTTTCGCACCCAGACGCTCGCCTGCGTGGGGCTCTCCTTGAGGAGCTTCTCAAAATACACGCCCGTAAGCCCAGAGACAGCTGCGGCGACGAGAACTGCAGTCACGCCAAGGGAGTAGTTCATTGGGGGCTCGACGAAGTGAAGGTCGTTGTCAATGCCCTCGTAGGTCGCGGAGCGGCGTGTCAGATGCGCCGGGGCTTCTTCAATGACTGGATGGCCGAGTTCATGGCGAGATCTGGGGAAGAAGTGATCAGGCATGCCGTGGAAAAGAAGCGAGTCGGATCCGGAGACTCTGCTGGTGATATTTGTTGTCGAGCCGGGGAGAGAGACGATGCAGACGCCCAGCGTGAGGACAATGAGCGACAGCCAGCGCTTGAAGCCGAGGGGACGACTCAGGAGGTAGACGCTGAAGAGCGCCGTGGTGAGAATCTACGCCGTTATAATCAGGATCAGCATACATATGGCGCAACAAATGAACCAGCCCTCTGAACGCTTTTCCCCTCCAACTCACCTTCAGCTGGTACAGAACCTGAAAATGCACAGCATCAAGGTTCTCAATCGCCACATACTGCAAGATATTCTGCAGCGTATAAAAGACGCCCGGCACAACCAGCTTCCACCCGTCGCCCGCAAACATGGCGTTGTAGATCTGCTCAAACAGCACCGTGGCAGGCGTGCTGGGAGCCAGCGTCTTGGATGCCTCGTACAGGGCAAGCGTCAGGGAGACGGCCAGCTTAATGAGCTCGTGAAGAAAAACAGCGGTGGAAGGGAAGTAGCGTCGGTCACCGGAGGGAGGCATAACGCGGGAGTAGTGCATGATGAGGATGAAGGCCGAGTTTTGCACTGTGAGCTGCGTTTGCGATATCTTGTTAGCATCATTGGACCGATGAGCGAGAGAAGACGAGAAGCGTAGAGAAGCATACCAGCATCAGCGAGAGTGGCTTGCCAGCTCCAACCGCTGAGCCGCGGCCGTCGAGCACCGCCATGGCGGGCAGAGTTGGCAATTGCGTCGACAAGTGTGGCTATAGGGCGGAAAAGCTCGAGAGGAGGCAGCGGTCAATTCGTGGTGGTGGACGTTGTTTGTTTGGGGAGGAAGAGGAGGCAGAGAGAAGTCCCGAGAAGTTTGAAGATGAGGATTGCTGCACCTGTGCTGGTATCGATAGCAGTCGGAGGTGACGGCACGCGACACACACCAGACCCCTCTTGATCAATCTCGATCTGGTATTGCAGTATGTAGGTAGTAAGTAGCTCAGCTCAGCTCAGCTCGGGCTAAACAGTGGATCAATGCCACCTTCTCTGCAGGCAATGTAGCTGCAGATGCCTCAATGCAACACCTGATGATGAAAGAATAGAAGAACAACGGGAAGAAGAAAGAAGAGAAAGAAAAGACGAGAGTGCAAGCCTTGGAGCAGCAGAGATGTGCGAATCGAAACTGATGCCCGATTCAAAGCTCCAGTTTTTTGCCCCTTGGTCTAGAGGTCAAGCTGCAGCTCTCAATTACAGATTAATAGGAGCACTAAGTGACTGGGCACTTTCTCCCCGCAGATGCGCATCGAGGGGTTGAGGTTGGCGGCAACTTGGCAACTGGGTCCTGTCCCATCTGGGCGCTGGGCTTTAGCGGGCTTAGTGGACATGGGGCGCCTTTAGGGTCTGCCTCAGGGGCCACTTTGGGGTCCAAGTGATCAAATGGGGGCACGGGCATCGTTGAAGTGCCCCTCTATTTGCTGGCAAGGTGCTGTATGTACGCAAACAGGAGGTTGACATCATTGCATCGTTGGGATCGTCTGTTTTGGCTGATGGGGCGCTGGCAAACGGATCAAGCAAATTCCAACGAGGTTCGTACAGTAATACTGTGCGTATCGCAGTCTCAATGCCAAAGCGCAGGGTGGAGGCTTTACAAACTGCAGTGTTGCGTCTCTCAGCAATCGCAGATGATCAAGCAGCACCAGTTGGTAGGTAGTACTAGGTAGCAATCTGGATGGAACACGTCTGATACAGCCCTCCCTCGACATCGCCGACTTGCCAGCGTCTCAGACACGCTTGAAGCTGGCCTGGTTAGTGGACCTTTATGCTCGACGAACCAAGATTGCCAAGGACAATGACAAGGCAAAGGAAGGGAGGCAAGAGAAGGCTCATAACAACACACAGATCGCAACTGAATTTGTGGATATATAATCTGCAGTCATGGTATGTCTTGACCTGCCACTAGTCTCGTCACCCAGATGCAGACCACCACCCAGCTTCATGCGAAAGGGGAGAAAAGGGTCAGATGAAGGGAATAGATTCAACCCCTAGCTTCCAAATCCCTGCCGTGGTGCCTATGACCAAGTTCCCGTACGCCATTCCTTATAGAAACCCCAAAACGTCCATCGTCGTGGTTGCCATACTCGCCCAAAAAGAAAGACTCGACATGCTCAAGGTAAGACTACGACGCTGCGTGGCATCGCCTTTGGGTCGATTGAAAAGTTTCGTTCGTCAATCACTGTATTCCCAGACCGCAAGCTGGGGATAGCATCTTGTCTGCTGAGGTCTTGAGCCATCAGGTTCCAGAGCGCAAAGCGCTCGGCCATGCTCTCGCTAGGGTTCCTCTCTTGCTCCCGGATGCTATCCCGACGCTGCGGTCCAACCACCCGGTTGCTTCCTTTCAAGTTGAATCCCGCGTTGGCCTCATACGTCTTCAGCTTCGGCTTCTGTGTGTAAGCGGGAGGGCTCGGCCGGTGCGGGTGTCGGAGGTCTCGTTTGCGGTAGTTCCACACGCTCTTCTGGGGAAGAAACATGCTGGCGCTGATGGTGGGCACGGCCATGTCGCGGAGCGGCTGCCTGTAGAAGTCGCCCGCCGCATCTAGGTGGTTGACCAGATCCTGATGGCCCTGGCTTCGGAAGAAGGATAGAGCTCCAATGTCGAATGCCGGCGGCGTGTCATCCTGCCCTGTCCTGTACATGTTGCCCAACTAAGACGCGAATGCTTCGGCAGGGGATCCCACGTCGTCGCCATAGCCGCCGTAGCCCTTGCCCTGTTCCCTGTCAGTATTGCAGTAGCCAAGGCGGCAGAGAACCTCATGGATCACGGAACTGATCAAGCTAGACCATCCGCAGTCCCTGTCTCTGCTATCGGGGCCTCGAGACCAGTTGCCCGGGCTCGTCGCCCCGAGCGGCGCCTCGTTGCTGCCCAGAAGCCACGACAAGTCCGCATCTGCGTGCAGCAAATCGGGGTGCTTGTCGATGAAGGATTTGACCGGCTGTGAATGAGTTCGCAGCTCGTCCTTGTCGAGCAAGGCCTCGTTAAAGCCGTAGGCGATTTCGTGGTCTCGCATAAAGCGGAAGACGTCGAATTTGATGTCGTGAGTGAATTGTGCCTGCAGCCACCCGTTCATGAGCATGAAGAATAACTAGCCACAAGCGCGGAAAGGGGCCAAGCATATAACGGGAACTGCGCCCACTTACGCCAGGCTCAATTCTCCAGACCCAGTCATAGTCTCTCAGTCTTTTCTCGCGGGCAAAGGGTCCCGAGTTCCAGTGCGAGATTTGACCGAGGAAGGGCGTTGAGTGGCCGTCCTCGGAGACGGCCTCTTGACCAGGCAGATGACGCGGCGGCAGCGCGTTAAAGGCAGACGGCTGCTTTGGAGAGATCAGGTTTTCTTTCGTGATGACTTCGTACAGGCAAACGGCACCGGTCGCGTTCGACGTCTGCTGTCGGAAGTCTTCGCTCAGAGGTTGGGTGCTGAAGAAGACCCAGGGGTAACGGTATCGGTGGTTGTACGTCTCTTCAAGCTGCGAGATGGACGACAAGATGGCGGGCAGATCATGCTCGTGCGCAAGGGAGACGAAGGCTGCTCTGGGTCGTTGATCAGTAGCAGAAGAGATGGCGAGGCCATGCACGAACGATGACAATTGGATCAACACGAAGATCCAAGCCATGGCGAACGGCATGGTCCAACAGGGCGAGGAGTCGGTTGCACTACGTTTCTTAGCCATGCTGGGCCCTGGCGGCAAAGGCGACGGAGGGTAAACAATGGATTGACAGTTGAGGTGGAAGTTGGTAACTGGCGTTCTGCCTCTGTCACAGGGTTTGCCGTGATGAAAGAGAGTACACAAGTGAATAGGATGGATTCAAGAATGGTAGTGATGCAAGGAATCAATCAGATCCAGGGAACGAGAAAGAAAGAAAGAAAACAGAAAACCCAGGTGACAGGAATTCAAGAAGTCAGCTGAGGAACCGAAAAGGAGTGTGTGAAGTGAAAGTGAGCGGCAGGCTGGCCTGGTGGCAGATCCAAGGAGCAGGAAGCCGAGGTTGAAACAATGTTTGGAGAATGGGTGAAGAAGGATGAAGAAAAGAGCAGAAAAGAAGAGAAGATGAAGAAGAGAACGGCGGAGAAACGGCAGAATTAAAGCCGGTGAACAGTTTGCTGAGGCAACAGCAGGAGGCTTTGGTGGGCAGCTGGCGGGCAGCTGGCAGGGAGAAAAAGACTGGCCAGAAGTCGTTGTGCAAACGTCGAATCGAACAGACTCTGGGCATCAGCCCGCCGGCTATTGAACAACTGGGAACATTATCCGGGGATTGTAGAAGAGAAGTCCGTCGGCAAATGCTTGACGGTTATTCATTTCCCAGCGGCAGCTAGAGTAGAGCAGGAGACGGCCAGGTCAATATCCGACTTGAGCATACTCAGGTAGGTAAGGCAAGGTAGGTGAGGTACGGCAACAGGGAGAAGGGAGTGGACATGGTCGGCTTCACTGTGTTGACACCTGAGATAGCAGCACATAAGTTTCCATGGTGCTGCAAATGCCATCAGCGACCTGAGGATAGATTCGCTTGATAGCTGACTAGTAGGCTGCAGCAAGGTAAACGCAAAGGAGACGACAGCGCCCACAGAGACAACGGAGAGCAGATTGCCTGTTCCACATTAGAAAAAAGAAAGGAAAAAGAGAGCCCCTACGGGTAAAGAAGCAGCAAAACAAGCAAGAGAATTGACCCCATTTCCCCCAAGCGCCAGACGCAGTCACTGTTCCAGTATTCAACAGAAATGCCCATCCTGCCGTCGATCCTTTCTACCCTCCTCTAGATACGTGCCGCAAAATCAGTTCAAAACACGCGAGGACCTGTTAATATACACGCCTGGGTGGTCGTGGTTCTCGCCCTCCTCCTCTCTGTGGACATGGGTGGTCTACGCCTCAACGTCCATCGAGTCTCCGTCTGCCGAGCCGTCATCCAAGTTCAGCTCTATCAGCCTTGCATATTGGGCTGTGAGGCGCTGCAGCTCGCGAAATTTACCTGTTTATCGCGTTCAGATTAGCTCGCGTCCAAAAGATCGGTTCAGGGAAAAGGGAAGAATGTCGTACCAAGAATAAGAACCACTCCCTTAAGCAACTCTTTCCGATCCCATCCACATAGCTGTTCATCCTGGCTGTACCAGCCCCGGCTTACCGTCTTCTCCGATTCCTTCTCCTCCAGCACACCGCCCAGCAAGCTGTTGAGAAGCTCCTCTACCTTGCCTTTGGCACCCTCTGCTCCCAGACGCTTGGCATACATGAACAGATATAATCTGAACTCGTCGCTTGCGCCCAGCTGCAGAGCACCAGCGATCCGATTCTCCAAGTGGGCAATGCTGACACTGCTTTCCAGACCCTCCGCCTCCGATCTCTGCATGACAGTCTTAATGATGCGCTGCAGAGCATAGGCCCTTCCCTTGAGAAGAAACTCATTGGTGGTGTGTCGCTCGAGGAAAGGAATGATGCCAGAGGACACGGTGACGGTTCCCTTTTCCTTGTCTTCTTTCGAGGTGGGGCCAACCGCTGTGGACTGCAAAGCCGAGATGGACGAGTCGTTCGAGTTCCAGTACTGCGAGCCCACCGCCCACCACGCCTCGCTCAGCCGCTGCCACGTGTACATGTCTCGAGCATAAAAGTAGCCGTCGCCGTTTGTCAAGGTGACGACGATGTGGCCGGTCGAGTTGAGGTGAGCAGATGTGATGCCAGGGCCAGGCGTGGCCGAGTGCTGATTTAGCGAGGCCGTTGCAATGTCCAGTATAGGGCCGACGGACACGGGAGGATGCGGTGAGGACTGCGTTTTGAGGTTCCAGACGTGGACAAGTCCCACTGCTGTGATGACCATCAGCCAGTAGTCCCTGCATTCGAGGATGACAGGCTGAGACTCCAGGATGACGGGGTTGAGAAGACGTCTGCCGGCGGGAGTCCAGACGTGCAATGATCCGTCTTCACAGGCCACGGCCCAGAAGTGCTTGCTCGCCGTCACCAGAATGACGGCTCGGGGCAGAAACTCCTGCCATACCAAGACTCCTCGCTTGGTCACCAGCACATGAGCTGGATTGCGCGGGTCGGCGTCGTTTTTGGCTTCGAGGATACTGTTCTCCGGGTACTTTGATGCGTCTTCTAGCGTTGACGCCTGCGGTTGCAGCACGCCTCGCTCCAGAGGTCGCAGGATGTGTGATCGTATCTTGGGCACGGCAAGGCGCACCTGGGCATAGGAGATGGAAGGATTCAAAACGGCCGGCCGCAAAAACTCGGGAGTCGGGATGACGCCGTGCTCGACGGGCACGAGGGCCGCATGCTCCACGCCATCGACTCCGTTGGTCACAACAGCCGTTGGGCCGCCAGCCGCCCGCTTCGCCGCAGGCTCCTCGTCGTCGTCTAAATCAGTCGTGGCGGCGCGGCGCTTGTTACCGAGCAGCATAGCAACGATTCCGCCCTTGGGCAGGCCGTCAAAAGGCTTGCTCAAGTCCAACATGGTCTGCGGAGCGTCATTTTGTGTGTTCTTGGTTGTCGTCGACCCCACAAGTTGGCTTTGCGGCAGCGAAGACTGCCCAGTCCCGGACGAGGAGACCAGCAACGGTGCCACTCGTTTCCTCCCATCCTTACCGACGGTAACTCGCGACTTTAGCTCGCGGACCCGTTCGGCCGTCTTGTCAGCAGTCTCCTCCGCCTTTTCTTCCTTTGCCTTTTCTTCCTTTGTGTCGACGCTCTCCTTTTCTTTATCCTTGTCTGACTCTGCGCTTCCATTGGCAGCTGCCTTCTCAGTGACTGACGCGGAAGACTCAGCTTTGCTGGCTTGCGTGGCCGGGGTGGACTCCTTTGCTGACTCGGTCTGGAAGTCGCCCATGAGAGCCCCCATCCTGGACTGCACAGCCCTTGATTCGCCCGCCTTGCTATGCTCCTCCAGCAGCAGTCCGTCCACATCCTCGGCGATGCCCATGCCCTTGCGAGACGCACCGTACTTTTGGAGCGCCTTGGCGTTCTCCTCCTGCTGAGCCACCCACCCCAGCTCGCCTTCGTCAAACTTGGCCACAACCACGGTGCCATCCAGGCTGGATGCAAACAGGGTCTGACCGTCCGGCGTCCAGGCCAAGTCGGAAATGGACTTGCCCGCTATATCCTGCAAGATGACGACGGGGCGCGAGGTGTTGGTATTCCAGATGCTCAGCGTCTTGTCCTGGCCTGCAGACGCAATGACCGTCACCAGTTGCCCTCCGTGGCCGTTTGCCGCCCCGTTCTGCCCCGGCTTGACGGTGTGGAAGAGGCGAGGCGAGAACATGCACACTTCGGTCGGCGCCTCGTGGCCGATCAGGTTGATCTCGCTGTCCCACCTCGTCCGTTCGATGATGGCGACCGAGCTGACGGGGCCGTTGACGGCATTGGCGGCGGCGATGTGGTTGCCGTCCGGCGACCAGGAGCAGCGTCGGAAGTAGGTGGTCAGGGGCGAGCTCTTGAAGGGGGAGCTGATGGTGGCGTCGAGGACAAAATTGTTAATCATGTCGTGCTGCGTCGCGTTCGGGGCGGGCGGGGTGAAGCGGAAGATCTTGATGGTTCGGTCGTCGCTGGCGGTGGCGAAGAACTTGTTGGCCGGGTCGAAGGTGATGCCCTTGACGTGGCTCTGGTGCGCGGGAATCGACTTGAGCTTCTCGAACGTGTGGCCTGACCAGACCACGACCTTGGAGTCGAGCCCGACCGACACCAGCAGCGACGAGTCGTAGGACCAGGCCAGGTCCTGGACGTCGTTGTCGTGGCCGATAAGGCGCTTGTACGTCTTCCAGTTCTCGACGGGCGGCGGCTCGTTGGTGCCAAAGGTCGGGGCCGGCGGCCCCTTGTCGAGGTGGTAGACGCAGATGAGCTTGTCGTCGGCGCCGCTGGCCAGATAGCGGCCATTGGGCGAGAAGCGCACCGAGTGGATGGTGCCCAGGTGATGGCTCATGTGGCACAGCTGGCGCGGCTTCTTGTAGTCGGGGTCGTTGGCGTGGTAGACGGCCTCGGTCGACCAGATGCGCACATGGCCGTCGCCGCCCGCAGTCGCGATTCGCTTGCCATCGGGCGAGACGTGGCAGCTGTAGACCTCGAAGTCCTTCTGCTCGCCGCTGTGGCTCAGCCACGAGGGCTTGATGATGCGCATGGCGGGCGAGGCGCGGGCATTCAGCGGGATCGGGAGATGGACGAGGCTGATGGCGAAGTGGTGATGTCTCTTGGTGTTTTGGCTGCCAATGTGTTTTTTCTGCTGGAGGTTGGCGATTGGACTGTTGGCACAGCTGTGTCGGTTGCCGGCCAGGTACAGACGGCGTACCTTTGTGGGGGAGCACGCAGGTCAGAGGTACAACTGCCGTACAAGCCCAAAAGCCGGCTGACAGCTGAAGCGGGCTCGACCTTTGGGGGGACGCGCTGGCGCGTTTTCTGTGCTGCTAGGCTCCAGGTCGACTTTTTGGGCCAGCCGCCCCGTGTCGCATCAGCGAAATCGCCCGTCACCAAAAGGCAGTTGGAAGTCCTCTGTGCGGACGGAACAAGTTTGATGCGGGTTTTGCACAGACTTGGGTCAGACCCCGGCAAATGACTTGCGATGCAATTGCAAGGCTCAATCAAATTAATGGCCCTTGAAAACATGGAGGCTATGACATCATGCAGAGCGGGTTCAATGGAGGCATGTGATGATGCACGTCAAGCCAGAGCAGCATTCGTTATGGATACAAGCGGTTCATCCGGAACAGACGTGCAATGAGAGATTATGCAATTCGCATTGAGCTCCTGGTCCTCGTCGTATCGTGAAATCGTTCAGAACATGGGAGACTGCATAAGGTACGAAACCCCCCAAGGTATACATAGATAGAGCCCTTTTCTCTAACTCTATGTTACAAATCCAAGACTCCAAGCGCCGCTGCCCAATCGACCAACTGTAAACTCCACCAGGCGATGAGAAGACCGGTCCTGAAATGAGAATAAGGAAATGTAAGAGGAAAAAAAAAAGATTTTCCTCAAACTCGGACCGTCGAGGGGGTCACCATCGTATTTGGCTCATTGATGGCGTTCGCCGCGCGGCTCGAGTCCGGCTCAAGCGGCTCTCCCTCGTCCAGCTCCAACTGCTTGTTATACCGCAGAATCTTGTCAGCAACTCCTCTGTCAATGTACGTGACCATGAGAGCCGTCATCTCATTGTCCATCTCCTCGATCTCACGCACAATCGCCCCCAAACCGTGCCACCCAACAATGTTCTTGGCCGCAATGTTCCAGCTGCTGGCGGCCGCGCAGACGCAGTTCATCTCAAACTCCAGCACCTTGCGGTACAGCTGCAGCAGTCGGTCTCTGGTGCGGTCGCGCTGGGCGTTGAAGTCAAAGTCGTTCTTCCAGGCGCTGGCGAGCAGAATCTCTGAAAGGTGCATGTACCAAGGGATGCGTCCAAGGACGTGCAGGGCACCGCGCTTCATCTCTTCGATTTCAATTGGCGGACCAAGAAGAAGCTGCGACACGTAAAAGGATCAATAACCATTCAAACAATTCACAGGCTGGTCTATAGGTACACAAGGACAGGATGCTCACCGGTGTTAGAATGCAGATGCCCGACCAGGCGACCGCCGTGGAAGGATATGTCGCCCACACGCTTTTGATAAGCCTCTGAGCAGCCCTGATTATGCCCTTTGCAGAGGTGTTGGCTTGAGATTTGGTCCCGCGAGACCTCTTCAGCCCAGACTCGGTGATGGTGATGAGAGCTTTGAACCGCTCCTTGTCAGATCGGGGCAAACTCTGATTGAGCCCGCCTATTGACTGTCCGTGCGACAGTTCCTGGCACAAAATCGACTCGTAGACGGTGACAAGGCCAGCGGATCTCGTGCTGTCTCGAAGGGAGTTGTAGGCCTCATTCCACAGGTCCATGGAGATGCTCTTGTCTCGCCCGCCGCCCTTTGGAATGGAGTAGACGGAGGACGTCGAGGACGGAGCTCTGTAAGGTCCCATCCATTCGGGTGTGGCGACGCCGCTGTCGGAATCAGAATCGTCCTGAGGCCCATGGTGGTGAAAGTCGTGATGGAGGATCTTGCCAACCAACTTGATCAGGCGGGAGTCGTGGGCTTTTGGCATTGTGGCGTGCGGTGGGGGCAAAAGACGGTATGGTGCTCTATTTCCCTCCTGTCTCATTCATTCCATAGCAGGTGAACTCTGCACAATGCAAGTATATTGTGTGGTGATGTGCAATAATGGCTCAACGAAGAATAGAATCATTGCTGTAATCATTTTTACGGAGTCGCGACACTGAGGCAAAAGTGGGTGACAGCTCAACTATATACTAGGTAATAGTCGGACGACTTTGGACACACCCAGGCATCAGGGAAAAGCCCTCGGTGTCCCAGAAGATCGGACCGTGTGACGTTTTTTCCTTCTCGTTCTGGGCTCGAAGGTCATAAACCCACACAAGCTCCGACTGGGTGAACCAGAACCGGATTCGCTGTTCGGCCTTGCGGTAATCGGGATACGCAGACGCCTTCCACGAGGTGCTAAGAGAAGAGGGTTTAGTCCAATGTACATGTAGGCATGATGGCATCATATCCGGTTCCGAGGGCAAAACGTGGCTGGGGCTGAAGCCCGCAATTCGTCCAACAACCCCGGATTTTGGGTGGATGCGGCCCTCAGGTCTTAGATCGCTGCAAGCTTTGGCTTTGAAAATTCGATAGTCGGGACGTGAGGTTCCGCCGGACGTACATCTAACCAAGCTGCTGGTGCTGCGACTTCGAGAGATGTCTGAATCCCCGTGTTATTCGCGTCCGCAAGTTCAGCTTGGCTTCAGCCTAGGGGCTGCTAACGAAGAGAGAGGGCTGGCAATGGCGCAACGGCGGGTCGAGACCATGGACGAATGGCTCTGGAGATGAAGTGAGGACCAAGCCGGTTGGGTCCCGGTCCGGGCAAGATGCCGGACCTGATGAGGAGAGATCAGCTCTTGGATCCGTGGGCAACCGGAGGTGAGAAGTTCCAACAACGCCACGAGCATTACATCAACACCATCTGCGCCTTAGCTTCTTCGCTACTGTAGTACACAGCCACCAGAATAGGAGCTCAGTATCACTCCTCGCTCATTCACGAGCTCAGGAAAGTAACACCACGGCCATCTAATACCGAGGAAGTCATTTTTCAGGCATCAGATTGGTAGGTAATCGTCCACTTATAAGATGTCTCGTTTCATCTGGGTTAAAGAGTCATGTGCAAGCATCCCTCCGATAAGGTAGCAATTTCGATTCGGTGGTGGGTATCAGAGGTCGAGGCTGGCGGGATTTCCCGAGCGAAGCATCGCCTTGCGCACGATGATTGCACTGCAGGTACTCGCAGGTTTCCGCACAACTGGTAGGTATGTGGGCATTCTGCTCATGCACTGTAACAGTAAGGATTTGCGTCGCTGGCATCACTCCCCATCTTGAAGATTGATGCAGCCTTTCTGTTGGTCACAATGGCAAGCGAAAGATCCCTTTCCTTTTCCCCTTCCTTTCATCTGGCCAACCACCGGCCAACTTGATCGTGTCGAGGCAATCATGCCCTGATCTGGCAGCACGAGTCAAGAGCGCCTAAAGCCCATCACGAACCCGCTGGGCTCCTCCAGGTCTCGGAACCAGGCGTGCGATCGTCAACGGGCACAAGCATTCATAAGGTACTTAAAAGGGCCGTCGCATGCAAACGAGCACAGACAGGCACTGAATACCTGGTTTGCTAGTGCTGCACTGCAGATGATCAGCAAAAGAAGATTTAGGGTGCCTACAGGACTCTGCATGTATGCACCCAAGCGTGGAGGGTTTTGGCCCTTTAATTTCCACTACCGTGTCGCTCAAGCCTCGCTGTGGCCTATGAACGCGGCGAATATGGATTCATATTGACACAGCACCACGCGGCATGGTGTCTTTCGCAGGTGAACAGACCTGAATCCGACCCGTGGACGACACAGACCGAACCCCAACACGCGACAAATGGCTTTAGTGCTCTCACCATGAACTTGAGGCTATTTTCAAGGGACTTGCGCTGCCTCGGCCTCGATCGAACAATATGTACGAGCCGACCCCAGACAGCATCAACTACCTAGTAGGTAGGTTACCACTCGCTTGTATCAAATCGCCCAGTTATCCAATCACCGCGGCACTTCTGCACACCTGCAGGCGGCTCCCTGGTTCGTGATCGCCATCAGATGCCGGCTCGGGATCGTTCGTTCGCTGTTCGTTTCAGACAACACCCTGCTCGTTTTCCATTGTCCGGCCGTTCGCCAGGTGTCGAATAAACAGCCGACTCAGAATTCTGCCGCAGCAGGCCTTGTTCACGTCCTCACCGCATACATGTACCTACCTACAATAGAAACAAAAGCAAACGCCGATCTTGCTACCTCGTTTTCTCTCCTCTTCTCCCCTTCTCCTCTCCTTCCCTTTGCCTCCGTACATGCTTGCAACTTGCCTTCTCACTCTGAGATTCCATTTCAACTGGCTCAGCCTCTTTCTGCATTAACCAGCAACGGTCTCCCTATTCTTCCCAGTCTTACTTCAGAAGACAGTCTTATTTAATTTCGCAAAAGGGGCACGGATCGCTTCCATCATGAAGTCGCTCTCCGTCCTGACCACTCTGGCCGTTGCTGCTCTTGTGAGCGCTGCTCCCCAGAAGTTCCAGCTCTCGAACAGCACAGACGTTACGTGGAACCCAGCTCCGTCAGATCAGAGCACCTGCGAGCCCTCGAGCTTCTCCCAAGGTCCGATTCCCAATGCCGCCGACTGGCGCGTCTGTGCCGCCCTCCTGAGTGCGTGGGCTAGCGAGAACGGAACCTTTAGCATTCGCGACGCCTCGGGCAGTGCCTGGATCCCCGTCCTCAAGTCGGAAGGCTGCACCTTGGGCGTCAAGGCTTCGGAGCAGGGTCAAGGACCCTACATCGTGGGAGACGAGGATGTCAAAGCAATCTTCAACATCGCGCTCGAGTACTACTCGGAGGGAACCGACCTCTCCGTCGAGGGCAACGTCAAGTGCGATGTTGCTGATGGCGGCCGAGCGGGTCTTAACTGGCAAATCTACCGCCAGTAAACAGGCCCGATAGCTCTTCTGGGACGCTCTTCCATGGAGGCCAAGATAGACCAAACTACCCTGCTGCACAGCATGAATGGTACGATTGTCATGATGAGAGTATTTTGCTTTGTTGATGCAAGGCTAACCTGCTGTGTAGGGTTTCCGGTTTTTCTACGGTCAAAATCACGACGACGACGACCCAGAGTCAGGGGAAATTACTTGCAGTGGCGTTATGGGGATGAAGAAAAGCTTTGATGGATAGGGATGAGCTCGCGCGACGGAGCCGGGCGTTGCTTTTAGCCAGCACGTACTGAATATACACGCCTCCAGATTTCCATGGAGCATAATCTTTTTGCGAAACGCGAAACTCGATGAGTGTGACATTGTAATGGGATGAAGGTACCTCTAGTGGCGTGGATGCCAGGTTCGATGGTACATCTCTGCCCATCTCAAGGTTCTATCAGGCGCGCAGCTCGACTGATGTGTGACGTTTCCTGCAAGAGATAAAGCGAGAGATACCTACTACCTGTGGCCTAGGGCCGAGACGAGGTACCTAGGTAGGTAGGTAGAGAAGCTTCCATCTTGAACAAATCTGAGACACCAGACGATCTCTCATGCACGACATTGCCGACCTTGGTCGGAAGCTTAGGCTTGCCATGTACTTAGGTAGGTAGTAGCTGGCTTGAGCTCGTTCGTAGGTAAGACATGCGCACACAGGCTGATTGTTTCTTCTCCTTCAAAAACACATTCAGAGTAGCATCCGGTGGTCCATATTACAATTGATATTCTCGTCTGAGTGAAATGAGGACATACAGACAAAGTGATTAGAGACATTGTGGGCCGAGATGCCCGACATGTCGGAACTCGTCAGCTTCGTGGTTGTCACAGCACTACCGTGGTTGATGGAACCCGATCCAAGTTCACTCTCCACATCACAACCTGCAACAAGCCGTCTTGTCCGGATGTCTTTAATGTTTTCTGGAGCGATGTCATTGTCTGTTTCGAGACATTATCGTCGGGAACACGTTAATTATGCGGATAGTCGAAGCTGGTGGCCTATTTCAGGGTATGTAGGAAAGTGTTCCGGCCGCAACATACATGTAAGGTACGAGTACAACAGACATCACCCAACCAACGTTGACGGGGAGACTGATGGAAGTCAGCACTTGATGCAGCTGGAGCCTGGCACACCTGGAGCAATTACAAGTGACGTCCACAGGGGGTTCAGCCAATGGAACAGCAAACAAGGCGCTGAGCTGCAGTGGCCGCGGCCGCTGGAACCACTAGAAGCTGGGCTCCATGCAGCAACCTACAGCTCAACTGGCAGCTGGAGAGGTGCCCGGTCTGTGCGCCAAGTCTCTTGCGCTGCAGCCCAACTGGGAATAGTCCCTTTCGAGCCCAGCCTTGTGTGTTTTGCTGCGGCTTCTCACAGGCGCGCCAAAGCTCGTCGATTTTCGTCCTTCGTCAAGCTCTGCGTCAGGGCATCAGTTTGCATTCACCTGAGCCTCGCCGTGCCTTTTCCCACTCTCGATCATCTCATTTATTTGGCGGTCAGGGCCGTTGGATGAGGCTTTCATTTCCTCCATCCCGCTGACCAATTGCCACGCCCCTTCCTTTCGGTCGTTTCATTCTTCTTCCCTTTTTTCCCTTTCCTTTCTGTCTTTCCCTTTCCCTACGACGCCGCGTTCCGCAACCGAGTAACCCAACACACATTCATCGCGCCCATCGACCGAGTAATGACGAGACTCGCGTTGTCATTGTCGACCTAAGACTCCGGGCACAACAATGGCGGCGGCCGATGTCGACGTCGGTTACATCGCGGGCCACCTGGGCCTCGACCAGCCTGTGGTGGCGGCTCTGACGACGCAGCCTACAGTCGATCTTGTCGCTACTCTGCTCAAGGCCGTAGCTGCCAAGGCACACGAGTTCGAGACGCTGTATGCCGAGAAGCTGCAGACCGATATTGAATTGGAGAATGCCGTTCGAAACTCCGAGACCAAGTCCCAGACCTTCAAGGCTACCGCCGAAAAGGCCCTCAAAGAGGTGGAGGAAGCCCGACAGCGCCTCAAAGAGGAGGGTACGTGACTCCCCCGCCCACTTGCGGTGGTACCGAGGCTCTGTTCGGTTGTTCAGCTAACATTTGTGTGCACCTCAGAAACGAAACGGCAGTCACTGGAGAACGAGCTCCAAAGTCTCAAGGCCAAGTATTCCGATTACGATGCCGACGTCAAGGCTCTTAACGACAAGATCGAGACCCTACAGTCCTCGAACCGAACAAACCTCAGCATTATTGAATCCCATAACAAACGCGACCAGACCTTGACCGAGGAGCTTACCAAGCAGCATCAGCGAAATGTCGAGCTCGCCAGAGAGGTTACGACCCTGCAGCAGTCGGAGCAGAACGCCAAGGGGCAACTCAACAGCGCCAAATTCCGACAGGAGGCACTCCAGCAGCAGCTTGATCTGGCTCGTCAAAATGCCGAGTGGCTCGAGGCCGAGCTCAAGACCAAGAGCGACGAAGCCCTCAAATACCGGAAAGAAAAGGGCGCCAAGATTGCCGAACTTCAGAGACAAAACGAAGATGCCAAGGCTCAGATTGATTCTCTGAAGCGTTCTGAGCAGCAGTTGCGCGAACGCCTGGATGCTATGCAATCCAAGGCAGACGATGCCCTTGTCAAGTTGCAGAAGCAGGAGGGCTCCTTTGCAGCGACCGTAGAGAGCTACAAGCAGGAACTGGAAGACCAGAGACGGCTTGTTGAGATGTCTGAGCAACTAAGCAAGAAACATCAGGAACGCGTACGGGAGTTGGAGTCCGAGAAGGAGCGTCTCAAAGACAGCTACGAGAACGAACTTCGCCGCGTGCGTCTGGAGCTCGAATCCGAACGTCGCGTCACCACCGAGATGGAAGAGCGGATTCGACGGCTGGAGGGCGAGCTGGACGAAGCACACGTCCGCATAGAGCACGCTGCTCCTGCATCATCTGCACCACAGACTCCCCGATTGAATGGCTCAACCTTCGGCCGGGCCAACTCCCCCTTTGGAACGCCTGGTTCTGCGCGAAACAAGTCGACCATCACCGCCACGCAGGCAATTGAGCAGCTTTACCAGGTCAAGGGCCAGCTTGCCAGCGAGAAACGGCGGAACCAGCAGCTTGCCGAAGAGCTCGATGGCATGATCGCCGCCTTGGAAGCCAAAACACCAGAGATCCAGGAGCTTCAGTCCGAGGCCGAAACTCTCCGGAACGAGATCGCTCACATGTCTGAACTGTCGCAGCAGAGCTTCGAAGAGCGCGACGCGGCACGAAAGGCAGCCAGGAAAGCCGAAAGCGCTCTCGCTACAGCCCAATCCGAGAGCAAGATCTTACGCACACAGCTGCGAGACTTGGGCACTCAGATCCAGATGCTCGTCTTCAACATCTATGCACTGGAAAAGGGCGTCGACCAGTTGACTGAGGAAGAAAAGTATCGCCTGCAGCAGCTCGAGAAGGGCGAAATCACCGAGGAGGCTCTGTCTGATATGTCTGATACTCACCAGTTTATCACCCAGAAGTTGGTGGTTTTCAAGGACATCAAGGCGCTACAGGCCAAGAACGAGGATCTCCTGCGCATCACGCGTGAACTCGCCGAGCAGATGGAGAGTGAGGAGGCGTTGGCAGCGAAGCACCAGGCCAAGGAGGATCACGACATGGTTGAGAAGCTCCAGCAGGATCTCACCCATATGATGGAGGAGATCAAATCCGCAAAGATCACTATGGAGAGCTACAAGATGGAGCGCGACATGTTCCGGCGTCTTCTTCAGCAACGCGGCGCGGGCGAGGATCCATCTTCCTTTATGCGCCACTCTCTCGATGGCCGACTACCCATGGCCAGCATAGAGTCTGCAGAGCAGACGGAGACTCTGACGGAAGCCCTGCGCAAGATACAGGCGGAATACGACAGCTTCAGAGACGCCCAGGACGGTGTGCGGAGGGATTTCAGACAGCAAATCGATCACCTAACTGCGGAGAAGAACGCGCTTCAGACCGCAAACATTAAGCTACAGGGCGAGGTCAGGCTGGAAGCCGAACGAAGAGAGATGCTGCAGAGCAACTATCAGGCACTCCAGAACGAAAACAGCGAGCTCCAAAAGAGGACACAGATTCTTTCCGAGACGGCTGCCAAGCAAGACATTAGGACTCAGCAAGTCGCAGAAGAGCTCATCGAGGTCAAGGGCCTCTTGGACAGCATGCGCAACGAGACGGCCAACCTCAAGGCGGAAAAGAAGCTCTGGAAGGACATTCAAGAGCGCATGAGCAAGGACAACGACACATTGATCGAAGAGAAGAACAGACTGGGCAACCTCTTGACGGCCCAGCAGTCGCTGGAAAACGAACGCAACATTACCGAGTCCGAGAACCGCCGCAAAGCTCAAGCCAAGATCGAGGCTTTGGAGCTTGAGCTCGGCACGGTGCAGAAGAAACTCTCTCAGGCCATAGAAGATACTCAGCATCTCCAGCAGCGGAAGGAGTTTGAAGCCAAGGAATCCCAGAAGAGGATTGACGATCTCATGGCCAGCTTGAGTCAACTCCGAGAGGAGCACGTCAGCGTCAAGACGTCCCGTGATCATCTCCAAGCCCGTGTGGACGAGCTGACCGTGGAGTTGAGAAGCGCCGAGGAGCGTGCCGGACGCCTGCAGCCCCGTCCTACGCCCCGACCGGGTCTCGTGACAGACAACAACGTGCGCCAGCAGGAGCTCGAGGCTGAGGTCCAGGATCTCAATAACGACATCTCAGATCTCAAGCGGGATCTCGATATGGCCAACACACAGTTGGAAAATGCAAAGGCCCAGGCCGAGCAATACAAGGAGCTGAGCCAGAGCAATGAAGAAGCATTGGAAGACTTGCGGGCTTCACAGGAGCAGTATCGCCAGGAGATTGAGGTTCTCATTCAGGAGAAGGACGCGAAGATCAAGGAGCTGGGTCAGCAGATTGAAGACTTGTCTGCTGAACTGTCACGGTCGAATACCGAACTCTCTACGATCCGGGATTCGCAAGGGGAGATTGCACGCAAGTACGAAGACGAGAAGGCGATTCTGGAGGAGGAGATCAAGCGGCTCAAGGAAGAGAGCAACCGCCACATTGAGGCTGCTCGGTACCATCAGCAGGATCTTCGTGCGCAAGCTGAGATTGCCTCAAAAGCTCAGCAGGACTACGAAAAGGAGCTTGTCAAGCATGCCGAAGCTGCCAAGCTGGTGCAGGAATTACGCCACGAGTACAATGAGCTCAAGCGTGAGTCAGCATCGCTGCGCGCCGAAGCGGAATCTGCCAAGGTCGCGCTCGCTCAAAGTGAGAGCTCGTGGGAAGACCGACGACAGCAGCTTGAGCAGGAGATGGCCGAACTCAAGCAAAGACGCGAGGATGCCAACGCTCAGAACAAGCTGTTACATCAGCAATTGGAGAGCTTGACCGCCCAGATCGCAGCTATGCAGCAAAACCGCAACAAGATTGCTGACGCAGACGAAGCCATGTCCTCTGTGGGAGTGACCGATGCCATTGAGGGCATGCGAGAGCTGAATGGATACCTGCGTCGCGAAAAGGAGATTCTGGAGGTTCAATACGACATGAAGACGAACGAAGCGAAGCGTTTGCAGCAACAAGTCGAATACCTGCAGTCGCAGCTGGACGAGACACGTTTGAAGCTCGATCAGGAGCGTCAGGCTTCTCAGAGCGGCAACACTTCAATGGCCCATAAGGATCTTATGGAGAAGTTGCATGAGCTCAACCTCTATCGCGAAAGCAGCATGGCCCTTCGTACTGAGAACAACCAGCTCAAGGATCAAATTACTGAGAAGAACAAGAAGATTGACGAGATGACGCAGAAGATCCAGCCGCTTGAGGCTGAGATTGACAACCTCAAGACGCAAAAGTCATTCTTGGAAGAGGAGATCAAGCAGATCCAGGAAGATCGCGATCGCTGGCAGAAGAGGACCGAGGGCATCTTGACGAAGTATGGTCGCGTTGACCCGGCCGAGATGGAGCAGCTGAAGCAGACGATCGCCGACCTCCAAGCGGAGCGGGATGCTCTCAAGGCAGGCGAACAGCCGCTACAGGCGAAGGTTGCCGAACTCGAGTCAATCCTAGAGACGGAACGGGCCAACTGGTCGAATACCCGAGCCAAACTGACCGAGCAGTTCAAGGACCGATCTCGAAAACTCACTGGCGAGAGGAACGAAGCTAGTCAGCGGGCTAACAGCCTGCAAGAGCAGCTCGACAAGGTGAATGGCGTCCTTGCTGGGACGCAGAAGCAAGTGGAGCAGTTCGGCGAGGAGAAGACAGAGCTGTTGCGGCAAGTGCAAAGCTTCCAGCAGCAGGTTGAGGAGCTTCGCCGACACTCTCAGCAAACGCAACCTTTGGCCGCACACTCAGCCGCCCAGCAGTCGCACTCTGACGCCTCTGCATCAGCAGAAGTTGTTGCTGCCCTCGAGGAGCGTCTCGCCAATGCCCAAAAAGAGCTGGAAGCCGTCAACGCCCAGAAGCTGGGAGCCGAGCAGCAGCTGGAGAGGCTCCGGAGCGAGCTACAGACTGCTACTTCAGAGCGTGATAGCGCGTTGCAGAAGCTTCAAGAAGCCACTGCTGCAGGACAGCCTTCTTCCGCTGGTGCCACATCTGCTGCAGCCCCCGAGGTCGGAGAGGGTCAACCTGCTGCCAATGGCCTATCCAATGCTGAGAGGAAAGCCCTGGAGGACAGGGTTGCTGCAGCCGAGGCCAAGGCGGCCGAATTCGAAAAGAAGGCCAATGAAGTTGAGGCCAAGATTCAGCAAACGATCAAGGAGCGGTCCGATAGGATGAAGGACACGTTGAACAACAAACTCAAGGAAAGCCGCGCCAAGCTGGAAGAGGAGTTCAAGAGGAAGGACGAGGACCTCAAGCTCCGATTCGAGCAGGAGAAGTTGATCTGGCAAGCCGAGAATGGCCCCAAGACTGCTTCCACGAAGGAAGCCCCCGCTGCCGAGCAGCAGCCACGCACGCCAGCCAAGGCCGAGGAACCGTCAACGCCGGCCGCTACAACTTCTGGCGGGCCTCCCGACCTCTCCCAGCTCGACGACTCAGCCATTCGACAGTTCTTGTCGACCAACGCGACGGTCAAGAACATCATCGCCGCCAACGTCCGTAAGAAGATGGATGCAGAGAGTGCCAAGATCAAGTCAGAGTACGAAAGCAAAATCACGGCAGCACGCGAGCAAGCGCAGCTCATGGAATCGAAGAAGTCTACACTACGCATCAATATGGCGGAGAACAAGCTTAGGACTGCAACCGCGAAATTGGGCGTGGTTGAGACGGCGGCAAAGGAGACGCCGCAAAAGCCAGTGGTGGAGGTCTGGGAGATTGCCAAGTCGACTCAAGCCCCTCCTCCTCCTCCAGCAGCAACAGCAGCGAAGCCGCCGGCCCCAGCCTCGACTGCTGGAACGCCAGCAAAGCCGCCAACGACTGGCACCATCCCATCGAACCCACAGGCTGTTCCTCCAGCTGCAGCTCCGGCTGCCCAACCTGTCGCCAACGGCCCCGGGTCTGCGGTTGCTCCAGCACAGGCTGCTACCCAACCTCCCTCAGAGCCCAAGGCTGCAGACACAGCTGCGCCGACTGCCAGCGGCATCCCGCCCCCCCAAGTTACGAACCCGTTCGCGGTGGCTGCAGCTGTGAGCGCCCCAGGAGTTCCCAACCCGTTTGCAAAGCAGGAGACAACGAACGCTCCCGCGGCCCAACAGGCACAGCCGCAGCAAGGCTTGCCAGGGGCGCCGCAAGCGACACAGTTGCCGCAGCCGCCGAACCTACCACAGCTGCCACCGCAGCCCCAGCAGCAGGGCCAGATGCCAGTCAGATCGGGGATCCCAATGCCTCGTGGCGGCGGTCGTGGACGGGGCGGAGCATACGTGCCTCCTAGCCAACGTGGAGCAGGCGGCAATGAAGGTGGACAGGGCCATGCTGGCCGTGGCGGACGCGGAGGTGCCCGTGGAGGCCGCGGAGGCATGAATGCTTCGGCCGCCGAGTTTCAACCCGGAGCGAAGCGACCAAGAGGCGACTCGGAAGCCGCCGGTGCTGGAGCCAAAAGGGCCAGAGGAGCTCACTAAGCGCGACACAAGCCTGTGAGGGCTTTGCGAGGGCGAGCAAATGATTAATCTCGGAGAGAGGGTTCTGCAATGTGTTATGCATGAGGAGGATGAAGTTCATTTATCTATCTAATCTATGTTTGTTTCATCAACAGGAGGGCAACGACTTATGGAGATATAAAATGGATGAAGAGGACATTGGAGACGCATTGTTGTATTCTTAGCATCGTCACTACTTGAAGTCGGGCATTTTCTTTCCTTTTCATTTAACACTTCATTCATAAGAGCGTCTTGAACCTGTAGCTTTGAACAATTACCCCTCCATGAAGCTTCATGAGTTCCAGTGTTGGCCTTGAAGAATTTCGTTTGTGGGCCAAGCGTACTGGCTACTCCATCCAGGCGCTGTCCGAAGTGCGGGTGGATGTATCGATACTTGTAGGATATAATCGGTGGATCGGGGCCTAGTGGTGCCGTCTTCCACTAAGATAACAGCCCAGCAGGGGAAAAAAAATCTTTAGAAGCTTCATCCATCCAGCGATAAGGGAATCTGGCGATAACTTCTTCCTCTGGTTGACGCTCACAATTCGGCCTCCATAATTGTTGAGATAATTAGGCTCTGAACTCGGAAGCAAAGCGGCTGTTAACCTCTAAACAAAAGCCTCGATGGGACCGCCGTCCAACAAGCGGAAGCTTCCCTCTGCCGCCGCACCAGCCGCGAAGCGCAGCAAAAATTCGGCCAAAGGCGCTGCTGCCGGCGCGGTCACGAAATCGAAATCGAATTCGAAACCGAAAACGAACCCCAAATCGCAGGCGAAGGCGACGCGGAAGCTGGTGGACGCTGCTTCTCTCGCTTGGCAGTCGGTCGGAGAGGAGTTTGGCGGGCTCGAGGTGATTGAGGGCGTCGACGTGGTGAGAAATGGTGGGACTGTGCAGTTTTTAGTGGCGGAGCAGCAGCAACAGCAGCAGCAGAAACAGAAAGATCCCGATTCTTCCGATTCATCAGCGCGCAGACAGGGGTTGAGCAAGCACGAGAAACCATCGACAGACGCACAAGATGCCGTCGGCGAACCTTTTGAAGGGTTTGGCGACAGCGCTGTGGAAGGCGAGGATGTCGATTCCGGCGAAGCTGGCGCTGCTCAAGGTGGCGTGGAAAGCGAGGGCGGCGAAGAGAAAGCTGCAGGAAAAGACAGCGCCAGCGGCGAGAAGAAGCACAAGAAGCAGAAGCAAAAGAAGCAGCTGGAAACGGCCGACAAAGAGCTACAGAAGCCCGCTCCACGCAAGCAGCAACAGCAGGGCAACACGTTCGACGCCCTCATGGCCGTGGACGACGCCGCAGAAGAAGCAGACATGGCTGCCTGGGTGGAGCTGAATCTGTCGACGCGCGTCGTGTCTGCGATTGCGAAGCTGGGGTTCTCGAAGCCGACGCTGATCCAGCAGAAGACGATACCCGAGATCCTGGCGGGCGAGGACGTCATTGGCAAGGCGCAGACGGGTTCCGGAAAGACGCTGGCCTTTGGTATACCGATCGTGGAGAAGTGGCTGGAGCTGTACGTCGACAAGGCGAACGCCAAGCGCGAGGGCCCGACGGCGGTCGTTCTCAGCCCGACGCGAGAGCTGGCGAAGCAGCTGTCGGACCACATCAAGGCGCTCTGCGATGGACTGCCGACGGCGCCCTACGTCTGCACTGTGACTGGTGGCTTGAGCATTCAGAAGCAGCAGCGGCAGCTGGAGAAGGCCGACATTGTCATTGCGACGCCCGGTCGTTTGTGGGAGGTGCTGGACGGCGACATGAGCTTGCAGGATTCCTTCACCAAGATCAAATTCTTGGTCGTCGACGAGGCAGACAGGCTGTTCAAGGCAGGGCAATTCAAGGAGGCGGAAGATATCATTGGAGCTCTGGACCGACGGGACCCCGAGGCTGACGAGGACGACGAGGGCGACGATCTTCCTCCGCGACAGACGCTCGTTTTCTCGGCCACGTTCGATAAGAATCTGCAGTCGAAGCTGGCGGGCAGAGGCAAGGGGCCCAAGGCAGCGGCGGGGAGTGACGAGGAGAAGATGGAGTACTTGATGAAGTGTCTCAAGTTCAGGGGCGAGCCCAAGTACATTGACGTCAATCCGGTGTCCCAGATGGCCGAGGGCCTGAAGGAGGGCTTGATTGAGTGTGGTGCCATGGAAAAGGTGCGTCCTCACACATGTCTACTAATGTTCCGCGCCTTGGATTCTTATATCCTCTTGCTAACTTGAAATACTAGGATCTCTACCTCTACACCGTCCTAGTCCTCAACCCCGGCCGTCGCACTCTCGTGTTCACAAACTCCATCTCCGCCGTCCGCCGCCTCACCCCCCTCCTGCAGAACCTCGGTCTCTCCGCCCTCCCTCTACACTCTCAGATGATTCAAAAAGCTCGTCTACGATCTATTGAGCGCTTCGCTGCTGCCAAGAACTCCATCCTTGTCGCAACCGACGTGGCTGCCCGTGGTTTGGATATCAAGGAAGTCGACCAGGTGCTGCATTACCATGTGCCGCGCTCGGCAGATACATATATTCACCGATCCGGTCGAACTGCTCGTGGCGATCGCTCGGGTGTGAGCGTCATTCTGTGCTCTCCAGACGAGGTATTGCCTACGCGCCGTCTGGCGAGCAAAGTACACTCCGAGAGAGAGGGTGGTGGTGGTGGCGTCAAGCGTGAGCACTTCATTGAGACGCTCTCCATCGATCGCAAGATTGCATCTCGGCTCAAGACTCGCGTCGATCTGGCCAAGCGCATCGCTGATGCTGTCTTGGCAAAGGAAAAGGGCCACAGCGAAGACACTTGGCTGCGCAACGCCGCCGAGGAGCTCGGAGTCGAGTACGACTCTGAAGAATTCGACGGCACTGCACCGGGCAACTGGGGCGGTCGGGGGGGTGGCCGCAAAAAGAAGGAGAAGGAGGCTCGCCAGTTGAGCAAGGCCGAGATGGGAGCGCTGCGGGCGCAGCTGCGTGAGGAGCTGAGTAAAAGGGTCAATCTCGGTGTGAGTGAGAAGTACATTACGGGGGGAAGGGTGGATATTGGCAGGTTGTTGAGGGAGAAGGAGAAGGGGTCTGTTGGCGGATTGTTCTTGGGCGGAGATGGGCTTTTTGGGATGAATCTATAGAGTTGCTTGCTTGTATGCGAACGCAAAAACACCTACTTAATAGCGATATATGGACATGGATCTCCAGCACTACTTCAATATTGATTCGGTGCCTTGACTACTGGTCCTTGCGACACACAGGATGGGGTATCAGCGTGCCCTATAATAAGCTCTTTTCGTCCACAGAGTCCGACCGATTTCGTTGCAACTCTATGCTTGATGCGCATTCCGGCTCTTCTCACGCTTGCGTCTTCTTCCGTCGCACCTGGATCTCTGCTTTCAGATGAGGAAAGATTGAGGAGCCTATCCAAACCTTTTCGGGCACCTTGCCGACCAGCTTGATGTCGTAGTTGAGGAGAATGTGAGCCATGATGAGCTTGAGTTCGTGCGCGACAAAGAATCGTCCGGGACTATTCACAGTTAACGTTCTGACCATATATAATGTGGGTGACATTCCGAGAAGAAGCTCACCATGCATGTCTGCCGTGGCCGAAAGCGAGATGCTGCGCGCTCGTGGTAACCATTCCAAGGCCTCGAATCTTGGTCCCCTCGGCGGCATCGCGCTTCTTCTCTTCATCCGACTTCGCATCCCAGGCTTCTCTCAGTCGAGAATAACGGAGAGGATCGTACGAATGGGGATTAGGGTACAGATCTGGATCGTGGTGCGTTCCCTCGAGGTTGACGGTGACAAAACTTCCCTTTGGCAAAGTCCAGCCCAGGTCGGGATTATATAGGCCGTTCTGGGCGACGACTGTTCGCTCGATCAACGTAGCGGCAAAATTGCTCAGCCTTTGAGACTCACGAATGGAGGAGTCGAGGCGGACGAGGTTGGAGATGGCGGCCTTTGTCCAGGGGCCAGAAGAGGGCTTGTTGGCAATGACTTCGGCGCGGAGAATGTCGAGAATGCCGGTTTCCGGGTCGGAGGTGAGGAGATCTTGCATCCAGAGCTGGCCTGTGAGAACAGTGGTGTGAATAGCGGCAAACTCAATTGGCAAGAGTCGCCGACTTATGACGGTAGAGTCAAGCTCGTCGGTCTTTTGTTCAAGGAGGGCTTGTCGGATCAACCAGGTGATGAAGTCTTCAGGCGGCGTGTAGTCCTTGTATTCTTCATCAACGGCGGCTTTTTTCAACATGGCGTCGAGGCGCTTCTGGATGACGGGCTGGGCTTGGGTGTTGGATGAGCGCCAGTGGAGGTAGTTGAAGATACTCAAGAGTCGTCCGAATATGGGATGAAGGACCTTGGGGATCAGCTGCAGCAAAAGGCCATTTCGAACGATATCGTCAGCGAACTTGACCATCCCGTCAAGGAATTGCTTGTTGCGGCAGATCTCTGGCCCTATAAGAAGCCTGTTGGTGACGCGTGGGACGATTTCTAGCCAGAGGTTCCATAGCTTTATCGACTTCCAGTTGTCCGTGTCCGTTCCAAGTGCCGTGTCTACGGCGTGCTGAATCTCGTCGTCGACGTGGGGGATGACGGTGGACAGATGGCGCGCCAGATGCTTGTGGATGACACGGTTGGGAAACGGGTCGTATGCTAGGCGACGGCCGAGGAAATTGTATTCGGAAAAGAGCACTGCGTTGTGGGCGTCGTAGGTTGACAGAATGTTGTCCGGTTGGTCAAATAGCCAGGCCAACTGGTCGCGAGGCATGACGACCTCGGGGGGCCGGGAGAACGGCGCTGGCACAATGAACGGCATGCCCTTCTTGCCAAACTGGGGTTCAAGAGCATAGTATGTTAGCGATAATTCCGTGAGGCGGGTTCGTTCGTGCTGTTGTTCACTTTGTTGTAGCCGTCTCTGATCCAGTCCACATAGTTTGTGACATATCGGAAGCTGTCTAAAAAGGCATTGAGAATTCCATGTCCCTTGCCCATGACGGGAATCTGGCGGGGATACTGCGGATGGCTGGCGAAGTCGACGATGAAGGACAGGACGAGGAAAAGAGCGCCAAAGCTCCAGAGCTGGCTTGAGGTCACCGACCCCATCAGCTCGGGGATAGCCATCTCGAATGACGGTGACTTGATGCGAGGAAATATGATGAAGTGTCTAAGCGGCAACAGTCGCTGCTTGATTTTGGATATTTCTCGCGGATGCGATATCCATCATACACGAGTGGCCGGCGTTTTGATGTTGCATGACAGCAGAAGAAAATGAATATTTCGGAAGCAAAGATCCTACGGGACAATGAAGAGAGGGGATGGCCGTCTGTGGAAGGGTGACACTGCATCGCAGCTAGCCGGGGGGCCATGCTTATGCGACGACCTATGAAAAGAACCAACCATCAGCGACAAACAGCATCATTCGGGAACGGAGGAATTAGCCGTGTTGTACGGGGCACCAGCTCGATGTGGCGTTGGGTCAGGCTGCTGCTAATCATCGTCTTACTGCTAATATTGATACTACCAAGACAATATCCATAGTCGGCATCTGGGTGAGACTGTATGCATGTGACTTCGGCATCAGCAATCCCGTTGCTGGTTCAAATCCGACGGATTGAGATTCATCCATCACCAAGTGGAATTCACTTGTCAGTCCCGCGTCTTGACAGCAAATCATATTACATCTATTGCCTCGAAAAAGCATGTTTGAGGGCTGTTGAGACCTAGTAGTTATAAGGCGAGTTCGATTGCATGTCCCTACTTCAACAGGTGTCAGTGGTTGATGCATGTGGCGATGCTGTCTGACGGAGCCTCTGAAAACCCCGAATGTACGTACGCAGTAGTATCGGGGCAACCGTCATGATTTGGTGCCTCGTGGGCTGGACGCTGTCATTGGCCACCCTAGCGAGATTGCAACAATAGCGAATCGCAGGGCATGGATTCTCCAATTGGCAACTGTCCAAGTGGTTGCTGATGCGCGCTTTGACGGGCTATAGCGGGGATGCGCGAGAGGATCGACTGCGTGGGCTCGACATATGCAAGGTATCATAAGTAGGCCGCTCCATCCTGCTGGTCAGCCTTGGTGTATGCAGGTCGTGTGGGAAGCCTGCGAGAAGATCATTGAAAGACTACTTGCTTTTCATCCCGACATTCAACTGCTAAAGCTCTGTCTCTGCAACACTATGATTGCAGCCGGCCGAGATGAGCTCAATCGAATTCCAAGCAATGCCGTGATAATTCTGGAGCATCCGGTCATATGCTTCGCGCCTCATCACAGAGTGATGCTTTGAGAGGGTTGAGATGAGAGAGGAATTGGACGCCTGGGAATCGTCCTCGCTATTGGCGCTGTCGACTCCAACGACCAAGCGACCCGATATATCCTCTTCGTCGGCATCTCTAACCTTCGAGAATGGCTGTCCATGGCAGTCTTCTGGCGCTGGCTCATTGTCTTGAGCCTCTTTGATGATGTCCCTGGATCCAAGGCCAGGGACAGCGTCTGGTGACATGAAATCTAGAGGAGAAGCCGATCTCGACCTCCAGCTTCCTCCTTGAGAGTATGTTACCGCAAGGGTATGCTGATTCTCTTGCATCGCAAGGTTGTCAATCTTCACGTCATGCGCAAAGTGATTACCGCTGCAATATCTCCCAAAAAGCGATTGGATGGACATGCCTATTGGAAGATGTCAGCTTTCGGGATTTCATTCAGGAGCTCGGGCGAGCTAGTCACCTCTGCTTTGCCAAGCCTCGAGATGGAACGTGCAGGGCCAAACGTCTCTTGGCCGAAAAGCATCCACCAAATGGCAGAGCTCGGCGTAAGACGAGTGTCGCGAGTATGGGAATCGTATAACGTTTGGCAAACTCGTTCCAATGCCGTCCTCTGAGAGATTACGAGGAGAAGCGGCCTTTGACTGGCGACCGGCTATGGAGAGTATGGCTCGTCGCAAATCGGTCGAGTAGGCGTCTTCAAAAGATGATAGGTTAATGTTGAGTGGCAAGTTGCGTCCGCTGGTGAGTGCTTCTGTGAGAACACGGGTACATTCGCCACGAGCCTCTTCTGGCACATTGTTCAGCGCATTTATTCTGTGACGGTGTTAGCTCGCAAAGGTCATTTGATTCTTCAGAGACTCGGTTCCTTGGACGTACATTTCCAAAAGGCTTTGAAGGTCGCCCCAGCTGGGAATCCCTAGTTCCATTTCTCGCTCCAAGTCTTCACCCCCGCCTCCTATTCCAGCTTCCTGTATGACTCCGCCATCGGGAAAAGATGCGATAACGGGCTGAATTCTGACTACAGAAGGTTGTTTTGCAATTGCACACCTGTTGCCACTCTCACAGCTGTGCAGACGAACGTTCTGGTCCGAGGTTAGGCATCCTGGCTGAGGCGTATTCCCGCACATGAAGCCGGTCAGGGCGGCGGCGGTCGGCGTAAGGTATGCGCAGGAATGGGGTCGAACTTCTGAAGGCGTGTTTAAAGAATTGTATATGCGGAGCTTGTAGTTATCAACATGTATCTTCATTCGCTGTCAGCTGGAGCGTTGAACCTCGAGAATCCTGATTGACTTACTGGGGAATTCAGGGCCTTTGAAAGGGCAACCCAGACGTCTTCATAACCATATGTCCATGACTGAAGGTAAAAGACAGTGTCTTTGGGGTACTTCTGAACTTTGCGCAGCAGCTCTGCGATCCCCTCCGCCTTTGTCTGGAATGGAATGTCGTCTGTGAAGGACGTGTCGAGATAAATGGTGTCGAGCGTCTTGATGCCACAGGTATACTCTATGAGAGCTGGGCTCCGGGTGATAGCGTTGACAAACCACGGCTCGCTTCTTATGTCTCCTGTGTACAGTATCGCTTTTCCTTGTCCCTCGATGACTGAAGAAGTACTGTCAGTCAAAGGTCATACCTCGAAGATCAGACGCGCCACTTACGGAACATGACAGAGCCAGGGCAGTGGTTGGCATCAAATAGCGTCACTTGGATGTATTTTCCGGGCTGGAGCTCGATCACGGTGGGAGACTCGAGTGGAAGAGGTTTCTACTCGACATTAGCCGCAAGGTTTTGGCGTTGGGGTCTAGAAATACGCACGATGACCTTGCTCAGATGCTTGTAAGTCTGCTGCCGCGCCTCGAGAATGCCCAGCGCATAGTTGACGCGGCAGGGGTATCTTTCTAGGCGCAACAGAATCTCCCTAGTAGCTGCAGAGCAGTAGACGCTGGAACAGCGCGTCAGCACTGGCGTGTAGCAGAGCGGATTGCCACCAGAGCACTCACAACGGAGACCTCAGCGTCTCCAGCCCAGAGAGGTGATCGCTGTGAACATGGCTGAGAAAGCAGGCCAATGGTGGTGTGGCACCTTCGTGGTGCCTAAAGAAATCAACTACCATCCAGGTCAGCATCCAGACGTTGAGGAGGCACAGAGGGAAGATGCGAACTTCTGATGTCTGGAAACTCGGAGACGAGGCCGTTGAACGTCGACATGGCGGCGGCATGGCATCGGAGAGGGCATCGAAATGTCGAAATGGCAGGCAGAAAAGTCGTGAATTCTGTGGTGTCTCGGGCAGCTTCGTTTTCATGGATGCACCCGACGTCAACCTCTTAACCTTGGAACGCTTCAGTGGGTGCGCGCGGGCCCTCTAGGGCGGTTGAGTCACTTCGCACTGTAAATCTAGTGGCACATTTTCGCGGGCATGTTCACTTCACCATGCTACCTAGTAGTTAATGTACTGTCGGGTGAGTCAGTCACTGATGTACAGTGTGTGTGATGCGTATCAAAACAGTATTCTCGGGACTACCTACAGACGACGGGAGCAACTGGCATTCATATTCACTCCTTCCAGGTTTTCCTCACCAGTTAGATGACGACATGGAGACAGAGGCTCGTACCTCTGCGGTTTCACGAAGCCAAGACATTGAAGTACTACTTATGGGGATCATTTGCAGGTTCGTGTTCAGTGCTATCCATGAATTGCGAATAACATCATTGCCAAGATTAGCTGGGATACACTTACGCTTTCTTGGACAAAGATGACTGCGGTGCGCTAAAACCCCAGATAACTCAGTCAAAATGGATCCGCCACAGCTCTCTATCGCTTCCAGACACAAACTCGCTTCTCGTGTGCATCATCAAGATGTTGTCGCTCACTACAATGTCCCCCTTGTCCCAGACATGGTAGTAGACGACTCTTCGGTCATACAGAACCGAGTCGATGGCCTCGCATATTGCCGCGCTCTCGGCGGCTTCCAGCCCGTCAATGGTGACCTTTGTGGGCTCGAACTTGGTCTTGTGCTGAGGCCACGGCTCGTGATAGCGGAGGCAAGGCTTCCCTGTGACTGGATGCGGTGTGATTAACGGGAGCCCCTTGAGAACTGTCTGATCAAATGAGGCGGTCGATACAGTCCAGGTCATTTCGGACAGCGTTTCAAGCTTCAGCCATTCTGGGAGATATCTGACAAACAGTGTCGAGGACGAAAAGAGCGTGAAGCCCGTGTCACGGGGACTTGAGGTGGCTCCGACAAAGATTTGAAACCTGGATAAAGGAACGCGTTAGTGGAAAGCTTCGGATCTTGGATTACCATCGAACGCTACTCACCGTGGTGGTGTCGAGACCAGTGACTCTTTGCCGTTCTCATCCACCTTCCTGACGGTTTTGAAGAGGCCGTCATAATGGAAAGGCATTGGCTCCATGCTTAGCACGTTATTCAGGCCTTGAGTGTTCGTTCCCCGATCTTTGACTTCCAAGATGAGACCAAACTTCCATGGGGTCAGCTTCCCAAACTCTTCAGCCTTGTTGGCGAACTGGTCCTTGTTGGGCTTCTTGACGAACCCACGCAGGACAACTGGCGAGTTGAGCTCGGATAACGATCTGATCTTGCGGGCATCTACGTCTTGCATCGACAGGCTGAACGCGCCCCTGGCGGGTTTGAACATCCATCCGGAAGGGTATAACGGCTCGCATACAACGCCGCCTTTTTCTGTGCTCCACGAAAACAGGTCTGACTTTTCACGAAAATAGCTGGGTCTTCCATTTTCGTAGATGAGCTCGTATGAACCGTCGTTTTCGAAATCAGATCGCATACCAGTAAACGTGGTTCCGTCTAGCCGGTATGCGACTGCGCAATGCCATGGCGTTGTATAGAAGGAGTCAGTCGGCAACAGGCTGATAGAGAGTTTGTTGCTTCCTGTGGACGGATGAATTGACAGTCTTACTGAGTCCTTGTATTTCTGTCGGACTGCACTTGCAAAGGCCTGGGGCATCTGAAATCAGCGCCAATGCATGACCAGAGTAGCATCGAGGGGCTCGGAGACTTACATCACCACGGGCCATCATTTGCTGGGCAATGTATTCAATGCCTCGCTTGTACTTGGTCTTACTGCGGCCGTTACCGACGGGATACACCGTCTGTAGGTCCGTTTCCAGGAACTTGATGTATCCCCTATATGTTAAACAGACGTCCTCGCTCTGGCTAACCGTCTTCCAATCCCAATCTGGGCGGCTAAACGTATTGAGAAGTGCTCGCCGGAAGTTCGACGCGTTTGCAACATATGTCATTTCATCCAGTTGCTCTGGAAGCTGGATGGCCACAAGGTCTCGGAGACGCGAAAAGGAAAGGTGTTTGTATCCCTTGGCCACGGCCATAGCTCGGAGGGTCTCTCCGTAGTGCCAGACATCTCTATCCGGGACTCCAAGCAAATCTGAAGAATTCTTCGAGTTAGCATCTGCCCAGCAACTGTTCTCAGATGTATAGTATCGGTACCGTTGTAAACCAGGCCATCAGAGATTATAGTGAGGCATGCTCCTGGAGGATAAACATCTTGAATGGCCAGACAAAGGCCGTGGAGGTGCGCCAGAGCGAGCTCTTCTGCTCTATCAGGAAGCTTTCCAAGCACTTTGGACTGTGAGTTTGGCGATTTAAAGGGAAAGGCGGGCAGACACATGGGCACCGCGTCGCCGGCTTTGACATGACTGTAGATGAGGGCAAGGAACTTGAGGGCCCCCTCATCACGTTTGACTTCGGCATCGATGGGCCGCTTGAGGCGATAACGGTCGATGATGTGAAGAATCTTGGAGGCTGTCTCGAGCGAGGCCGCGTCCACTCCGGCTGTCAAGGAAACAGCGGGAACAGTGATTGGGGCAGGAGGAGTTGAGGCTGACTTGAGCTTGGCTTGACTCACCGGGACCTTGACGGCCGGGGACTCAAGTTCCAATGCGGACGGCATGGCTTCACCTGGAGGCTAAGAGAAGAGCGTGGTGAGCTGATGCCGAAGACTTCCCGCTTGGAGAATCAGGATCCTTTTATCAGACGTGAAGCTCTTCATCTGGATATGCATAACCAAGTCTTGACCTCACGGCCCACCATCTTTCAAGTGATGGCTGTTGGAGCTATACTACCTTCTTTATCTGGATTGGTTAGCCGAGGGGGGCGTGTGGCAAATCATCGATGCATCCGGAAAAAATTGACAGGCCTCACCTTGCCAGAGAATGCAGTGGTTGAAGGCTGGATAAGGTAATTGTGGAAGCTTGGTGGAGTTGCCGGCACTTGGTATGGTGCAGCGGTTATGGAGACCAGAGATGAACCCCTGTTGTGTCGGTTGCTTGCCGCCGAGGTTGAAAACACGCGGTTTCTGGTATGCAATAATACGTAACGAAATCCCATGAAAGTCTTGATTCTTGTGACTACATCCCATCACTGTTCTGCTTTTTCGCTTTTCCTCCAGAAGAAACTCCTGAAGTGGACGGACACCGAAGAAAAACTTTGTTCAGATATCACAACATGTCTCAATCAAACGGCAAAGTCGAAGTGGCTGATGTAGCGATTGTTGGAGGTATGCTGCAGCATAACTGTTCCATTCTTAACAAATAGTCGATATTCAATGACTAACGACGAACTGGTGATAGGAGGCCCTACCGGCTTGCTCACGGGCTTGCTTTTGCATCGACTTGGCGTTTCTGTCAGCATTCTAGGTACTGCTATCCGAAAGAACATCAATGGATGAATGCATGAATGCAGGCTAATCTCAGCCAAATTACAGATGCCAAACCCCAGAGTTTAGATCTCGGACGTGCAGATGCGCTGAACGCTAGAACGCAGCAATACCTGACGGTTGTTGGTATTCTTGATGAGCTGCTACCATTGGGGTTGAAGTGCAACAGTAACTAAATACTTGAGATACGAAGTCCTTGGTCTTTGGCTAACTTTGCATAGCGAGTTCGACCTTTGGAGATGGGGATTTCATCTCTCGCCAGAACAATTGGTGGGTCAGCCTTGAACACACGCTTCACAAGAACTTCTTGATGATTGGACAACCGGTTGTCGAGCAGATCCTGAGCAATCGTCTGGATGGACTGGTCCATTACGGAGAGCAGGTCGAAATGCTGCTCGAGACTGACGACTTTGTGGAAGTGGTGACAAAGGGTGGCCGTACTGTCCGCGCCAAATATGCCCTTGGAGCAGATGGAGCCAGGTCGACGGTACGAGCAGCCATAGGAGCGACCTTTACAGGAACAAAGCCGGAGATGCGGTGGGCGGTGCTGGATACCTTCATCAACACGAACTTCCCCAGATGCCCAGAGATTATCACTTTCCAGCTAAACGGCCAGTCCAGAGTGTCATGGATCCCGCGAGAGAGAGGTCTTTGTCGATTTTACGTGCTTCTCGACGGAGAGGTGACACAAGAGCGTGCTGAGGAGTCTATCAAGAAGCACTTGGCTCCATATCGGACCGAGTTTGTCAAAACCGAATGGTATAGCACTTTTGATGGTCAGTAAATCTCCTTCCTCATCTTTCTTCGCGTTTTCTCCCCTTCAGCCAGCCACTATCTGTGCTACTTATCAAAGCGTTGCAATGCTCTGTATGCCATGTCGCGTAGTCTGATTGTGGAGGTCGCATGGATCCTTGCCATCTCGGCACCATTCTGCGTCATTTCTTCCATTAAGAAGACCAGAAAGGGACCGTAAATTTTTTTTAAAAACTGAGTTCGACATTGCTAACAAAATGGTGGTTCAGTCAAGGAGCGAATAGCAAGCACTTTCATCTCCCGGGATGGCGCGGGCCGCGTGTTCCTGGCTGGGGACGCTGCTCACGTCCACTCCGTCAACGGGGGCCAGGGGCTGAACACTGGCATCGCCGATGCTTTCAGTCTTGCCTGGCGTCTGGCCCTTGTCATCAACAAGGCCTCACGTCTCAACAAGGGAGCAGTGAGAAATCTCCTTCAAAGCTACGACATTGAGAGAAGACAGACCGCGCAGGGGGTCATTGATGTCGCCGCCGCGTTGGTCCGTGATACTGTTCACACTGCCAAGCAGTACGTTGGCACAATCGAAAAGAACGCGGGTTACATCACAGGTCAGTCATCCTTCCCGTAACACTGATAAAGTCCTTTCATGAACGATGTGGCTGTTCACACACCCTCCCGACGGAACTTGAGCACACACACCACGTATCTCTAAGGCAAGGTAGATTGAGTGATGGGGATGGGCAACTGCTGGCTAACACAGTGACCAATAGGAATGGGCGTTGCCTACGATGGCATGGGCTCACCTGCAGTACAAGAGTCAGGGCACGGAGTTTGGAGGGCTGGCAAGCGATGCCCGGACGTTATTTTGTCAAAGCCCGAGGTTGATGGCGACATATGGCTCTACTCTCAAGTCACTTATGGCAAGTTCCTGATCCTGGCCATCGGGGATCATCCGGAACAGGTGCTTGCTCACGAGGATGTTGCCGTTCTGTTCAACATCCTGCCGTCATCGGCAAACGCCGAGGGCGTGGCTACTTCCAAAGCGAGGACATTCACCGCAGACTGGGCCGAGCCGAAAGAGGCATTTGCAGTTCTGGTCAGACCTGATATGTACATTGGATATGTGGGAGCCGACATTGAGAGCTGCCAGCGATACCTGGATAGGCTCTTCATCCGGTGATGGTGCAAGGACGGGCCTTGAATGCCCATGCCCAACCTCGTATAAGCAACCTAGATAGTCACAGTGAATTGATCAACAAGTTCCAGAAGCAGAGAAAGAATGTCGCCACCTGCCCACAGAAGCAAGGCCATGACTACGTATCGTGGTTTTAAAGTCTGCCGTGCATGCTCTCGACTTAGGGGGAATTGAAAGGAATGTAACCTCATTGGGGCGCTGCCCCCTGTTCTCTTTGCCTTGTGGACGCTTGACGGACGCCATCCCGTGGATCGAGCCGGTAATTCATCCCACCGGCGGGAAAATTTTACTGCCGCGCTTGTGACTGAAGCAGATACTGCAAAGGGGATGCTGGTGCCAACCCGGGATCTGTCCTGACACCTCTGGCCATTAGCAGCCTTGTTGGAGCAGTTCATCGGTTTTTGTTTTCACTCGCGATGTGACAATGACATGGATGGGGGGTGGATGATGCACCAGCTGGTATGTCTAAATCGGGAAGTTATCGCTCATGCTGTGCAGCTGTGTGATCCGGGAGCTTTGCTTCATGGTTAAATCCCGTCAGCCTGGTCGTGATGCTTAGTGGCTTGGGTTCTTTTGAAGAGAATGGAGCCCTTGATGAGTTGCGGACCTGACGGAATACGGGACAGACAGCCAATGGCCTCTCCTTGGATCAATCACCTCTTCGTCATTTTGCGCCTTGTCATGGAAACTTACCAATACGGAAGGCCATATCGTATCGCAGGTGGTTGGTACACTGACAAATCTTCTCATGCCGAGGCAGCAGTCGGCGTTTGACTCCTACAGGGGCATCTGAGAGGTTATCGAACGTATTCTGACGTCTTCCTTGTTCAGGCAGGACCCGAACGAGACCAGGGGGAAGCGCAGTATCGGACTTTGTTAGCGCTTTGCATGGATGTTTTGTACGATCCGGTGGAAATTAAAGTATTAGCACCACAACTCTAAAAGAAGCTCCGAACCATTTGACAAAGCAATGATGATAGATGTTGTGGTCATGTGAAAGAATTGGTCGATCAGGTTGAAACTGCGCCAATCTTCAGGGGGGAACCCATGTTGCTTGGAACTTTGGGATCGCTTCTACCAGCTTCGCTGATGCTGTTCATGGTGTCACCACCGACCGAGTCAGTGTTTGCTTGTTTAGTAACACTGAAATGGAATCACCGGTCATGGGGATTCGCCGATTTGTCGGACTTGTAGCTCAAGCTCTCTTTGGAGGGTTTCCAAACGACAGAGAGCCTTCCAAGCAAATAGGAAGGCAACAGGGTGAGAAAAAACACCGCCGGCCAGCCACTACAGATCCCAGGGAGTGGTCATCCAGCACCTTAGGTTCAGGCATACAGGTTCTAAACCCCGTTTTGAGATTGTTTCTTTAGTCCATCTACAACAAGATCATAATAGCAGCTTATCCTAGGACCAGACTGATATAGCAATGGTAGCAGAGAATAGGGAGAGTAGAGTCATCTGCCAATCAGCCACTATATGTGATAGGCGGCGGATCAATTTTCGCCCTCTTCAGCGATTCTTGGTCTCTTTGTCTATCTCTACTACATGTGGTCTCGATCCAGGTCTACCTACGAACGGGGCCAGTACAGAGTACGCAGACGCTCTACAACTTTCGACAGGGGTAGTGGTTTTCCGTTGCCTCTTCCGCGCTATTTGAAGCTCTTGTCTTCCGCCCCGTCCGTTCAACTGCCGTTGCTAATAGAGCCCGCTGACAGCGACGCCTCGGACAGTATGAGACAAATCCTGAGCATGATGATAGATATTGTCAGTTATTGTCGATACGGGAGTGTCAAAGAGCAAGAGCTTCTCACCAAGAGACGAGCCAGTTCGGCTTGCCGTTGAGCGACTTGCACATGGCTCTGCTGCTCTCGTTTGAAGGGCTAACATCAGCACACAGCCAGCCATCTTCTCCAAACTGGTGAGACTTTTCAAGCAAAAGCTTAGTGGCCAACTTTTTTGCCAAGCCTCGGCGTCTATAAGGCTCCTAGTCGTGAGTTTTGCATGTCAGTTTGTCTTGATGGCACGCAGAATTGTCAGGGCCAAATGTCCTATCCTTGCCGGTACTTACCTCGCAGTGCACACTGACTAGACTGCCATCGGTTCCCAGCAATGCCCATGCTATCGGAGTTCCATCGTCTCGTTTGATCATCAGATTCGGAAGGTTCACGAGCATCTCACTGTGGCGATGACGATTAGTCTGAGAGCTATATGGCATCCAGCCGATCTACAGCTGCGATTTGGCCGTAGATCATAGATGCGTGTGTTGATATTTTCAGATAGACCTACGCAGTCCGTGGGATATCAGTTCGGGATACAACGATCTGGCAATCTTCGAGAGAAGCACTATCCCAATACATGCCAGATGGAAGGCTTTCGTCGAGGGAAGGCAGCTCATCCCTTCTCATGAGCCATTTGTCGTAGACTCCTGTTGGCCTAGGCTCAACAACACCGTCGAACCTCTCCAAAATGGAACGTACTTTGGAGTGCAGGGATCCAACGAGGATACGATCCGGGTTGGTGAATAGGAGCTTGTGGCCGTATTCTTTGCGCAAGCGGACGACTTCTGACACCAATCTTGCCAGCTGCTGCTCATACAGATGCAGGTCACTCTCATCGTCTTTGTTGCGGCGGTGTTCCAAGGTCGAGTAAATGTACATCTGCGTTTCCTGTCTTGAAAAGTCTAGGTACGCGGCAGTAAACTTGTTGAAATCATGATGCGCTTCCAGAGGTGAATCTGTATCGTGGACAAAGACAACACGTGCATGGGGGGAGGTGCCGTGCTTGAACTTTGTCGATTGTAAGCGTCGCAACAAGGGCAGAGAATATGGTAGCTCGGCAGCTAATAGCTTCACCAGCCATTCTGGCACAGAGTTGAATGAAGCTATCTGACCAGGCATTTTGATGTGAAGCCTTGCCTATCGATGCTGTGACTGACTCCCAGATATCATGTTGTGTTGTAGAAGCGTGAACCACGCGCCCTTCCGAAGCGGCCTACTGACATGGGATGCGATCACGTGCGCTTGCGCGATAGCACACTGGACAGTTGACTCATCGCTTCAGGCCTTGTGACGGAGATCTTATTTGTCTTCTTCTCTGCTCGAGGGTTGCCTTCACGACATGCAGTCAACATCTGGCTGCAGCATGCCTCGACCTGAAGCTTTTGCAAGGTTTGAGTTTGCTGGTCTGTGCGTTTCTTTAAATGGATATGACTCGAGCTGTAAGCGATGTGATGTAGGCAGGTTGACACCAACCTATAGCCCAAAATGTCACAGCATATTGAGTGATCGATGGACAATGTGAGTATGTGTTGGTTTCCTTTTCCTTTTTTCCTTCTTGTTCTTTTCTGTTCTCTACGCCTGGAAGACTTGGGAAGTGAGATGGCAGGACAATGGATTCTCTTCCTTTATTGTCGCATGCCATTTAACGACCGTCACACAGCCTCACACGGATGTAACCGTGATTTGAACTGGCCAATAGCAACAACATCTTAATTTCACACCAAATTGAGGATATATCATTCCTTCCGTGATCTATTTCCTTATCCTATCACTTCATTGCATTGGAGAGCGAAGGCTATGTTACGACTGCGACGTCTTCCATTGCTGATATCGACAATCTCGGCGGTGAAATGGACGCTGACTCTTCGGAGCAAGCTTCGCCTACTTGACCATTTCTGGATGGGCACTATTGCTTGCCCATCCTAGTTTGAAGCTTGCCTAAGTCTTCTCGCGATATGGCATAGTACTAGAAGGCGCTGATTATAGGATAGAGGTTGTGTCAGCTACATGTATACTAGGGAACGCCACGGCGCCATCACAATGAATTGCCAGAGTCAATATCATTCCATAGGTAAGCTGCAAAACACAGCAAAGTCATGCGATTGATGAGTAAACTACTTCAGCCTCCAACTTATCGGTAGGAACTATTGTGATATAGAAAATCTCTAACCTTTTTTATTGTCTGCCGTATATGATGATGTCTCCGTAGCTAGTGTCCCTGTGCTGACATGGAAGAGGCTGTATGAGAATAAGCTGAGTAGGTAGGCACGAGGCGTTCCTTTCCAACCCAGACTAAGAGACGTCTCCTAGGTAGAGATCGTAGTTCGGACATTGAGGCTGTGTAGGTAGGTAGTTTCCAGTCTACCTACCTATCTTCAGTTTGGCTACCTACCTGCCTACCTACCTACTAGGTGCCTACCTACCTACCTACCTACCCACCAGTCCAGCCGTGATCCTGCGCCTGCTCCTCTCCTGCTTATTTGCCCGCGGACTTGCTCATCTCAATCTCATGAACTTTAAATGAGATAGGCTCAGAAGCACGTTGTAAGCAAACCTTGCTTGAAGCTCAGCCACTTCATTAGATGCTACCAAATTACAAATAACATTACATCGACTATATAAGGCGACAGCTGATTCAGATCTCCATCGCGGCTGGGTGGTGCGATACGTATGGGCGAATTTTCTCACAATCGAGGCAGAAAAATATCTATACTACCAACCCTTGATCAAATATCAAGGCTCGCGACATGACCGCCAAGATAGCAATTGTTTTCGGGTACGGACCACGAGTTGGAGCTGCCGTCGCTTCCGCCTTTGCCGCTCGCGGCTATAAAGTGGCCGTAGTCTCTCGTTCCGGCAACGCCGATGCCACAAACGATTATCTTTCCATCAAGGCCGACCTTTCAGATGCTCGAAACGTCGAGGGTGTTTTCGCTCGGGTCACAAACGAACTCGGACTCCCGAGTGTCGTTGTCTATAACGGTATGCGAGTGTAACATGCTCATGGACCAACGATCAAAGGCTGACGTGTCATGACTTCCATAGCCCTCATTCTCTCCCCCCTAGGGTTCGAACAACCCTTATCGAGCGTTATTACGGATGCTCATGTAAACACCTTTTCTGCCTACGTAGCGGCGCAGCTTGCAGTCAAAGGATTTGCAGAGCTGCCTTCAGATGCTCCCAAAACCTTCATATATACCGGGAACAAGCTGAATGTAATGACATTGGAGCCTCTCCTCTCCTTTGGCATGGGAAAGTCGGCGACCGCCCATATGATACATTATCTAGCGGAGGTATACAAGGATACCGGCTACAAGTAAGTGCATGTTTCTGCAGATTGATGAAATAATGCTCATTTCATACATAGGTTTTATTATGCTGACGAGCGTAAGCCGAATGGGGAGCCAGCATACGATAAACTTGACGCTGAGGCTCATGGTGATTACTATGTGAAGCTGGCGGAGGAAAGCTTCCAAGGGCCCTGGCATGCGACCTTTGTCAAGGGAAAGGGCTATGTCAAGTTTGACGAGAACCCAGTGCACGGCGGCCGTTATCCTGGAGCGTAGCCGAGTGATTGCAGGCTGCCTGCTCGAACATTACTTTAGTATAGATTATAGACAAGAGCTTGGGGAACTCCACTGAGAACATAAGATGGCTGCCTGTGTACATCATTGGCTGGAGATGTTTTCTACGGTTTGTGATCCCCATAAAAATAGCCGATACTCGAAGCCCAGATGACAACCAGCTACTAAGGTCTACTTGTTCAGTACAAACATGTCTCCAGACCAGCCGAAGTTCCTCGCAAGCCTCCGGCCGTGGCGCCTCGCCGTCATAAACGGAATCTTCCCCCGAGGATGCGGCTCGTGAAATTGAATGCTTGCTTCGACGTCAAGTCCAGAAGGCGAGAACTGCCAGACTGATCCGTAAAGCTTCTGCGCAGTGAAGCCGACGGAAGTTAAGGCGTGCACAAAATCGTTCCAAGGGACCTCTCCAGGAGTTGAGGTGATATCCGAGTTGAAGAAGAGAGTGCGAAAGACCTTGAACGCACGGCTATCAACTTTGATGCAGGGCTTGGGGGTTTCCACTTCTTGGTGCGTCGGCTCAGCACTACATGACGGCTCACTTTGTCGGTCTGCTGTGCCTCTGGTCTTGACCTTGGCTTTGGCGGGCGTCGTATGGGCACTGCTGCGCTTTGTCTGGACTTCTGCTCGCCCGTTCCATAGGTCAAAGTAGAGAGGCGAGAGTGGTTGCTCGACATGAGCAGTCGCAGCAACAGTCAGTGGTGTCGGCTGATCGACCCATTCCGGCGTACGTTGTAATAATGAGGACGTGAAGAGCTTATGAACAGCAGAATCTTGCAGCTTGCTAGATGCAGGACGCATAACACGGTCCACTTCAGCCCAAAACATATCGAGATCTCTCTCGGCTTGACGTAGCTTCTCCACGTTTTCTTTGGTGCGCCTCTTGTCAATGGGATAAGTGAAGCTTCTCAAGAGCGGCTCTGCAAGCTTCGACGCCCCGGCCAGCTTTGTATCGCTCAACGCCGCCATTATCTGCCCCCATGGTTCGCTTTTGGTGGCAAATTCTTGCTGGATCTCGGCCTTGACGCTTAGGAAGGCATCTTCAAAGTTCTGGGCCCACGGCTGGTATATCTCCAGCTGATGAATGCACTGAGAAACGATGGAGAGATTGCCGACCAAGCGAGCCACGTAGTTGGAGATGAGGTCACCCGCGGTTGGCTCGGTCAGCAAAAGACGCTCCAGCTCATCCACTACGCGCGATAAGCGAAGGAGAAAGAGGTTGTCGCCATTTTCCCACAAAGTTTGGAGCAAATAGAGAAGCTGACGCTCGACGTGATTCTTTTTGAGCCCGCTTGCCGAAATCGCCATTTTCGAAGAACTGGAATCCTCGGGCGGCCTACGAACGAAGAACTTTCGCATCGGTGGACATGCCGGTACAGCTATCTTGAGCTGATCCAAGGGCCCCTTGACTGCTTGGTTGAGGAAGTGGCGGAAAGTCAAGAGGGCGTTCAGATATTCTTCAGGGAGATCCTTCAGCGGCGAAATTGCTGCCTCGTACTTTTTCTCCAGAGTCAACAAATTCTGGGCTTGGCGGTGGAGTTCCGAGTAAAGTTCGAGCTCAAGGTATGCCTCACAAAGGACTTCTCCGACAACGCGGGCCCGAAAGAGCCAGTCACGGCCCGGAACCAGTGTTGGATGAGTGTTATTAAGCGCATCCTTGATCATTTCCAGTCGATGCTCTCGTGCATCCAGGACATACTGTCGAAAGTATGCGGGTTCTTCACGCAAAGCCCACAAGTGGTCTTCTGCTGCGCGAGCCTTTGCAGAGAGCAACGACTCGATTCGCCCGAGGTCTAGTTGAGCTGGGAGTCGGTAAGGGGCTTCGGCGGCCATTGAAGCCAGCGACTCAAACCCGCGTGCTTCACCCCCAAGCTGTAGAGGCAGCTCCGGCTGAATAGGGTACGCTTCGCTAATCAGCTGATCATGAGGGATATCGTGAAGTATGTCGTGGCAACAGTCAACGAGAAACTTCATGAGCCTGTCCTGAGCCTCGAGGATGACGAGGCCGTCGCCGGGATTGAACTGTTTTTGGGTATGCATCCAGTCGAAGGCATCCGGATGATCGTCCCACGCGAGAAGTTTGCCGTATTCCTCGGCAAGGATGGCCCCATGTAGTATCATTGTATGCTCGTTCAGAAAAATGCGCTCAATGGCCTCAGTGACGATGCCCAAGTGCATGGCATCAATATCCGCGGCGGCGAAACTGGAAGGAGGGTGACGACCTCTGGCGTTGAGCAACAGAAGAAGCGGCTGTGTCTGCGTCAAGTCTTCCTGGTTGACGTACGGCCACATGAAGCTGTCTTTGACCTGCTTGGGCGCGTGCTGCAGCGGCTGAGACCTTGCCTTTCTGAAGGCTTCGTAGTCGGGGCGATGGTTCGGAGGCATTCCAGGCCATACTTTCAGCAAGACCTTGAGCCTTTGCTGTCGGCCCTTTTTGAACCATCTTTTCCGAATGGTGGACTCGTGCCTCAAGAGAATCTGGTTCAGCAGCTCGTAGTTGGCGAAAATTGCAGCTGCCCTCTTCCGCGCCTTGCTGCGAACCTCGGTCGCGGAGGGCATCTTTGGCGTGGGACGACCGATGGCCTTGAAGAAGTTGGCGGGGTCGGAGTAGAAGTCATCGCCCGTGGGCGGATCGGCACCGAACGAGAAGTCCATTTCACGCTGTCTGTGGAGCTGCGTGCATGGGGCAGGATCAGCAACTGAGACTCGAGAGAGTCCAGGATTCCTCGAAGCTGTGTGCAGGTGATAATGAAGCTTGTCGTTCCTCACCTTCAAATTGATGTGGGCATGAACTATGCAGGTACTGTATGGGTAAGTAGGTATGCACTGTACCGGCGTGTGGCGCATTGCTTAATCATCAATCACCAGCCACGAGCATGCATATGGTCAAGTGACGCCACACTGCGTGCACAGCTCAGAAACCTTCAACTTCAGATTGCGGTACTTCATGCATACACAAGCATCACTTTCACGACCTCATGGCAACACTAGATACTACGTTTCTGAATACATGGCAGCTTAAAAAGGGGCAAAACGAGCATAAAGAAAAAAAAAAAAAAGAACTGCTCCATTCATCATGACCCTTGCAATATCGCAAAATACCAACCCGGCTTCGACTGATGTGTTTTCCCCAGACCTCCCTTCAGCCAGCAGCGGTGCAATGAACCCGCATCGCCCGGAATCACGCCCCAACCACAACCCGTACATCCTTCAAAGACCGCACAATTCGAAACGCAGGCCTCCATATCAGTTGTATATAAGCTGGCCACGTCTGTGGCCTCGCCCGCACCGCTGTAGTCTATGTCGCAGATGAGCTGGAACGTCTTGTGTGAGTTGGGAACGTCATATCTAGTGCCATTGCCTTGGGGGCAGGAAAGAAGGTGTGTTGAGGTGGGCTCGGGTGCAGCGGCTGTCTTTGACCTGGACGTGGGAGTCGCAGATGATAAAGTCTTGGTATGCGATGTCTGGCTCGGCATTGTCCCAGGGCTATTCAGCGATTGCGGTTAGTATTTCACTCTGCCATGAGACATCACTTGGGGATCACTTGGGAACATGCGTAACTGCAGTCTTCCCCAGGCTCGTCCAGACGCACCTCGTTTCAGCACTCGACTTGTGATGCTGTCCTCCAACTCCAATGCCGACTCCCACTCCTACGGCTATCACCACAAGCAGCGCAACCGCTCCCAGCAGGAGCCAGAACAGCCGGGCCTTGACTCCGCAGATGGTGGCAGCCGGAATCGGGGCCGGTGGCGCTACATGATCGTACTGGTAGTCGTAGAACTCGCCCGCCTTCTGCAGTATGTTTGTCGTACTCGACGCATCGAGGTTCGTGTCTCTGGTCTGGGGCAATAAAGGCGGCGTAGGCTCGCGATAGAATGTGCCAGAGCTTGGGACAACGGATCTGCGGTCCGGAGCCGTCGAGCCTCCGTCCGGGGCCGCACGGAATGAGTCCTCTCGGCCTCTGCCATGGATGTAATAGTCGGAGTCGCTTCTGCCAGTCGAAATGGTTCTCGAGCGACCACGGAATTCGTCGACATCTCCCCCGTGTCCGTCGGGGCTGTACTGAGGCTGGAAGCCCATTGGACTTGTGAGGCGCCCCGGGGTCACCTTGGACAAAGTGTGGCTCTTTTTCCCTCTTCACTTTTGACTTTTGGCGTAAGCAGCCAACCCCCTGGCGATTGTCTTGTGGTAGCCGTGCTTTCGTCGGTGTTCAGCTCAGCCTTGGGGCAGAGTCTCGACCCCGTACAGCCCAGACTTGTCTCTTTGCGACAGGGAACTCCTTTGTACGAAATGAACAATGCGCAATGTCATGCTCTGACGTCTTCAGGTAATTTCCCTTGCTCGGCGCCATCACGTGGCAGTACCCTGTCGTTTTGCGGCAGAGAAATTCGATAGTGCGACGACGAAGCCGCTTGTTGGAACCGGTATTGTTAGTGTTCCGAAAGTGTGCTTGCTAACAAGGTACTAGAGGGCCATGCCGTGCTTGTCCAGAGTCAGGAACCGCCTGATGGTTGCAAACGAGTCTCACAGACATAAGAGTAGAGACGGGTCTTGTTGTTCCAACCTCTGGAAAGAGGCGTAGTAATCTGCACGCCAATCGCTTGGCTCCCGTCTTGCAGCCACCCAATGGCATCGCTTTTCCGCATAAACGTGATGAGTGGCATTATGCACCTCCTCCATTTCTGGAGCAGATCGATCGACAGTAACCGAAAGCATTTCTCCATTCATGCAGAGAATCCCGACAGATGGTCGACTTGAAAGATGTCCACCAGGTCAATCCCGTAATCAATCATACGCCATTTTGGCAGCAAGATCCGCACCATGAGTAATTGTCAAGCGTCGTCGGACGAATGTGCAGCACTGGAAGACTGCTCTCGGACGCCTGCCCATGCCTGAGCGCGGTTTGTCCACAGCCCTCCGGCGCAGTTTGTGAAAGGATGGACGAAGGTGATATTGATTGTCGGAGCCAAGCCTCAGTTGCCCTGTCGACCCGAACCCCGCGGCGTATTGCATCTTTTCGCGACAACCAAGATCGTGCTGACAGTCCCGCAAGCAACGTTGTTTGATGCGACCAAGGCTGAGGACCGCGGGAAGGCGTAGAGAGATGCGTGGCATACCATGCTCGTCCTGTTAGCGAACGATTTATCATTCTGTACTCGCTTCGCTGAGATCCAGATGCCGAGCTGTCGTTCGTCAAGGTGAGCACAGACTAGGCGCTAGCTGCGGATGCGGCAAGGCACATGAACGCCCCAAGCTACGATCAATGGTAATAGTACCCCTTCAGCACAGATTCCAAATTCACCTGGAATAGAGCAGTACGGCGAGATCTCCATCCGCTGACTTGAATGTCCATCTACGCCAAGGAAGTGTTCTGTTGTCAAAAGGTAACAGCGCAGGACACGGGATTTGGCAGCGCGTCGGGAAGCAGGCGTTGATGCCTCAAAGCTGGGCATTTAGGTGCGTACCTAACAGAAGAGCGGAATTGTGCAGAAGGGAATCTCTCTGCGCCGAGGCAGCTGCACCAGAAAGTCAAAAAGGCTGCCTCAAGTCAGGTGTAGCGACGGGAATGAATGGTTGATGTTTACGGATAGAGGTAAAGAAGGTAAAAAGAAAAGTGTACAGAAACGCAAAAATGTACGACAGAGGCAGGGTTCGAACCTGCGCACCCGAAGGTATTAGATAGCGAGAATCGGTTGGATTCAAGTCTAACGCTTTAGACCACTCAGCCACTCTGCCTGCTGGTGATTCTGATGATGTAAGATCAAATATTTGGGACTAAGTAGCTCTGGCGCATAGCAGAGCAAACTACAATCTGTCGTGCTTGCATAGGTATCCATATCTCATGGCCGTCATTTTCTCGAATGCTGTACCACAAAGGATCATCTGCAGCGCCTCGGTCTATGTTGAGAGGCTTCATATAGCGTCGTCTGGTGATTGTCATGGCGACAAGCTCTCGGCGTAAGCAGCAGCGGCAACTTTAATTTCAAGCTTCCCGATCCGTAAGCATGGCAGGTATAGAATGGATACTAGACGTGTTTCAAGTCATCCGGTCTGTTTCTTGCAGGTGAGGCTAAGATGTACAGACTTTCGCATCAAGAGTCGTAGAGCCGGATTGCCAAATATCGAGAGGAACATATGTAAGCCCAATCCAAATTGCATCTTCACGCTGCCAAACTCTCTAGTACTTCCCATTTCCGTTGTTTGCTTTCCTCCTCAAGATCCCGGGTAGGACGAACCTGGCGGGTACCCTATTACCTACGCGCCTGATGGGTGTCCTGGGACAGACGCCGGCAGATGCTGGCAAGGCTGGTTCTCCATCACGGTACACCCGAGAGTAGTGCTTCCCCGCCATTGCGTTATCGCAATATCACATATGAGAACCTTGAAGGCTGGCAACTTGCACTCCTCTCAAGGTAGGTGCATCCCGTCTCACGTGCTCTCTCCCAGTCCGCCATTTGACAGTGTCTTGACGTCCACCACCAACGGCTCGAGCTTTGCCTGTCATCATCTTTCGGCATCAGGTACTTATCAGCATTGCTTACAGGCATCTTACCGAGAGCGACAAGGACCGACAATGGTCTCGCTCAATGGCCTCGTCCGATGTGGCGCTGTCACCCTCGTAGCCGCAGGCCAGGCTGCCGCCTTGGTGCCAATCAATCTTGCCATGCACGCCGTCAATCTCCACGCGAGACACGATCCAGAGCAGCGCGTGTCGGTGCGGCAATATGAGGACAGGTACCCCAATATCAAGGCGTACAACTTCTCGGTCCCGATTGACCATTTTCACAACGAATCGAGGTACGAGCCGCACTCGGGCGATTCGTTTCCCCTGCGATATTGGCTCGACATCTCCAACTACAAGCCTGGGGGCCCCGTCATTGTCCTGCACTCTGGCGAATTTGACAGCACTGAGCGACTGCCTTATCTTCAGCATGGAATCGTGCCAATCCTGACAAAGGCGACGGGAGGAGTCGGTCTCATCATGGAGCATCGATACTACGGCACCAGCTTCCCTGTCCCTGACCTTACAACGGAAAGTCTGCGCTTCCTCACGACGGAACAAGCTCTCGCAGATACTGCCTACTTTGCAAAGCACGTTCGGTTCCCCGGTCTGGAGCATCTTGATCTTACGGCTTCCAAAACGCCTTGGGTCATATACGGGGGTAGTTATGCTGGCGCCTTTGCAGCATTCGCTCGCAAGCTATACAGCGAGGTCTTCTGGGGCGCTATTTCATCTTCAGGCGTCACGGCTGCCGTCGAAGACCTGTGGCAATACTTTGAGGCCGCGAGACGATACGCTCCAGGGGACTGCGGCCCTACCACGCAGAAGCTTACTCATGTTGTTGATACCGTCCTCTTTGGCGACGACAGGGCCAAGGTACTCGGCTTCAAGCAACTATTTGGCCTGGGGGATCTCGACGATGACGACTTTGCCACCACCATCACCCGCGGCCTCTATGGACTGCAGTCCACCAATTGGGACCCCGAAGAGGACGTCTCCTCCCTTGGGATTTACTGTGCAGTCGTCACTTCGAACTTTCAGCTGTTTGCAAGCACGACTCACCTCATTCCGACCGTGCAGGATCTCGTTGCCAAAGCCGGCTTTGCAGCGGAGGCCGAGGTTCTCTCTGTTCGCATGCTCAACTACATCGGCTATGTCAGGGATTACGTCAAAACTGATCTGGCGAAAGGCTGCAAGGGGAAATCAGTGTCGGAATGCTTCTCTCCTCGCTATTCGACCCCCAATGATACGAGTCTCAACGCCGGATGGCTCCGTAGCTGGAGTTGGCAGGTCTGCACACAGTGAGTATCGTCGCACTTCGCGTGACTTGTGAGGTCTATCGCGGCATCATGACACTAATCTTGTTAAACTCACCAGATGGGGATATTTTGTCACTGGCTCAGGTACGCCCAGGGACCAGCTTCCAATGATCTCTCGAGCCATCACCCTCGAATCCGCATCATCGCACTGCAAAAGACTTTTCAACATCACCACCTCCCCGGACGTTGAGTCTATCAATAAGCTAGGGGGCTTCAACTTTAGCTACCCTCGCTTGGCGATTTTGGACGGCCTACAGGATCCATGGCGCTCGGCCACGCCCCACGCCAGTGGCCTTCCCGACCGAGAGTCAACCACCAGCGAGCCGTTTATGCTCATTGACTGGGGGGTGCACCACTGGGACGAGTTTGGCTTGCCCGAGGACGTGCACGTCGAGGGTCTGCCGCCGCCTCAAGTTGCTGAAGCCCACATGGCAGAGATTGAGTTCGTTAAGGCATGGTTGGCGGACTGGAAAGAAGAAAATGGAATATCAATGTTGCAATCGATGGACGAGGAAGAAACGATGGGTGAATTGTAACCGATTAGCCACGGGCTAACACATATAATGACAACAACCATGATGAATACAATCCGTGGGTACTTTACGCCCCTCGTAAGCAAGCCACATGCGTTTAACAACGCGTGAGGGAAGCGCATCTAGTGTCATACTTTGGCTCTTGTGCAAGTCGGAACTGTGCTGTGCCGGTCACTGTGGAATGGGGATGCAAGTGTAACCTTCTTCTTGCCTTCACCCACTGTGCGCATCTATATCAAGGCACAAACGGACGATGGGGTCAATTACATACCAGGAGTGGCTATCCAACACCCCGACTTGGCTATCTAGCATCCCGTCAAATTAACATCTTGATGGCTGCTGCTGTTGCTAAGATGAGAAGAGAGATTCTACTCTCTGCTATTACTTGCTGCATCCTTTTGATGTCTGTATAAGCGTTCTTGAAGATATTACAGATAAAGTAATTGCAAAACTCTAACCAGCGTGTGGACTCTGTATGTATAATTTGGGATGCTGGAAGGCCAATACCTACAGATCTCGTTACAACAGATTTGTCTTGTCGGAATTACTACAAATTCTACTCATTATAAATCCCGCTTGGCGAGGCGAACCTGGGTAGCTGAAGCAGTTGCCGGTTGAGTCGCATGCCTGATCAGTAATCGAATAACCCGGACATATCGATTACTGAACTCTTCCAGAAAGTGTCTCAATGAACGGGATCAGAAAACGCCAAGGACAGCCTAGTTGCGCCTTTCCATCTGAGTTTATTCATTCACTCTCTAATGGCTACGGCATATCGGGCTAACAGAGACATCCCACCGGTCGAAACGGCCTCAAAATAACCGAATCAATGGCTCTCAAGTAGTGGAAAAAGAGGCGTCTCTCAACGAGCGCCAGTGTTGATCAGTAATATGCTTCCTGGACTCTGCGCTTTTGTAAAGATATTGATGGTAATGCAAAATGTAATGATGGGATGATGGCTGATATAAATATCTGAGCTTGTCACCTAAACCGATGGAAGAATAAGATCAACATTACCAGGCTGACTGCACATCCTATTCGTACCGACATTGCTCCAAATTCACAGTTTGATATGGCACCTCTCGTCTTCGTTATTGGCGGAACAGGAGCTCAGGGCATTCCTGTCATCCGCGGACTCGTCAAAGATGGCGCCTATGCAGTGCGATTCTTGACCCGAGATGCCACCTCGGCTAGGGCGAAGCTCCTCCTGAGCTTGGGAGATGTCGAAGCGCTTGAGGGTACATTTGCGAGCGAGGCGGATCTTCGCAAAGGCTTTCGCGGCGCTCAGTATGCCTTTGTGAACATTGATGGGTTCAACTGCGGTGAAAAGACGGAGATGTTCTGGGCCATACGCGCATATGAGCTGGCGCTGGAAGAAGGCATCAAATTCTTCGTTTATGGGAATCTGGATTATGTGTACAAGAAGAGCGGATTCGATCCCAAGTTTAGGACGGGCCATTATGACGGAAAGGGCCGTGTTGGTGAGTGGATATTGCAGCAAACCAAAACGCCCGAGATTGCGAAGAGGATGGGTGCGGCTCTCTTTACGACAGGTCCTTACATACAGATGGCGCTTGGACAGCGTACCCCCATGTCTCCTATTCTTGAAGACGGAGTGGTCACCTGGAAAGTCCCCCTAGGAGAAGGTGCTGTGGCTCATGTTGATCTTGACGACTGCGAGTATTATGTTCGGTGGCTGTTTGACCACCAAGAACGCTCTAACGGGCTGGCCCTCGACGTCGCTATCGATTTGATCAATTACCATGACATGGCCAAGGCCTTTACAAACGTCACTGGCCGCCCTGCAAAGTACGTGGACACAGACCTGGAAACGTATTGGAAGATTGGCCCTCTCGGTCCGGGCCAAACCTGTAAGGCGCCCTTGTTAATCCATGCTGCTGTTCTTTCGGTAATCGGAGTCTAACACATTACAGCGTCGGGGTACAACAGCGATCTCTCGGACCCGAGCTCCATGACTCTGCGTGAGAACTTTACAGGATTCTGGAACATGTGGAAACACACACGAACGGACAATCGAGGCGTCATTCAGCGCGACTTTGCTCTGCTGGATGAAATACATCCCAATCGGATCAGAAGTGTTGAAGAGTGGTTTAGAAGAGAGGAAGAGAAGAGCAAAGACCAGGGCTTGCCAGGTCTTTGGGATCGTGCTACAAAGTTGAAGCCGGTACTGAAAATTGCGGAAGACGGACGACGGGGTCGTCTGTAGGGGTCGTCACTCGATGCGAATTGCTCTCTTCACTCGATCAGGTTATATGGAGCAAATGTTGATGCTGTAGAGAAACAGAATGCCAAATTGACTTCTGCATTTGGGCTTCCCAGCATTCGATGTGACTAGTATGTATGTCGAATGCATCAGGCAATCAAGGCCGTCCTATCGTCGACCTTACTATTACTTCACCGCTCAGGCCACGTTCAGTGAACTTTGCGGGATGCATCACATAATGCTTGGGGTGTAGATCAAGCGCTTCCCTAGCACTGTCGCACTGCATCAGCCCGGTGACAGGCTGCATTGGATCCTGAGCAAAACAGGTCAAATCGTCTCACGAGTACGCTGTAATTATTGCCTAACGACGAAGCGGTAGACCAACCTACCTATGCATTTATACGAGGGCAGGCTCTTCAGCCCCTTGCCTACCCCAGCAATCTCCGCATCCGATTGGTTCAATGTTCCTACTATGATCTGTAAGGATCAGCTACCTGGGTAGGTTTCTGCAGGGAACCGCCGGCCCAACCACCTCAGGCGTAAAAGGACAGGATTGAATTCCTATTCACATGCGGCACTGCGCTGCTGGCCATGCAGGTGGCTGGAATTAGCTGAAAAATACCAGGTAGCTTGAGGATGGCGGCAAACCACGGCCGAGGACGACAGGAGATGCCTAGCTGGCCGTAAATGCCCTTGTAACGTCACATTCACTCCACAAAGGCTCAGCCTGCGATTGCGTTTGGTCTGTCGCAGTTGAGGCTGTTACTTTACGGAAGCGGAGTTGTAGATATATAACTACCGAGTCCCTCCCATATTCAGAGGACAAGGAACCTTAACACGCCAGATGAGAGGGATAAGCGACTTCCAACAGTCACACGATTAGGACCAGCACCAGCGCAGTAAAAGCACAAAGACGCCTCCGGGCAGATTTTCCCAACATGCAGCGTATTCTCGCTCTCACTGCTGCTGCGGCAGGCCTCTTTGTGACAGCCTTGGGCACCAAAGTTCCAAGTGTCAATGTCCCATCATGCCCGCGCATCGGTTCCGTTTCCTACACCACGTCGGTGCCCGACCGGACTCCATTTCCGCGTACGCAGGTCGACCTGTGCTATACCGACGATAGCCTCGAGCTCACATTTATCGCCTATGACGAGGTGAATTACTTCTTCAACGCGTCCCAGGGAACCAACGACGACATCTGGGAGTACGAAGTCATGGAGGCCTTCATCTACAAGGGCACTGAAGACCCTCAGACATACGTCGAGCTCGAGGTCAATCCCAACAATGTGACATACCAAGCATTTGTTTACAATCCTTCCAAGAACCGGACAGCGGGCGCACCGTTCGACCACTTCTTCATTTCGGATCCCGCAACCGACGGCTTCAAGGCCAAGACGATCCTCAACAAGCCAGCAAAGACTTGGAGAAGCACCCTTACCGTCCCTCTAGGTATCTTCAATGTTGATGTCGGCAAGGCAAAGGGTACCTCTTGGAGGATGAATTTTTTCAGGACTGTAGTTAGCCCGGAGATTTATCCAAATCAGATTCTGGGCGGCTGGGGTGTCCCGGATCAGGCGAGCTTCCATATCACCAAGTATTTTGGCAAGGTGAAGTTTATCTGATCCGGAACGGGCGATCAATGGGGGGCGCGCTGTAATGTAGTTTCAAGACACATGATATCCTCAGAGTGCACGTGAGTCTATGCAAAAGCTGCCGATGAAGATTGTGGAGCGTCGAGCTGATTGATACGCCGTGTGAGAAGCTGCTTTAGATAGCCCATGCTACCATGACTGCGTATCTATATCCTACCAACCTCTTGCACCAGTCGCGGCCCAGCTTCCTCAGGGACATGTGACTGGCCGTTATCCCATGAGACTACACTCGTCAAATGCTATAATTTTCTTAATTGCTACCATCTGGTGTGAAGAACCTCATCTGACAGCTACCTAGGCATCGTCCGCAATATATTTCTGGTACACTTGGGAGTAGAATTTCCGTCCGTTCGAAGGATGACTGCGAATCTTGGTCCTCAGTTGACTTTCCCCCCATGTATCATATTTGCCTTGCAAAAAGGGAGAATCAATGGCTCGTCTGGTATCTGACTCGTGGCCGTTCTTCCACGAAGGAGTAGAGAAATGTTCCCGGAACGACTCAGTGGCGTCTCGCTTGGTCAAGTCCCTCCGAACGCCTTGGAAGAAGGGAATACTGTATCTCTCGTCGCCGGTCGAGACAACTCTGTGAATCGTGGCCTTACAAATACCGGACGTCAACACTTCAAACGCTTGGCCAACATTAACCACAAACGTGTCTGGGAGCACAGGAACGTCAACCCAGTCGCCTGCATTGTTGAGTACTTGTAGGCCTTTCACATGTTCCTCTGATGCTTGGAGCAAAAAGGTCCACCACCCGGAAGAGTCTGTGTGTGGACCGACTCCTTGAGTGATAGCCGAGTCAGGAGCAACAGCTGGATAATGGACCAGCTTGAGACGATTTTGATCCGAGAGGAAGGTATCAAATGCGTCACTGGGCAAGTCCAGTGCCTGGGCAACTAGAGAAAGGAACCGCTCGCCGAGAAGAGTCAGCTCGGTGATGTATGTTTCAACAATTGACCGCAGCTCTGGGATTTCGGAAGGCCACTGCGCAGATTCAGTCAGCATGCGAACCTTGTATACCAACACGGCAAAGCACATGTGAACTCGCCTGATTCGGACCTCTCAACGATTCGTACAGAGGAGCATGCGGATCACATACAGCCGACAACTCAGTTGCAAAGTCAACCTGCTCCCTGAGGTCGGCCTCCGCCGCCGTGATCTCACTGCCCACGGAACTGTAGCCGAGGAAGTGCTCTGAATTCTCCAGCGAGATGTTTTTCTTTGCAGTTTCTGCTTACCCGAATAATTTCGGCAGAACTCCCACGAGGCTTTGAATTACTGGCTGTGGCACTCCGTGGTGCGTAATGTAGAGGAACCCCACCTCTGTGATTGCCAAACGAAGATTGTTGAGAAGTGCTGAACGTGACGCGGGCTCGTTTGCTAGGGAGAGGTCAATAATGGGGATTTCCTGAAAGTCATTCGTAGATTGTGACATTTTGAAGGCTACGCGTCTCAGTATCTCTGTGATGTTAACAATTTAACTTCTCAATTCTGCATAGAAGAACATCAGGATTGTCTAAAGATGGCGTGCTTGCTTATATAAGAAGTTGGTGACGCAGTATTCCCGTCTGGCACTGAATTCGAGAGTGTAGATATGACAGGACAAACTGTTGCCTCATATCTTCTTCATAAGTATCATAGCCAACTTCTTGTCACTTCTCTGGTGATTGGATTGACTTCGAATATCTCTCAGTCTCAACCTGGCACCCCACGAGAACTCGAACTCCGGGGTCAAACTCCAGTTGTGACATCTTGACGTAGGCGGCTTCGCCTGTCATGGGGGTTCTATTTGATAGAAACCTGCACTTCGCTGCCTAAGAAAATGGCTTCGTCTCAATTTTTAAGTTTGAGATGCCAACAAAGCCTTGGAGCTCTGGCAGTTTGTGCTTCAGGTGAGGGGCGAAACATACTTGCGAGATGCGGATTACGGACTTGTTGTCGAGCCTGCCTTGCCTGCTTCACAGGAAGTCTTTGGACTACAAAATGCTGGCATCATTTCTCCATACTACAGTGAATGGAAGTATCGTATCATTTCACTTCAAGGAAGCACGGCCATCCAGCAGTGTGTGAACTGGATCGCAAGCAGCCTCAGCTATAATGATTGCTGTTGTGCCAGCTGACGCTATGAATGAAGTTGGTCAAGGAAGAGACATGTCTCCCTTGGGACACCGTTGAGGCCTGCCTCATCGCAGGCGCAAATTGACGATGCCCCAAGGACAAGTCGCATTGCAAGGAGGTACGCTTAGAAGCTGTGGTCATTAGTTGATTGAGTGGCGAAGGGTTCTATACATCAGGAACAGTAGTAGATATATCGCAGTGAAATATATGGACATTGTTTCAAGCTTTATAATGAGATGCTGTATTTTTCTTGAATATCGTTAGTAGATGGGCCTCCTCTGGATTAGGCTCTTAAATAAGCTGTTTTCAAAACGTCATGAACTTACCTAGTATTTCACACTCCGGTGATCATGCTCCTGTCGGTATAACGTGCCCATCAAATTATACATCGGATTTCAGAGATACGTTATGTTCTTCGTAAAGAAAGTGGTATAACCTCCAGCCTGCGGGAATATCAGCTTTTGCGTAGCAATTGTACCTGAGGCTCAGCTTCGAGTAGAAGGGGCGTTCACATTCAAGCACTTGCGGTAGGAGTTGGTAAGTTCAAGCAACATAGCGAATGGCCGCGCATTCTTTTTCTGTGCCGAAGCGCCGGCGATTTCCGTGGTTAGTGTCAAGATCTCAGCCATTGTATTCCATCTTGCGCAAATCATTGATCTATATAACTGAGATTCAAGACAACTCCCTGCGCTCTCTCTCACTTGGACATATGAGGTAGGCTGAGTAAGACGAGAGGCAAGACCAATCTCTTGTCGCCGCTCACTCACCATGATTCTACTGTCAGCTGCTTGTTTGAGCGGCTGAGAGCTTGAAATGGGCCGCCTGTTCGGCTGCAGTTGAGCTATCATTGAGGCTTCGACGTTACATCACCACATGTAATCCGACGAGGCGTTGTCAACGTCCCAGCAGAATGCAGAAGAACGCCCTCCTGGTCAATTCATATATGATTGTAGATAGTACGCTGACATTGTTCGGAAAAAGTACATGGTCAGATTGAGGAAGATGGGGGTGTTCCCCCACACAGCCGGGTACAGTATACTTGCTCAACTCCATGTTGACCCCGGCGCGCATTCGGTAGTGGCGTTTCCAGTATCTTTGGTCTACCAGAAGGTCCACGATGAAGGCGACCCCCCATAAATGCCCGTGCGATCTTTCGACGTTCCCTAGCGGCGTTTATTATTGAATGTCTGAATGTCACCGTGCCAAAGCTTTTGAGTTGTAGACGTCATCACGTGAAATAGTCAGGACGGTGGCATCACCAGTGTTCACTTTATGCAAGCTTCAATACGAGTGATATAGCTTCTGCAGTGACTCATGCATGAAAGCTATTGGAGCTACTGCCGCCTTGACTCGATCATGTCATGTAACATCGCAAGTCCCTCGCCGCCTCATCACAGCGGGCAATATTGGTCGCCTCAGAGACAAAACTCCGCACCAATGAAATGCCTCTGCTAATCAGCCTGTCAATTTGGCAATGAGAGATGAAGCCCCATGCCTTCGTGGGGTGCTCTACGAGGGACCCTTGGTTGACATTGTGTACCTCCCACAAGACGTATTACACCCCATCAACGTGTCGTGGGTCGTTACATGGCCACCTGGACGAAAACATGAAGAAGTAAATATTGTAATGATAAGCAGATAAAATTTCACTAGCAATTGAGACTACTGATGATTGACATGAAGTGCGGTGCCGTGAAAGCCAAGGAAGGTATCAGTTTAGTAAAGGTAAGTATTTGCCTGCCTAGTACATGTAATTACCTACCTACGCTGCCTTGGTCAGTCAGGTTTGGATGCTCTGACGACGCTACGCTGGTTGGCTGGCTACACTCCAGGCATAGGTTTCCTAGAAGTCCGATAAGCGCCCAATAGCTGGCATCGGAGTGCGAGGATTTAGCCTGCTAAATTCGGGAAGCTTTCAACGATAATGGTGTCTCGATTCTTGGCTTGCATCGGCATATGATTGGAGCGTACTGCGACTTGTAAACATGTGCCGAACTCATTCGTCTCCCTTTTAGTCGTTAGTTCATATGGTTCGATACTTTGTAGATGGCGACTGCTGATCTCTCTGGTTGCAGTATTAGGGCCGACGTCTTACTGCTACGGAACTCCACACCATGTAGTTACTGTAAGATTTGGCCCTAGCTTGATGTCGGCTACAACAAAAGACTGCAGAGTGGGCGTGGGCTTGGGTGGTAACAATAGACTATCAAGTCATCACCGAACCAGGAATCAGATGGCAATACCCTCCACGTCGCACATCGGGACTGTCTGTTGAGGCAGATAACGTCCCAAATATCGTTAATAGCCACCCCCTTGAGTGAACCATAGACCATGAGAACGGCCGTTGCATGAGCAGCGTGACACCTGGTGTGGTAGCACGAGTTGAATGAGATAGAGACATGTTTGCTCCCTTGCGTAGTGATTGTAACCCCAGAGGTTAATGACGGCCGCATCGATCGCGTGCACAAAGCACGTGGAGTCAGACTAGAAACCAGGAAAAGCATAGAAGGGCACTCCTCGCTGATATCGAATTGACAAAATGGAGCACACGTTTCTCTGCGACCCCTCAAGGTGTGAGACCAAAAACGGGCTTGCGTCTCCTACCTTACCAAACGGGAGTGGGCTCAAACATCTCACGATGCTAGAGCTCCCTAATCTAGTCTAGACAAGTAACCCCCGGCAGCCGATTTACCGAGCCGTGTAGCAGCAAATCCAGGAACGCGAGATCCAGTGGCCGGGTTGTAACCAATTGCCATCGTCTTCAATGCTTCATTGAGAAGCTGAGTCGGCTCTCCATTTCCTGTAGTCAATGATTAGCCCGTCACTTGATCCTTCATCTGGCTGTTGATGGGATGCTGCCCACGCATTCAGGCCGATATGTAACGTCCCTTTCTGGGACTGGACGCCGCTCTTATGATACTCAGGCTAGGTAGTATGCGATGCTGACGCGTGATTGGGGTACATGGGATGAGTCCATCACCGAGCAAGAAGTCGATAAATGTCCTAGTCCAAAGACGCTGTTTCTGATACTTAAATACAACATTTCGCTCCCTATGTTCGGATTTCCCCCCCTGAGTCTCAGCAGGAGCTTCTTTGCCACGCCAACCTCCAAAACAGATCGCCTAAGATCCTGGACGGGATCAGTCCTCTCCTTTACTTCGTCTGTTCATCTTCTTCGTATATATACTTCCTTTCAGGTGTAGATACTATTATACAAACATGTTCTTCACCAAAGCTGTTGGTGGCCTTGGCCTCCTCGCGAGCCTCGCGTCATCTGCCCCCAACCCCATCGCTCGCAGACAAGCACCCGGTGCGCAGAACGTCGTCTACTGGGGCCAAAATGGCGGAGGCACAGGTAAACAAACCCCATACCATCTTGTCAGAGGACTGAACTAATATTCGTATAGTTGAAAACAATGATCTGTATGTTGGCTGTCTGAATACTCAATTTTGCTGTCACAACGTCTTTGAGACCTTGGGAGAACCCTCAGTCGTGTTTCACCTGATGGCCTCTTATCTAACAATTGGGAACCAGATCGGCTTACTGTACCCCGACCTCGGGTATTGATATCATCGTCCTTTCATTCCTCTACCAGTGGGGACAGGGATCATCAGCCCTGGGCGGCACGATTGGACAATCTGTCAGTCTGTTTTCTTCCTTTCTCCTCGTTTGTGTTCTAATGCGTTTGAAGTGCGGAATCACTACCTCCGGCGAGCCGCAGAATTGTGACGCTCTTACAGCAGCTATAACAAAGTGCAAAACTGCCGGCGTCAAGATAATCTTGTCTCTGGGCGGTGCCAGCGCCTTCTCCAGTTTCCAAACAGCAGACCAAGCCGCCCAAGCTGGTCAATACCTTTGGAATGCCTATGGTGGTGGATCTGGGGTGACCCGTCCTCTCGGTAACAACGTCATGGACGGCTTTGACTTAGATATTGAGAGCAACCCTGGCACCAACGAGAATTATGCTGCCCTGGTCAGCGCTCTTCGATCCAACTTTGCTAGCGATCCTTCTCGCCAATACGTCATTTCCGGAGCCCCTCAGTGTCCATTGCCTGAGCCTAACATGGGAGTCATCATTCAGAATGCCCAGTTTGACTATCTCTGGGTTCAGTTCTACAACAACAACGAGTACCCCGGCGACCCGTGCTCTCTTGGCCTCCCTGGAGATGCCCCCTTCAACTTCAACAACTGGACCACCTTCATTCAGTCCACGCCATCAAAGGACGCAAAGGTGTTCGTTGGTGTTCCTGTACGTAAACCCACTTTGGTTGTGGCTTTTTGTTGTGACACTGAATTCTGACAACGCATCCAGGCGGCTCCTCTGGCAGCGAACGGCGCCCCGAGTGGCGAGGTGTACTATGCCACTCCTTCCCAGCTGGCTGACATTGTCAATGACGTGAAGAGCAACCCGGCCTTTGGTGGCATCATGATGTGGTCCGCGGGCTTCTCGGATACCAACGTGAACGACGGCTGCAACTATGCTCAGGAAGCGAAGAATATTCTTTTGACCGGCTCTCCTTGCTCGTCCGGTCCTGTCAGTGTCTCACGACCGCCAGTGTCGAGCCCTACCATCACTTCTTCGCCTCCAGGAACCAGCCCAGCTCCCCCCTCACAAACAGGGTCAGTCCCTCAATGGGGCCAGGTACGTGTCATGCTCATGAACCACTAATAGGAAGGTCGTGAGAATCTCGTCTAACGTGGATTGTTAGTGCGGCGGCAATGGATACACGGGACCTACGCAGTGTGTTGCTCCTTTCAAGTGCGTCGCCACCTCGGAATGGTGGTCACAATGCGAGTGAGCCAAAGGAAAGACGCTGCGAGTGAATTAAAGGCAAAATAACCACGCCCGAAGCGCAATGGTAGAATTCAAGCTATCAAAATGCCTTGACCAGGCCTTATGGGAAGTCCAAAGTGACGAGGCTTCAGACTTATCAAGTTCTTGTACATAGATTTTCTCTACCTAGGTACCTACGAATACGAAAGTAGCTTGTATATATGATATGACTTGCCGATGACTTTCAACACCATCTTATTCTGTCTAAATACGCGAGTGTATCTTAGGGCTGCACTCTGTGCTGGGTGTCTGTCAGGTTTTGCATCTTTGCCTCGAAAACAACTCTGCCGTCCCAATATCACCTGGGTGACTCTGCGCCAGATCAGTTTAACTTATCGCGGGATGCCATCAGAGAGTCTCCATCTCCTTCCCAGAATAAGCTGCCAGATCCGTGTTCCTCATGTACAAGCCCATATAATCGGGCGAGCTTCCATTCCGCTAGCGCTTTGCAAAGTCGGCAGACTCGCCCGGAGATCAAAGCCGCGCCGCCATATAGAAAAACGTAGTTAAGCAAAGGTCGCAGCAGCCGGGCGACTTTCAGAGGCTGGTTTGAGAAGAGTGCCTACCAACATGCTCTAGTGGTATGCACGTCAGCATCCCACGGCAAAAATGTAACCGTCGATGTCATTTACACATGATGATATCGAGTCCTCAAACACGTTTACCCTTGGCTCCAGCAGTATAAGTATTCTATTCATTGTCCCTTAACATTGTGGTCATCTAGATCTTCAAAAGGCCTTCTTCATCTATCTGCTTCATATCACCGGATTCTGATCCAAGACTGAAAATGGCAAACATTACCGGTGGCATTATCCCGGCCATCAACCACCTGGACATTGGAGGCTACAACGTCTTCTACCGTGAAGCTGGCCCGGCAAATGCCCCCACTATCCTACTTCTTCATGGATTTCCTACTTCCTCCTTCATGTTTCGCCATCTGATTCCGATTCTCGCGGTAACTTACCATGTGATTGCGATGGACTACTCCGGATTTGGCTTCACGACCGGCCCCGCGAGATATCCACACACGTTCGAAAACATCGCTATTGTGACGGAAAAGTTCTTGAACGCCCTCGATATCTCCAAGTACGCACTGTACATATTTGACTATGGCGCTCCAGTTGGTTTAAAGCTTGCCGTGCGAAACCCTCAAGCGGTAACTGCGGTCATTTCGCAGAATGGCAATGCTTATGGTATGGCCCATAGCTACCGCTCAGGATCGACCATCTGACAGGCAGTGCAGTTGAGGGACTTGGCCCATTTTGGGACCCAGTGAAAGTGTACTGGGAATCTGGAAGTAAAACGTGAGATTGTCTCCCAACTCTAGCTGGTTCGCACGCTCTACGACAATGACGCTTGACTTGATATGGATGATCTAGTGACCGCGATGCTCTGGATGGCGTTCTTTCTTTCAACACAACCATGGGGCAATATACGGGGGGAACCAAGAATCCTGCCATTCTCGAGCCTGAATCTTGGTGGCTCGACTGGACCCTCATGGCAAACAGGCCAGGCAACGATGACTACCAACTGGACCTCTTCTATGACTACCGGAACAACGTCAAGCAATATCCCGAGTTTCAGGAATATTTCCGCAACTCTCAGGTGCCATTGCTCGCCGTCTGGGGCAAAAAGGACACCATGTGAGAGACATAATAGAATCATTACTGCTCCCACTTTGCTTGGAGACTGACAGATACACGATCAACATTCAGATTCATCCCTGCCGGGGCCGAAGCTTTCAAAAGGGACTTACCTCATGCCGAGATTCATCTACTAGATGCGGGCCACTTTACTTTGATCAGCAACCTGGAGCAGATGGTGGGATATATTCTCCCTTTCCTCAAGAAGCATCTTGGCAAATGGTGTGAATAAGGCCTCATGTCAAGAGTATTAGCTTGTGGACGTGGAAGTTGGACAGACAAGTACCTTGATAGTTTCATCAATGACTGCGTACATTAACTTGATAATCGTGCTCCGTAACGCGTGCCTCAACGGGGCAAGGTTTCTTGCACGCTCCAACTTGCATGGATGACGCTGGTTTTCGTGAGTGTCTAAACCGATAATATGAGCCATAATGTACGGAAACGTCATTGTTCTCAGTCAAGATCTGATCTCTTCCGTCCTCTATAGACCTGTTCGCCTCAAACGTCATTCGTCCCCGTTAAAGACTCCAAAATGCATGTATTTGCCCAGGCGCTTATGCGAGCGCCGACGCCCGGCTTAGCTGATCTCAGTCCGCCGCCGCTGCAACGATGCCCGCGGAGAATCACCGCGTTAATTTGTTATAGCGTCACCTTGCATACTGCAGCGCTTCCAATCCCTTCTTTACCATTGCTTGACAAATCCTTTCTGTATTAGCGCACCCCCAACGTAGGGCAGACGAAGCTTGTACCATGTTTCCCCCTTTCCCACTCGACCACTTTCGTGAACAATCCCTAGAGATTGGCATCGAAATGCACAATCTCGATAGACTAATTCCAGTCCCCAAGGCTCTATGAGTGCTCAGGGTGCGCGGTCTACAATTAGTCCTCTTTTATTATTAGGGACAAGTCAGATACACCATTTGTAGTGATTTGTTTTCTCCAATACATTAGCATAGATGGTTGACTTAGTGTTAGCAAGACGGTTTGGCTCTCGTCTTTGTCATACAGTGACCATGTCCTCGCTTGCTTGTTATGGTCTCGTTAGTGACTGTGAAGTTGCGCAATTCGAGTCCTGGCCGTTTCGGGGCTCAAACGGGCAAAGGCATTAACTTTGGAAAATGACTTCAACTCAACACCCTCGCTTCTGATGATCATTCCTAATAGAAACAATTACTGCGGGTGAGATCGGGCGACCATGGCCACAAGCTACCTGATTAAGCTTATTGACATCGTGATCGCTGTTGACGCTAATTCTGATGTGTGTTCGGATCAGTTCGCACGAGTGAATAGTTGTTACGTATCTATAACTGCACAAGATTCCAAATTCGCCTATCATTAATGTGGCACCGGTAATTGGCCCTTGTCTAATCATTCGCGACTGTAGCGGTACTTTAACCCAAACGAGCGCAAAAAGATATCACCGTTGTGCGAAGCACGTTTTGCGGCGGCGTTTTAGGTTCAATATCGACGGAACCATCCGCAAGCCGAGACATTGTTTGGTGACAAGAGCATGATTCCAAATGCTGCAACTTTATCCGCCAGCTGATTCCACATAGCCGACCAAGCAATCTAGAGAATTAAGTAATATATATAGGTGTATACACACTGCTGGATGAATAGCCTTAAAATCAGTCGGTAGCACACAGCACCGCAATAAACAGTCCCGATTTTCTTGTTCATCTTCTTTTGTTGACTGACCAGACTAGTAAAATGACAGAAAAGGTAAAGTTAGTGTGACCAAACTTTGACTGATCTCACGCTGATAGAGCTTAGTTCACTATTTATTCGTCTCCTGAGTCGCAATGGGTCGGCGTTGTGAGTTTGGCCCTCCATGAAAAGGGACTGAAAGAACACCAAGATTATGAAGTCCACGAAATCCACCTTTGTAAGTGTTCTGCTGGCCGCCATTGATAACACACGCAAATGACTAGCGCTAATATATCATGGGTGCAGCTACGGGGGATAACTTTGCGCCGGAATATCTCGCCATCAATCCCAATGGCACGGTCCCGTCCTTGACTGCCCCCTCTCTCGCCAAGCCTCTTATTGAAAGTGTTGATATCCTCAGATGGATCGATTCTCGCGGTATAAAGACCCTTGTACCCAAGGATGAATTCCGTTCAAAGGAAATACTTGCGCTCATGCATTCGCCGTCGATGAGCACAAACATCATCTTATTTCAGGCGCGAGATCCCGCTGAAATGGCGGCAAAAAAGTCGAGCGCTTGGAACGCTTTTCTGGAGGGACGTCAGACGCGCCTTGACAAGGAGCTCGCCGCTCAGCCCAACAATCCTTTCTATCTTTCAAAGGCCGCTGAGAATCTCTCAACTACCTCGTTGTACCGTTCTGACATTGGACCGGACCACGAGGAGCTTTTCAGGCTGTCAGACCAGATGTATCGCACTGTGGCAGAAGGTCTCGATAAGCTTGAAGGCTTGATCGCGTTGCCGTATGCGGCTGGGTCGGAGGTCAGCGAGGCTGATTACAACACTGTTCCATGGCTCGCGCATGCGATGATGGGGGCAAATACGCCAGTGACGGCAATTCATGACTTTGTTCCTCTAGAGAGGCTCATTCAGAAGACTGTCCCTGATTTCAGGATCGGTTCCAAAACTAAGCAGTGGTGGTCCAACATTTCCAAGACGGAGGCGTTCAAAAAGGTATATCCGATCTTGCATTAGAAGACAACTGGCAGAGAGAAAACAGAAAAGTGGTGTGGTTGAAAATGCATCTGGGTGGTCGAGTAACGATTTGACTTACCAGCCATACCTAGTATTAATAAGGGACCTATCAGCGCCGAATCTTCATGAACATTGGTTTCAAATGGCACAGTCTTCAGAACCCTTCACTCGCACCCCTACGTGACCTCTCCCACTATATGCTCTCGTCCTCGAAGCTTGTTCATAAACACAGGGCCAAAAACTTTGCCAGTACCGAGTTCCGCACCCATCTGCTGTGGTGGATGTTCCCCCTCTTTATCGTTTGCGTGATACTGTTGTCCTTCTTCAGGGCATCAAGGAGCCTCCAAAGTCCGCTGCTAATGCCTCATCATCCCCATGAACCCCTCCTGAACTCGTGATGTCATGGCAGACGACCCTTCCCTTGCAACAATTGTGATAAATCGTATATGGCCAGTTCGGCTTTGAATAGACACCTCATGTTGAAGCATACAACCGAGAGTCAAGAGCCGGTACGATTTCAGTGTAACGATTCGTTTGCCTCAAAATGGGGTCTCGGAAGACACCGCAAGCAAAAGCATGCAGCAGAGGATGATAAGATGCATATTTCATTGTGTTTAGAGTCTTTAGTATATATAATGCAGATGAGCCGCAACTAACAGTTGTCCCGCAACGGATGGGTCTTCTTCAACCTGGTAAACGCTGGCGGACGATCAAGGGGACCATGGTGGTACGAAGACATTGGCAAGATGGACTGCCCTCAAGGCTCGCCTAATGCCATCTTTATACATGCATGCGAAGGGAGGGTCGCTAGCCAGGAAGGGGAGTATTATAAGTCTATCAAGGCCATGGCGATGCAATATGGGTACATGTCAGGCAGCCATGCTTTCGTAAACTGCCTCCTCCAGACACTTGTAGAGTAATTTTAGAACCGCCATCGGCATAGTCGTCGTTGTCTCCAGTAGCCGCAACCAGCTGAGTCGTCCGGCAACGGTGTCAAGTGGGTTTCAAGAAGAATGGGTCTTCTTGGACATGGAGAACGTTGGAGTCATTTCATAAGCGTCAACATGTTCGGACGCGAACTTGCGGGCAGAAATCCTCTTTGCGAATAAGATGTCCAGCTCTTCATACGTTCGTCCTTTCGTTTCGGGAAGTCGGAAATAGGCCCAAATAAACATGATCAGAGCGGTGCCGCCCCTGCCTCATGATTAGCTCGTTACCGCGGTAGATCTGCGCTGTTATTCGTGACATACCAGAAGAACCCCGTCTTTCCAGACGCGTTCCAAGCGGTCGGGTTCATAAAGTACGGCTCAAGGACCTATCTGGTCAGATCCATTGTCCACATATGCGTCGTCGAGGCACACCATGTACTAACCTGGGATGCAACGTTGATAATCTGATAGGCCGCCCGGGCCAGCGAAACGGTCTCTGGGCGCAGACGGATGGACGATGTCTCGGACACGATAGAATACGTGATAGGGCCAACTGTAAGAGCATAGACTAGGAGCCAGAAGATGCATAACGCTGCTTCTGCCCATATGGCATCCTTGGCAGATGTCGCAGAGTTGACAATCCCAATGATAAGGAGAGTGGAGCATAAGATACCTTGCCCCACAACATAGAGCGTTCGGCGGCCAAAGTGCGTGATCAGGAACCAAGACAACACCGTTCCGAGAAAAGCGATAGCCGTGCCCCCGAGATTGAGCTGATATGCGTGGTCAGGGCTCATTCCAGCTGTTGTGAAGAAGTACGACGGACTGTATGCGAAAGAGCTGCCCGAAAGGATCTGCCCAAGAAAAGCCACGCAGCAGATTTCTGTCCGACGGAGGTCGGTGCCCCTGAAGCATTCCACGTAGGACTTGCTTGCTTTCGCTTGGGCTTGCTCAATATTGACTGTATGTACCATCATGGCAAGCTGGCCGTTGATTTGATCCTCGGACTTGTTCCCTCCCAGCCTTCGCAGGCTTTTTTTGGCGTCCTCTACACGGTCTCTCCGCACAAGATACCAAGGCGATTCGGGCGCAAAAAAGCACACAATCATGAGAGGGACCGGCCAAATCCACTGGATCGCAAAAGGAATCCTGTATGCCCATTGGTCACGGCGGTGTATCAGGCCCTCAAGTACACCTGCGGCAATGAATTGGCCGATGGCCCAACAAAGGTTGACGTAGGTCGTGAGATATCCTCGGAGGTTCGTTGGACAGACTTCGGAAGCGTAGGATGGACTCGTAACTGCAAAGACTCCCCAGGAAAGACCGCAGAGAATCTGACCAACGAGTAGCACGGCAGCAGAGTTGGCAAAGAATACAATAAAGATGAAAGCGTTCATGAAGAACAACGCTCCCATCAAGACGCGCCGGTAACCGAATCGAGATACCATATAGCCGTTCAAGATTCCACCTGAGGGTTGCCATTCGCATAAGCAACAGCTGCATAGGAAAAGGCACGAAACATACCGAATATAGCTCCCACGGTACTGCCCATGTTCAAGCCAGACTGCCAGGGGGCTGAGACTTGAAATCCAACATTTCCACCGTAATCCGTACCGTATTTCTTGGCGAATTCGGGATATCCAAAGAAGTTGCCCATCAGAATCGTATCGTAGCCCTCCATGACGATGCTCATGGAGATTAACATGGACCAGAAGACAGCCTTGCGATTGCTCTTCAAGGCTTGAAGAAGAGTCTGGGAATGTTCTTCGTCAGAGGCATTTTTTGCCTCGATGATGGCACCTTCACCAAGCTTGTCCTCAACATGGGATGCCGCAGCCTTGATGTTGACCTCCGCCATAGCAGTAGCGAAGTAGAGGCTGCAACCAGATTGACCTTATTTCATGGGCGCTCAGGATGTGGCTTTGATGACTGAAGCTCGTATGCCACGGAGTTTTGAAGAGGAATAAAGCCCTTATACTCGCATGCAGAGCACAAAGGCAGGCTAGGTGGTCAACTGTCATTTGGCACGGCTTGCTCATACACTTCCCAATGGTCAACTGTAATTGGAGCGCCAATCCAAGCAGGATCATGACTTCGAACAGCCTAGGCTGCAAAAGTGCGGCCAACGTTCGCGTCGCTCTACTACTGGCATATTAACCAGCCATTGGGTTAATCGGTAGCATTAGGCTATTCTTGCAGACTGATGCCAACATTTTGTCTCGTAATCGCGACCGACTCTTTGTCTGGATCATTCTGATCAGTACTGCCTACCTAGTAGTAGCTCTTTTTATCCCCCGGATTCTCTAGTCCCCAAACCCCACGACTTGCCCCTCTTTTACCCGAGACCTACGTACCTATGGAGTACAAGGAGTCGCCAGCTATCTTAGTACATGCACCTAGTTCGGTAGCTTGCTTGGCTACTTACCTAGGTAAGTACCTACTAGACTATGTAAAGCTTATGGTAGTATAGCGGAATGTCATCTTCCGTACATACATACTTGGATTGGCGGTTCTCCAAACGACGGCTGTTCTCGATTCCTCGAGTCTTGCATCAATAATTAGATGCGAATGTTAAGTAGCACGTATGGAGCCGTTCGCAGTCAGTTCATGAACCTCCGAACATATATCCGCTGCTTGAGAGAAAGAGCACCTCATCGTATAGCTCCAACAAAAAGACGAAACATATCTAAGAGCAGCCTGCATACACTGTGGTTTTTAAGTTGTTCTCATGGGTCACTACTTACTTCATAGATTGACCTCCATGGCATGGTCGTTACATACCTAGGATGTCTTGAGCACCCTTATCGACATTACTGGTTACACCTCGCTTACGCTCTCGGTACTTGTTCCTCCGAAAGACCGTCCATGAACGCTCATTCGGGGGTTTCTTTGGCCGATGGCGGGGATACTTCGAACTGGAACATGTAGCTTCTACAGGCTACCTAGATATACCTTAAGTGGTGCTATGCTTCTCTTTCTGTTTAGGTTAACTTTTGTGATAACTGCAGCCTTACGGATAGCAGAATCTGCCTCAGCCGCATCTCGGTCCTCAGAAGCTCAACAATGAAGCATAGATGACACCAAAAACTATGGGCTGTGCGGGTCACCTATTCTTCAAGGCGGAGACAATTATACCTGAGGCAACATTAACTGGCCCGCTCTCTGTCTCGACGGTCTCAAGTGCCATTGATTAAACAGACTATATTCAAGTCTCTCTTGTCAGAAAGGACAAGACGAGCTTTCATTAGGTATTGTACCCACCAAGCACAATATGACTCGATGTTGATCATGCCTACTTTGCAACCCCTCATTCAGTTTTGGCGGGTTGTGAGGCCTGAATACTCGGGGGCCTATGGGCTATCGCGACCAGTGATTGAGTCGAAGATCTCTCACAAACGTAGTAATTGCATACGACTTGAAGAACTTAGTATAAGCGACATGCATAACGGCTCCCAGAATGTAATTGGCGGAATTGTTCAAAGATTTTTGGCGTGTCTACATACCCTCCTACTATTACCGAGGGCCCCATTAAAGCTCTCGAATGCCATTAGAGCGCTTCAACAAACCGCCTTTGTTTTAGCCTAAACGAGGCATGTTCTTGTTGAACCGAGTCGAACCAATATACCCTACAAGAGGACTGTCGTTGATCATGGAGGGCTCCCCTCATAGGAGCGGCATTTTCGTCCTTGCTTGTAACGGTCTGTGTCGGTATTAAATGAGCTCTTCTATCCACTACCTTGCTTGCTATATTTCTCAAACGACGGAAGAATACGACGTGCCCTGCTTAACGCCAAAGATGAGGCTTAGGAATGGGATGTGGCTGCCCATAGAGGGTAAGAGGGTAGAATATGCAGAAGACGTCTATACCATCACAGAGCAACCAAGCGGGCGTGCTCTATCGTTGTTATGTCCCACAAAGCACGTCCGCAGTCGTGGAGATACCCTCAACCTGCCTACGGTGACCATTGTGAGCGCTGCAATCACGATCCTCATGCGTGGATTAGAGTGCTGATATTAGCAGGACATCGAAGCCGTCTTTGATGGCGTGCTCTCGGTCGAGGTGACTCACTGGTCCGGAGCTGTGAGCAGAGGTCCTCACTTTGAGCTGTTTCCGGAGGGGAAGCCTCAAGGAGACGCCAGTATTTCTGTCTCTGACAAAGGGACAACCCTCACATCTGGTTCCGTGAGCGCCACAATCCATCCAGACCAACACAATTTCGACATTCGCTTTCATGCGACAGATGGATCCAAGCAACTCACCTCCTTGCTCAATCGCAGCGTGGGGTTTGTCTATAGCCCTTTCCCGAGCAGCCCTGTGCAGCTTGATGACATGAGACAATTTAAAACCTACATCTTCACTCAGACGACTCTAAGTGTGGGCGAGACGGTACACGGGCTTGGCGAACGATTTGGCGCCTTCAACAAGGTCGGACAGAGCGTGATTCTCCGGAACAACGACGGCGGTACGTCGTCTGAGCAGGCGTACAAGAACGTGCCCTTCTGGCTGAGTAGCCGAAATTATGGCTTGTACATCGACACGCCAGACGAGATAGAACTCGAGGTCGGAAGCGAACGATTATGCCGTGTACAGACAAGTGTAAAAGGCCAACGACTCAAGTGGTACTTGATCTATGGGACATCACCGAAAGAGGTTCTCTACAAATATACGACACTGACTGGCAGGGCGGGGAGGGTACCCAGTTGGAGCTTCGGCCTGTGGCTGTCTACGTCGTTCACCACAAGCTACGATGAGAAGACTGTCAATTCGTTTCTCGAGGGCATGGCAGCCCGTGACATCTCGGTCGAGGTGTTTCACTACGATTGCTTCTGGTTGAAGGCCTTCCACTGGTGTGATTTTCTGTTCGATCCTGATTTTTTTCCCGACCCCAAGGGCATGATAGCCCGCCTGACTTCCAGCGGCCTGACCAAGAAAGTCTGTGTTTGGACCAATCCATATCTTGGCCAGGCGTCGCCCGTGTTCACAATGGCAGCAGAGAAAGGTTATCTTTTGAAACGCCAAAATGGAGATATCTGGCAGACAGACCTTTGGCAAGCAGGAATGGGCCTTGTCGACTTTACCAACCCCGAAGCCACCAGGTGGTTCGTTAGCTGTATGGAGAGCCTCTTCGACGCCGGCGTCTCCGCCATCAAAACAGACTTTGGAGAGAGGATTCCGGTCGACGATGTTGCGTGGTTTGACAAAACCGTGGACCCTTCGAGGATGCGCAACTATTACTCCTTCATTTACAATAAAACAGTGTATGAGGCTCTACAGAAGCGGTATGGCAAGAGCGAAGCTGTTCTCTTTGCGAGAGCTTCAACAGCAGGCTGCCAGCGTTTTCCTTTACAATGGGGGGGAGACTGCGAATCCACTGCGGAGGCGATGGCAGAGTCTCTTAGAGGAGGTCTATCACTTGGCCTATGCGGATTCTCTTTCTGGAGTGTAGATATTGGTGGTTTTGAAGGCTATCCTTCCCCATGGATATACAAGCGATGGGTTGCGTTTGGGCTTCTGACATCTCACAGTCGTCTTCATGGCAGCAACAGCTACCGCGTTCCTTGGACGATCGACAACGACGATCAGGGGGACCATAGTTGCACGAAGACATTGGCAAGGTGGACCGCCCTCAAGGCTCGCCTAATGCCATATTTGTACGCACAAGCGGCAGAAGCAATCGCTGGAGGTCTTCCACTAAGCGTTCGCGCCATGTGTTTAGGTATGGATCAGCTGCTCGGATGAGCAGAAGCCCGTTATGGCAACTGCCTGCTCACTAACAATCATGTCGCAGAGTTTCCCGAAGATCCAACATCTTGGTATCTCGACCGTCAATTCATGCTTGGGAGCAGATTATTAGTAGCTCCAGTATTCGAGGAAAGCGGAGAGGTGGAGTTTTATCTACCCAGAGGCAACTGGACCAACTTTTTCACGGGTGAGGTAAGAGTTGGGCCCGGGTGGAGAAAAGAAACACACAACTTTGACACACTGCCGCTGTACGTCCGCGAGAACACAGTTCTGGTCATGGGCAAAGAAGGCGAAAGGCGGACAGTTTACGACTATCTCGAGGACGTCGAGGTCCGCTTGTATCATACCACCGCCGGAGCTAAGGCAGAGCTGGTGGACAGTGAGGGTAACGAAAGAGGTACACTGCAGATTGACGAGGATAATCTCGTCATCGGGAAGGAACTTCTTTGCGGGAATCCGAAGATACAGGTGATATCTGGTTAGCAAAGACAAAAAGGTTCGAGGGATGAACGACGGCGCACTTCGCCATGCCTCATGCGGTGTGAGGCTGACTTCAGTACCACTAGCACTACCCAACTGATACGAAGACACATATGTACACAACAGCATACAGCTGAATTTGACAAGTTATTTACCGGGGTGATGAAGATACTGGTATAACAATAACCTCAGTCTCTTAATGAGTTGTGGGGGAACTATGAAAACTGCGTAAGCCAACAAGGAGCCAAGCCATGATCTTCGTTCAGAGCGTACGATGTATAAACATAATTCATGCACCTAAATAAGCTTATCTTAATTCCTAGGCCCAGTAAGAAATATCACTTTGTTCTATGATCTCGTATATCACACAAGAGGCCCCTCATCACAGCTTCTTGAAAAGGACCTTAACCGTAGGATCAGCTAAGACGTTCACTTCAAACATCAGATTCTTGGGCCGTCCCTTGACCGAATCTTCGAACTTGATGTCGTAACGCGAGAGAATATATGACAAGATGATCTTGATCTGATTGCTGGCAAAAAACCGGCCAGGGCAGGCGTCGTTACCGAATCCAAACTGCATGCTGTCATAGGATGGACTAGCAAATTGAAATTTGTTGGCATCTTCAGGAGCCTCTCGCATTCGATGGAACCTGAAGCCGTCAAATGCATGTGCGTCACCCCACGACGATGGCGTCTCCTCCAAGATATTCGTGTTGCACTGGACCACCGTACCGGCGGGGATTTGGAACCCGTTGGAGAGTTTGATGGGAATCATGGCTTTCCGTTGGTATGTAGCTTTAGCCGTTGTCAGCTTTGGCCGAGCTCTTCCTGTATGTGTATCCCATGAGTTTGGCAATACTTACCGACTGAAGGGGGGCTGTGTCTTTGCGACTCTTTCATAAAGCTGTCGAGCTTCTTCATCTGGGTTAGATGCTGCTTCTGAAGAGAACCATCATTGGTCACCTCTCTAATCTCGTCTCGCAATGGCTCAATATACTCAGGATGAGCTGCAAGGTCATAGAGAGCATGTATGATGGCCAATCTTGTGGTATGGATGGCTGCCGTTGCTGTTAACATCTGGAGATTTGCCAGTTCTTTATAATCAAAGGACTTATCGCCAATCTTGTGAGCACGTTGCTGCATCCATTCAATCATGTCCTGCCGTGGCGCGGTGTCCGTTGTCTTAGCTTCTGTGGCTCTCTTCTTGAGTTCCGGCATTAGCAGATCAAGCGCACGCTGGTGATCGCCCCGTATCTGCCTCATCTCGGGGATCCAGTATTGTGCAAATGGGCGGAGCCATGGATGCCACAACTTCAGTTTTTCGCCGCCAGTCATGACGTCGATTGCAAACTTGGTGCTGCATTCAAGCCATTCCTCATTGCGGCACATGGGGTAGCCAACAAAAATCCTTGCGGAAGCTTGGGCGACGACGCGGAGCAGCGTTTCGTGGAGATCAACTGGAGTCCAATCTATCGGCGAATGTGAGACGCTGGATTTCGTGATGAAGCAGAAGCAGGGAATACCTTTGCAGGAAGGAAAATGTTGCTCGAAGCAAACGTTTACTTCATGGTTTACGTGTCCAACGAAGAGCCCCAGGTTTCTGTTCAGATCAATTTTGATCGCGCCAAGCATCACATCGCTTTCATGGTCGATCGTCGTATAGTGTCCAAGGTGGCGCTAGAGTCATTCGAGGAATGTGAGCAAACTGAAGCACGGTCGTGATGATTTGTAGGTAGGTATGCAGCATACGTCAGCTAGAGCTTTCATTCCGCTTGCTTCGTGCCGTTTGAATGGTTTCATATCGTTGGCATATTTCCGTGGGAGAAAGAGCCTCGGACCGTCCGGCGTAAGGACCTGAAAAATCGTGTTCTTAAACTGGAGGCGATATAAATTAGCGGCCGATGGGTCTGAAGACTTGCGTTGCCTGAGGCAAGACTACCTTTTCGTATCCTTCTCGAAGAAGAGCATCGGCCTCTTGGACATATCTCATTTTGAGTGCATTGGGGTCCGTGGAGTCTTCGCCAAGTATGGGAACGTTGAAACGTTTTGCTGTTCTCTTATACCCGGACAAGAGAGCGACAAGTACGACAACTATAGCTGCCAGAGCTGGCGACATCCATTCCAACACGGGAAACGACTTCATGTCTTCCGGCAGGCTTGAGTATGCCATATCGTCTTGCCGTTCGGTATCGCAAAACTATTTATATTGATGTGTTATAAGTTCTGAGACATAAGAAAAAGGTATGATCCTTTTCGCGCACTGGACCAGCCTTGTCAGCCTCTTCCAGATAAAAGCAAATTCAAAACAAAGAGTTTGATATCACCTACAACTGTTGATATACAAAAACAGATTGGTTTCGGCTATCAAAATCCTGAATGCTTGGATACCAGTCATGGAACGGAGCCAAACACTTGGCTTTTCACAGTAATTGGTGTAGACCTCTGCGTCTGAATGGGAATGCATTCAGTGATGGGCGAAGGTATGGGTAGATGAGGAATACTAACTGGCTATCTACCTCAAGTTTCAATGCTTATTTGTTTTCGGCTAAACCCACAAAGCCCTTTATGTGAGGTGATGGTATGTCGAGACAGGAGTCTGAAGGAATGTGAACTGTCGAGCCTTGAGTGCAGGCACTAGCGCAATGTGCAGGGGTTTTCAACTCTCACTGCAACGTCACATCGTCCTCCGACTTCTTTGAACGCCGTCAATTGCGAAGCCAAGATAGAAGTCGGTGGGCTTTGATGAATCCTTCTTGCCTTCAAGGGAACGTCTCCATATGCAGCATCAGTTTTTTTACTGTCTATGAGGAACTGCATGATACCCTATGCTTGATCTTACTGACCCCTCATATTTTGGATTGGCGTACCATTGTCAGCTACCCATGTGATCAAGCGTTCCTTCAGGTTTCCCACATTATCTGCATAAAGTATTCTTCGAAGCCACTCCTCGACTAAGGGTGTCTCATCATCCGATTCGTCTTTCGTTGATCCTTGGTTATCTGCCAAGGCCTAGCGACTACAATAACCGTTGCGTATTCTCACCGGTTCCGGCCAGAGCGTAATACTTGGAAAGAGGTCAGAAATGGCCCCATCCAGACTCGAAGATACGGCTGAGGCAAAAGGCACCTCCGAGGCCAATATCCCTGTTGGTCTCAAGGCCATACCCGCTGCAAAATTAGATCTTCGCTCAGATGAGGAGATTGCGTTATGGCTTCAAGCTCGACATCCGATCAAGTCGGACAAGAACATTTGGGCATTCTGGCATGCGGGTTACCGCCAAATGCCTCCCTGGGTCCAAAGAAACGTCATCAATTGGGTCCGTCGTCTTGGTCAAGAATGGACAGTACATCTCCTCGACCGCGTGCCCAACTCTGAAACGAACATCTACCACTTCGTCGAGGAATCATTCTTCCCCGACGCCTTCAACAACAACACAATGGATGGCGTCCACGTCGGCCCGCATCAAGGTGACCTTATACGCCTTCCATTGCTATGGAAATATGGAGGCGTCTGGATGGACGTCGGATCGTTCTTGTTCCGGCACATAGACGACATCTGCTGGAAAGAAATTGAAGATCCCAGCTCGCCCTATGAAATGGGAGGATTCGTGATCGAAATCCGGCCTGGGGTGGACACCATGCTCAACGGCTTCATTGCTGCTAAGCGCAACAATCCGTTCATCAAGCGCTGGCATGACATCTATCTGGCGCTTTGGAGAGGGAAGACCAACTCAGACGGCTTCCACAAATCCCCTCTGCTCAAGCATCTCCCTCTCCTCTGTCCACCCGTCGACAAGATGAACTGCCCAGATCTCGGCGTGATGATGGAGAGCTTCACTGATTATCTCTCACACTTTATGGCGTTTGAGCGGCTTCGAAAAATCATCGATCCTTCCGATGGGTTCAACGGCCCGGAATACTACGCCAAGCATATGTTCCTCGCTCCAGCCCTTCAAGAGACTTTCTACTTTCAACAGGTGACGGGATGGTCAGGAACACGCCAGTTTGAGCTTCTCACAAGACGGCGCACCGGTAAAGGCGTCGTCAAAGACGAAACATGGCATGCAGCCGAGGATTTTGTCCAAGATGCGCTTGCCAATACGAGCACGATGAAATTGTCCCACGGGCCGCCGGGAGCTTTGGATTCCTTCTTGGCCGATCTCTGGGACTCCAAAGAGCACCAGGACAAGGACAACGTCGAAGGTACTTTTGCGGCCTATTTGAGATATGGAAGCGTGCACTTTGATCAGACGCGACGGTTGTTGCCTCTGAAGTTCAACGTCACTACCGAGGAGGTATTGCACATTGGGGTTCTGGAGCCGAAGAAGGATTGATCAAAAGCACAACCTGTAGCTTCTGATAAGGGGCAGTTGTAGTAACAAAGCTAAGGTAGATATGGTAAGCTAGGTAGTTGATATGGTGACTCTTGCTCCAATGAAATGCATGCCTCGTGATTCCACAGATAATACTACTTGATCTTCGCGGGAAGCTGCCTCTGATCACATGGTGAGCATGTATATCGTGCGTCTCGCGGTACAATTGGCGAGCGCAACTACCCTCTACCCACCTACTTAGGTATCCGGTCTCGCAGCTTCAGCCTGGAGACACTGTAGTAGATGTAGCCGTGCGGATATGCGAGGCACTTCAGAGGCGCGGGTTTGTCCGAGTTCAACAACAGCAAGGTGACTTGATAGAAGCGGCTAGCTGATAGTGCTGAGGTGAGAATGGTTCCGATCGCGTATCTGCAGATGCAGCTGCTGTTAATAGTATAGTTAGACAGGACGCGGGGAATCACAATCAGCTTAGCAACGGCCCGAGCCACACCAATTACCGATGAGCATTAGCAGTACGGAGTACTACAGTATGTCTTCATGAACTCAAAGGATCAGTTGCCCATCAACAGATTGTTGTCCTGGCTATGTACTAGACTGTGATGCGAACCTAAGTAGACTTTGGAGAGACAAGATAGACGTGCGCTTCGCCCAGCTGCAGGAATTGAAGCCACCCACAATAGGTAGGTTACCTACTGAAAGCCGACCCACCCACCGGGCGATGAGACTTTCACCATACTCTATAAAGCATACTTCAAACTTCATGCTGCTGCTGCTGTTGCAAGTCACTCTAGCTTATCGAAAACAGTCATTTAGAGAATTATCTGGATTTCAGACTTTCTTGACAACAGGAGTGCGCATATTTCTCTACTCTCAACCTGACTTTTATGCTCCGTGTTCCTCACTCATTGTATACGATTCCATACGAGCCTTGCAACACGGCATTCCACAGCGTAATCCCTACACGATTTCTGACCCGCAGTATCCTTGACGTACGTTTACCCTAGCTGTGTTCATCAATCCTCTCCAGGATCGGACGTTCAGTCTACTAGCTGAAGGATCGTAAGATACCAGCTAGTTACCGTTACATAGATATTTAGGATGAATCGCTGCAAACAAACTCAAGCTTCGTAACGTTGAATGTAGGAACATACCGGAGGATCCCGACAGTAACACATGAGCCATGTAACATTTGTACGTATCGAAACAAGATGAGCCTGGGTCACGATCATGTCTCGGTTCAAGAGATATGAACATGCTCCCATGGAGCGAGAATACTTAAAAGATTGGTGGAAATCGGTCAACGACAGCGATATTGAACAGTGAGCCATGCACAAAACCAGGTGAACCCTGTGAGAGCTTGAAATATGGACTCGCTATGGAGTATTGTCGTTACCATACGTGATATTGCCCTTAAGCGCACCGTTGGCACTGATCATCTCCATAAAGCTGCCGCCGAAGTTTTGGACGAACGCAAAGATGTCATCCGAAGAGCTTTGAACAAGAAGGTTCTTGTGCCAGATATTCTGGCTCTCATGCCTGAGTGGCCAAGCGAATTCCAACCAGACATCGACGAGGTCAACTTGGAAATCGATGAGTGGTTAAAAACGTTCGTCTTCAGACACCAGCCCATCCTGGACATTGCCATTAGGGTTTACTGACTTATGTTTCAAGTGTCAAAGTCGCGGAAGAGAAAAAGGCAAAACACCGGGCTCGAGGCAACTATACACTTCTGGCGGGTATTTATTATCCCCACTGCAAGAAGGACAAGTTGTTGGTACTGTCTCAGTTCCTTTATTGGGTATGCATCTTAGGTCATCTTCTTATCAAAACGACCAGCTAATGTGTGATGCAGATATTCTTTTGGGATGATGGTGAGCACACATAGATGAAGTCCACCTGGTTGTGGAACATCAGTGTTGATATGACTTTACAGAGATTGATACTGGTGGAGAACTTACCCACGACAGGCAAGGCACGCTTCAGTGTTGTGCTGAGACGAACAAATGTATTGATGATTGCCTTGGTCCCAACCCCAATTACAGCCCACCCCCAGGTTCCCGCGGTACCGTGGAGATGTTCTACCCCATCCTAAGAGACCTTCGGAGTGGTCTAGGACCTGTTTCCACCGAGCGACTAAGACAGGAGCTCCACGACTACGTGAATGGGGCAGCCAACCAACAGGGAGTGCGGGAAGAGGACCACCTCCCTGACCCTTGGGTTCACTTTCAAATGAGAGCGGATGATGTTGGCGTCATACCCAGCATTACGCAGAATGAGTATGCCATGGAATTCGAGCTTCCAGAATGGATTCGGAGGCATGAGGCAATGGAAGAGATTGTGCTGGAATGCACCAAGTTGACTATCCTGCTTAACGAGGTCTTGTCCCTGCAGAAGGAATTTGTGAGTACTATATTTGTATCATGAACCGTTGGCTGAGTCTTGACATGCTAATGACTACACCGGCAGCGTGTCTCTCAACTAGAAAACCTCTGTTTGCTTTTCATGAACACTGACAACGTGTCCATTGAGGAGGCAATAGACAAGATACTTGGCCTATTGCAAGAACATTATGAAATTTGTGTTGCTGCCGAGGCTAGGCTTCCGTGGAGTGAGACGGACGAAAAGTTGAACGAAGATATTCGGGAATACGTCCGAGGTGCAAACAGATTGGCCACTGGCACCGCGTGTTGGAGGTAAGATGGGCAGTATCCTATTCCAGAGCCTTGCGAGACTTTCACTAACCACATACGTCTGAAGCTACAACTGCGAGAGGTACTTCAAGCTGAGCCAGGTCAATGAGAAGCGGGAGTTGCTGTTGGACCTCTCTTACCGTTAGACTAGACTATTGGCCAATATCCCATCCTTAGACTTGTTTCGCAACGACGACTGATCGTCTCTTCCCTGATCCGCATGACGCGCCGGCACTGAGAGTGCACGGTTTATCTCCATGTGGGAGAGTTTGCACCCATGCAGGTAATTCGCAGAATGCTGTCACTGTTAGTCACATCCACCACGTCAGGATCGCGGTCGTGACCTTTCGTAGCTTGGCCGCATCATTATTTTTCATTCAAAAGGTATAAGGAAAATGTCAAGCCTATCGAGTAATCGCATGTGTAACAAGTGACATCAGAATCTAGAACAAAAGGTATGTAATGTCTTTCGCTTTCCACGGAGTCATCGCTTTAGGTTAGCATGGATGCAGCCTATGACATCGCCGGCATCTAGTTATGCATCCGCAGAATGTGGGCAATCATGCCTTGCTGTGAATGTTTATCGGAAAATGGCGATCTGTCTGATCACGTCTAACAATAAAAACGGATTGTCTTGTGGAGCTTATTACCCATCATGGCACAATGCCTACGAATGGACACTTCACAACAGGAACATCTAATCTCGAAAGACACTACTTCATAATCAGGCCGATGATATAAGCATAGTTGGGCTACAAAAGGAAATTCAACGAGGGCACCTCTTGCATCATTGAGTCGCTACCCGTTTTAAAATCAAACCTGGTGCTGCGTCTATTCCGTTCCTATGTCTGTCTGTGGAGACCATGTATCGGACCACCGTCCCGGTGGCTGTCAATCAAAGCATAGGACGCGAGGATCTTTCATTAACTTATTGGACCAAGGTGAATGCAGTATATGCTGGGTCTATAAATGCTAGTTCAAGGCTATGTTCAGAGAATATGCACGTGTGGTAGATGAACACAAAGCTATCGGCCCTCTTTGTTCAGAGTTTCAAGCTGAGCGTCTTGAGCAACGGGCAGATAGCTTCCTTTCTTGCTGTGTGCGAAACGGTCTTTCGCCCAGCCGTACAAAGCACTGCCACTCAAAATAAGAGCCATGCTGCCAGCACGATTGGCGGTAATTGGCTCTCGGAGAGCTACAACGGCGATGGCGCTCTGAGCAACGCCTCGTGCGGCGGTGACAATCATGTGAGTTGTCGGGCTGGTGACTTCGATCTGCATAAACGTGGCTATTGTGAGGAGGAAGCCGGCCACGCCGGTGAGCACGGCGGTGCCCAGGAATTGACGAGCGCTGGCCGAGACCTCGGCTGTTGCCGTCGAGCTGAAGAGGGCCATGGTGGTCCCCATCTCGCCGGACAAGAGGAGCAGCGGCGCATAGAACACAACAGCCATAACGTTGGACATCCAGACCATCTGCCACATGCCTTCGCTGCTCTTTCCGAGAAAACGCTTGACGACGACGGACTCGACGGCCGTAGTGAAGCTCGAAATAACTCCCAGCAAGACACCCTTGCCGCTAGTGAGCATCTGGCTGTAGTCGGAGGCCATTCCGGCGCCAAAGCCGGCCATGACCATGGCGCATCCGGCAAGCGACAGCGGTGGGTAGTATGGGCGTGGTCGAAGGACGAGGAGCGACAACATCAGAGTGAAGGGTAGGAGTAGTCCCCGAGCAATCTGGTAGACGGAGGCATTGACCGAAGCCAGGCAGTACGTCTTTGCCAGGATGCCGACGAGTCGCGCGGCAGTGAGTGGGAGAAGCGCAATCCATGCCTATGGGGAAGTACAACACAATGTTAGCATTTGTAACCCAAAGCATCACAGAATATCGGCAATGATAACCAAGCAGTACTGTTGGTTCATTGTGACACCATCGTCAAGAGAGCCAAGCGGTTTGCGACGTACGGAAACAGGTCTTGATAAAGTGATCCATTTGGTGAAGTAGCCGATGGCTGTAATGAGCACGACCTGTACTGAGGTCTGAAAAGCCAAGAGTGTGACGGGTGCATCGATGCCGTTCAACGCGGACTTGGAAAGGATGGTGCTGAGGATGGCGCATGTTGAGTGGAACAGGACAGTCAAGGCGACTCGGCGCCTGGAGGGCGGTTGGGAATCCCGGACTTCACTCATGATGGAGTGATGTTCGCAAGGAGAGGCTGAGCGAGTGACTGGGACAATAGATATAAACGAATGTCAGGAATAAACCCGTAATAAACACAGCGACGAAACCAACCACACGGCAATCAACAGCCTCGTACTCTCATTACAGAAGCAAAATCTCGAATGTGCTCTGAGGCGTGATGGAAATGCCACAGGCTGCTAGCGGTTAGCACTGACGCTAGTAAAGGGGCAAGCTGAGGTACCTACCTTATCTATCAGCTGCGCTTTGATAGGGAGGTATGGTGAGAGAGCCCTAGGCTACAAAATAACTGGTACCTACCTAGGTAGTGCCTTAGGTTGTGTTAACTGCCTGTTCCAATGCGGCTCTCGCTCCCTCAGTACAAGTACAAGAAGTTCTTCATGCAGGCCCTACCTTACCTTACTGTAAGGTTAAGGCCCTGATGCAATTTAGGCTGAAAAGTATTTAGCTTACTAAAAAGTGAAATCCTAGGTTAACCTTACCTAGCTAAGAAGGGATTATTAATATAAAATTGCGCATAAAAGCCTAAACATCTTAACCCTTAATTATAAAGTATTATACTAGCCAGGGCTATATAAATACTTATAAAAAGAAAAGATGCTAAGAATATTTAGTAAATTTTACTAATAGCAGGGGGTAGTTACTAAATACTTTTTAGCTAGTAATAAGTATATTATTTTTTAGCTGCTATTTTTAAGTTTATGCTTATATTATAATTACTTTTATAAAGCTAATTATTAATATAGCAACTTATAAAGTAGCAGCTAATATTATCTTAGCTTATTAATAAAAGAGGTAATATTATTATAATATTTAAAATGCTACTGCTTTATTAGCTTTTACTAATATCCTTAATAAAAAAGGGCAGCTATAATAATAAGGCTTATTAATATACCTAAGAGTAATAAAAGCTAAGCTAAATAATAATAGTAAAGCTAATAATAAGGCTAATAAAAATAGTAATAATTCTTATTAACTTATAGCTACAGCCTTATAAAAGGTATATAAAGAGATGCTTTAAGAATTAGAAAAAAGATTTAAAAAACTATTTTATATAAATAAAGCTATATTTTAAGCCTTTTATAATTAGCTAAGTTATAATACTAATATATTAATAAGCTAGAAGCAGTTACTTAAGTAGAAAGTTATAGTATTCCTTTAAATATATATATTTAATAAGACTTAAAGGAATATTATATATTACTTTAAAATATATTAGTTAATAGTATTTTAAATTATTAAAGATATACTTAATTTTATATAGTAATTATATATAGTATTTATAATATAGCTAGTATTAATATATATTTTTTTAAAAGTTATTTTTAACTTTAAGGCTAAGGGCTTTAAAAGCATAATTAAGGCTATTAATAATATATATATTTTTACTTTTATTCTTAAAATAAATTAGTAAAAATTTTAATTATAGAAAAATAATATATTATAAAATATACTTATTACTATTACCTTTAATAGCCTATTTTACTATATATTAATAAAAGGTAAGGGATTTATTAATAATATATCTCTCTTACCTTAGGCTTTAACTTAAAGCTTAAAAATGCTATAATTAAAATACTATCTTACTAATACTAGCTTTAAAGTATAAAATAGTATTATTTTACCTTATATTAAATTATATTATTATTTTAATAATTAAGGAGATGCTAGCTAATAGCTATATAATAGCTATAAGCTATTTAACTTATAATATATATTTTTAAGGACTATAGTTAAGTATATTTTTAACTGCTATAAAAGGAAATAGAAGATTATATATACTAGCGCTTTAAAATATAACTTTATAAACTAAGTTCTTTTTATATATACTATTATAAGGCTTTATAATTTTATAATTTTAAGAGAAATAACTTTAAGTAAGTATTAATAAAAATATTAAGATGCCTTATTAAGAAGAGAATAACTAATACTAGCTAAAGCTTAAGATAAGGCTAATTCTATTAATAAAAGGTTATAAGCTAAGAGATTAAAAAAGTATATAGCTTAATAGTTTTAAAATAGTTATTAGAAATATATTAATAAGGGTTATAAAAATAATAATCTTAACTTTAAAAAGGAAGTTTATAATATTAAGGGTCTTAATAAAAGTAATAGTAATAATAATAATACAGAGGTCTTTATTAATAATAATAATAATAATAATAATAAAAATAAAAATAAAAATAAAAATAAAAATACTGCTTTTAATAATAGTAATAATAATAAGAAAGTTAAAGCTTAATAAATAAATAAGGCTAAATATAGGCTTAATAAAGTAAATCTTTATAAAGCTAGGCTAAGTAGCAGCTTAAATAATAATAGCCCTTTAGCTAGGCTTTTTTATTATTTTAAAGCTATTTATAACTATTTAAAAAAGCCCTAGAATTTTATTTTAAGTTAGTAGCTAGCTATACCCTTTTTATATTATTAAATAATAATAAATTCTATATTAATAGGTTTATTAAATCTTTATATATTTAATAAACTAATTTAATTAAAAAGTCTATGCCTTTATTACTAATAAAGTTAAAGTAATTTTTTATAGTAATTTTAAATGCCTTAGTGCTAATAGGCAGTTATTTATATATATAAATATAAGTCTGCTTTAAAAGCTTTAAGTTATATAAATTAGCTAAAGTAGCTATAAGCTTTTAAATAGCTTTTAATAATAAAAGCCTTTTTTAATATAGTAACCTTTTTTTTTTCTCTTTTTAATACTTATAAGCGCTTTAAGTATTAATAATAACTGCTTAAGTATTAATAATACTAGCTATAATATTAATAAAAAGAGCTGCTACTATAATAATACTAATAAAGCTAATAATTTAGGCATTAGCTATAATATTAATACTAGCTATAGTATATTTAGCTATATAGCTAAGATAACCTTATTATTATTATTATTTTAATTAAAGGTAATTAATGCCTTTACTAATAGCTTTATAAATACTTTAAAATTATTTTTTAATGCTTTAGGTATATTCTTAACTTCTTTTATAAAATACTAGCTAATTTAAGTACTTTTTAAATTACTATTTTACCTAGCTAAAGTAAACCCTTTAATATTACTTACTTCTTAAATATTTTATTTAGCTAGCTAGTTTTTAATAAAGATCTTCTACTAGGTATTAATACTAATACTATTACTAATAAGAAGGCTATTTTAAACTACTTTTTAGCTAAAGTAAGAGTATTATAAGATTATTAGTTATTAATTTTAAAGGCTTATGCTTAGCATCCTTATTTTTAAGTTATATATTATTTTTAATAGCTATTCTGCTTTATAAAATACCTTTTAGAACTTTTTTAAATAATTATACTTATTTTTAAATATTTTAATAGTTTAATTTTAATTAAAATACTACTCTTTTAGCAGCTTAATTATTATTTTAAGGCTTTACTATAAGTATATTACTTTAATTAATTTTATAAGGCTATTACTAATAGCCTTATAAACTAATAAAAAGAAGAATAATATCTAGTTATTTAATTACTTAATTTTACTAGCTTATAATAGCCTTATAATAAGTTAAGATATTTTATATTAGCAGTTAGGTTATTATAACTTATTTTATAATAATAATTAAGTAGTATAGAAGGTATATTTAAACACAGGCTTTTTAATAATATTAAATTCTACTAGATTAATATTTAAGAGCAGTAAGAAAATTTAGTATTATTATAGCCTAGTGTTATAATATAGCTTTATAAGGCTAGAAGGAAGGTATAAGTGTTGCCCCCTACTTAGTGTGTTTTTTAAATATTATACTTTTTAGCAAGCTGAATACTTTTTAGCCTGAATTACATCAGGGCCTAAGGGACGTTATGCTTAAGGCCCTGCAAGATGCGGTGGGATTGATACCTAGGTACATATCGTCTTGGGGAGAATGGCCCACAGGCGTCTACTAACAGAAACCCTGGTTGACTTGTGCGAAGTAGCGCGAAGAGATGTTACTTCGGTCCGCAACAAGTAAGGTAGGTACTGCTCACAGCTCTGGCACGGTTGTGAAGAATGAATGATATGGGCTTACAAGTAGACCGGCAGGTAAGGAGTGGGATACTTTTCTTCCTTTCTCTTCTTTTTCTTTTTTTCATTTCTTCGTTCTTCTCACCCTCTTTTATTATGAATCATCTACTTACATATTAGTTTACTTTTTTTTGTCTCTTTTCTTTTTCTTTTTTTCCCCTTTGGCTTTTGTTGGACCAAGTCGAATCAACTCTCAAAACTATTGGGAACACTAGCGCTGGTGTACCAGTTGTGCCGCTACCAGAAAGATAAGGTGCTTGTAGATTCCAAGATGGATGCGAATACTCCACGCGTCGAGTTTTGAATGGCACTACGAAATCCTCTAGACAATCGAAACAATCGGCGTGAAGTCTTGTTCCGTGACCGTCCGTTTTAGCGACACTGACGCGTCCCACCCCTATTCTCCGCATGGCATGTATCGAAAACCACACACACACACACACACACACACTTTTCTTGCACGAGGCCCTTTTCATAAGATACACATACTGTTCTCTCCTCTGATAGCCAACAAAAGTGACTTCATGGACGCACGGATGATAATTCAAATGCCGTCGAAGAGAAAGATCCCTACGGTACTGCATGTAATACTAGCTGATGACCGTTGGTCCTCTAATAAGCACAGGCGCCGTCAGTCAATCTCTTTTTCATTGACTCGTTAACCCAGTCTGGTCCCTGATTACGTCGCCTCCAATACGCTAACGCCTTGGCAGCTCCGCCTAATCATAACTTCGGGGAGCTAAAGAACATCATCCGGCCACTCACAAGCCGTGTTTGTCGAAGAGCCGTCAAGATGGAATAGTTGCCAAGACTGGAAGTTGACAACTCTGAAGAAAAATGCCGCCAACTCCGACACGAGTAGGTATGTACCTCACTTGCTGCTCTAGAAGCAAAGTACCAGGGACAGCAAGCTGACTTGGCTGCCTTTTGCCAGTTTAGATCCTTGTAACAACTTCGAGGATCAGTTTCCGGAACGGAAAGTGTGTGAGACGTAGAGAGAAGTGAGAAATGCTTAAGCCCGAGATTCCCGCGGCTCCTCATAAAGATTGGCAGCGTGAAAGAAAACAGCAGCCAGATGATGAAGACCCAAGCAATGATATAACAGCCGGAGAACCATCTCGCATAAGTCTAATGCAGAAGGAACAAAATCATGAAAGGGGGAAATAAAAGAAAAACATGCTACATGATCCATCGATGACTGAAAACCCCCACCATAAAACCCAAATGAACCGAAGTATGGTCATCTCGTAGCAGCCGCTTGTAGGGTGTTCGTCATGTCGAGACGGCGTCTTCAGGTACGATCCCGCGCCTTGTGAAATCCTCATTCATCCACCTTCTCACATTCATCCGATTTTGCTTCATTATGTTTTCAGCTGCCTCTTTGACCTTCTTCTTCTTCTCCATGAACGTTTCTCTGTCACCTACCACCCTCTCGACTGTCTCCATTTCCCTTTCATCAGGCTCTGAAAGCCAGACTGCCTCGCGCGGCAAATAAGAGTAGGACGCGAGAAGCTTCTCGCTTGCCACTAAAGGAACTCCCGCGATAAGCGAAGCAGGAACCGTAGACGAAGCTTTGCGGTCGAGATAGGTTTCGGACGCAAATGCAGGAATCACCGCGTATGACTGCGACAGAAGTCTGTAAAAGTCGGGATACGAGAGATCCTCGTCAAAGGCAACGTTGCCGCGAATGTTCTCGGGCACCTCAACGTGTGGGCCGTGTCCGATCAAGTGCAGTTTGACCGATTCCTCAGTCTGATGACCCGTTGTCGCAGCACTTCCGTTGATCTTCTTGACGACATTGTCTAGGCTGCCGAATATGCGTTTGTAGTCTCGGCGCTCGGGAGCATAGTCGCCCTGCATGGCAAGCGAAACTTCACGAATAGTTTCGTTGTGTGTCTGGTTGACCGGGAAGACTGGAGGAAATGTTCGTGCCGTAACACTTGCCTGCAAGTTTGGCCACTGAGTTACTGATTTCTGAAGGAGATAATCAACCGTGTGCTGGCTGAGACCAATAAAGTCCACACGCTCTTGGTCGACCCATTCTCGGACAACGTCGACATGCTTGCCCTCGTTCCAGTAATCGGCATGATGTACAAGGCAGAACAAGTGCGTGGTCTCGTTGAATAGGAGGTGGCGTAGAGGGGCAACGACCGATTCTGGTTTCTCAAGGTCCAGTTCGCAAGTAGTCGAGACAACAAAGTGAGGAGGCGGCAGATTGGCGACGTCCCTCTTGAAGTAATTGGAGCTGTTGACCGACAGAATAGGCGTTTGCAGTTCCAGATTGTTGATTATCACATCAGACTGGTAGCGCTGGCGAGCAAAGTACAGCCGCAACTCTGCGTTGGGATGTCCTCCAAACGCATAGACCAGCGCCGCTGTCACCTCATCGTGGACGCCGGCGGACTCCACGATGGCGATGCGTATCGGTTCATGTCTCTCGCATGGGAAACGGTCGTTCCACCAGAGCAGGTCGTCATCTGTGGTGAAGAGGTTCTGCCATATCGGGTCTTCGCCGAGAAGTAAAGATCGCGTGCTTTCACGGCTGCTGAGAATAAGTAATGCGACAGCAAGGAGAATGATGAAGAGGTAGAATGAGCGTAATCGCCGATAGTAGGCGGTAAAAACCATCTTGAGCATATTTCAAGACAATACAATCATATAGACAATAGAAGAAACAAGAACATCATGCCAATCCACTACGGCACATAGGGAGAAAGGGAAAAAAAAAGTTCATGGAAAGGTCAAGGTTGGCACGAGGGAGCTGCCCCGGACCATACATGTAGCTTAAAGCCTGGTAGTCTTGTTTGATACGTGACCCCCAAGTCTGCCCCGGCCGCCACTTTCCCACGTCGATGCTCCTAGCGAAGGATGATCAGTATTTACCGCCATGTTTCGAGTACTTTCTGCTGCTCTTTCGACTCCTATTTCATGAGGCCGACTCTATGAGCCGCTTTGGGACCCAGCTTTGACACCACTATGAAGCAGACTAGCTAGCCGGCCTGGTGGAGACGACAACAGACTGATCCTGGTAGCTGACGCTAGAGGTGCAAACCGGCTCTGAAGCAATCAGGGGCAGCCTTCATCACTTGGACATGGGTCAGGAATTACTCGCGGAATGATCAAGTACCGCTACTTGTTCAGCTTTGCGCGTCTCAACCTAGACGGCGTACTACTGTATGTACTCGTGGTATTGCCACTGGAGCGAGGCACACGCTACTCCGTATCCACGACGCTCCTTGAACACGTCCCACTGCGAATCGATCTCAGGGAATTTTTGTCCTTATGACAACCAACTCGTAACGCCTGGGCAACCGTCAGCATTCAAGAGCACAGCTGCGGCCTCACGCTTTTCGCCATGCTGCTTGCGAATCGGTTCGGCAGGGCCACCATCATCGCCGGTGCGACCCTTTTGATCTCGTTGCTCTTGGTGATCCTCGCACAGAGCGCCGACCTCAGATCACATCTTCCCAGCTCCCCCTCAATATGGCCGGCGAAAGAGTGCTCCGCGCCGGCTTTGGCGGAGAGCAGGAGAAACATTTCCTATGATCTCACGGTACCCCCTTCGGTCGGTTGTGAGGACATTGTCAATGACCTCCAACAAAAGCTCATTCAAGCCTATTCCAAGAGCCTCAAGGGTGTCCGGTATGCCAATATCTGGGGCTACCTGGAGACCGAGAACAAGGGCGACGCCGCCATTTGGTCCGCCCAGCAGATTCTCATGAGCATGCTTGGTATTGAGATGATGGAAGCATGTCGGTAAGCAGAACTGGCGTTTTATGGAATCCATCACGGCGATCCCCGGTGTTAACAATGCTTTCTCGACGCAGTTTCATGGACAGAGACTGCGACATCAAACGTTTTCGCCAAGTTCTCGAGGACCACCGGCCCAATTCGGCCATCATCATGGCAGGCGGCGGCAACTTTAACGACTATTACTGGGAGGACCAGCCTTCCCGCATGAAGATGATTGAGAGCTTCACCAACGTTTCCATCCGAGCGTTTCCCCAGAGCGTGTACATGACGAACCCGGAGCGTATCAAGGCGACCGAGGAGGCTTTTGGAAAGCACAAAGATCTGCAGCTTGCTGCGCGTGACAAGCCCAGCTACGATTGGCTCGACAAGACCTTTGGCAACAAGGAGGGCATTGATAGCCATCTCGTGCCGGATATTGCATTCATGTGGGGGAATCGATCCGACTTTCGAGTCAATGGGAAGAAGACGTACGTATTGTAGCTCCCCGTCCCTGTGACCACCCGATACCATCTCGACAATTGTTCTGACATTCACCTTCTATTCTTACAGCCATGATATCCTCATTCTCGCCCGCAAAGATATGGAAATCTCCGATGGCGATTCATCCAACATCGAGTTTGGCGAAGGTGAACTTGACCTGGGAGAAGGCGTCGGCAAAGTGACCTATCAGAAAGTCGACTGGAAATTTACACAGACGCCGGACATCGACCCGCCAAAGGCCTCTGGCGACGAAGTCAATGGCTCACCCGTCGCCCCCAAGAGAGAGAATGGCAAGAATCAGCGCGCTTGGGCCAAGGCCATTGCCGGCTTTGAACTGCTAGGCTCTGCCCGCTTCGTCATCACCGACCGCCTCCACGGTCATATCCTGTCGACACTTATCGGAGTCCCCCATGTCCTCATGGACAGCAAGTTGGGCAAGAACCTCAACTTCCACAACACCTGGACTCGCGATTGCGAATGCACGAAGATTGCGTTCAGCATTGAACAGGCCTTGGACGTGGCACGCCTGTATTTCCAGAAGGAGAAAACGGCGGTGCAAACTTAGATTCATAGCAAGTGTGTTTCTGCGTCGCGTGTTGTACAGTTTTCAGAATATCATAGAGCATAGCATTCAATCCTCGTAGGTACCAGCCATACAGCTGCCTCTCGTTCCCTCGCACAAGTGCCACAATACCCGATATCTTGCAGTTCCAGTAGGACTCATGATGCACTAACGTACGATAACCTCATACTACATACATCATTATGCATCACAGCAAGATCTGTCTCACAGAGCTGTAGCACTGCATGCGCCTTCCCTAATTCGCATTGTCTGCATCATAATCCGTCTGTAGCACAATCCACAAGTCTCCCTATGCTCGTATAGACCGCCAGATTAAAAGAGCAGCATTGACAACAGTATGACTATGGACTTTGAATCATTCACGCTCGGAATCTCGAAGTGGCACGCAGGCATTGTTAACAGCGTCGGTCATGCTTGGCCAGATATCCTTTACAAAGAAAAAAAGATATTAAAAAAAAAAAAAAAAAAAAGGAAAAAAAAGATGCGGACGGGATGCTGAAGTATGGTCTCTCATTGTATTCATTACCTGTTGTAGCACGCAATATTGCTAGGCTACCGTAGAAGTTCGGATCGGATTCCCTTATGCACTGTTGACCTTTAGTCTAAATTGTCATTCTTTTTCAGATGAAGACGCAGCGCCTTTGATGAATCTACTGGCCTTAAAGAAATAGCACCTCAGAAGACTCTCGAAGCTTCAGCTTCATGATTTATCTGCGAGCAGCCAGTGATGCCTTGGTTAGGCCAGACGCGGCATACATGACTACCTAGTGAAAGTTGACTCAGAGGAGCGATCCATGTTCATTGACAGCCCAATGTTGGTCCCTAATGGAACAGGACTACGTCAATTCTTGCGTGTACATATTGGGCGTTTCCTTCCCACCAACTTCTAATCAGAAGCCGTCAGATAATACAGTACGCTCTCCCCAGGGCCCAAAAACGACGCAATGGAGGAGCTTGTAGTCCCCAGGTCACTGTGATCTTCGCCGCCAGAGCCGCCACCTCCAAGTACCCTACGAACACTCCAACCTGGGGCACCGTTGGATTGACCCTCTGCTATTCCAAGTTGTGATAATGAGATATTCACCAGCTGAACCCCCTCCAGGTCTCCACCAAAGCCACCTTGTCCTAAATCCGGGCCGTAGTTTGCGAGAATGACCACAGCGTTTTTATTGTCCGTGTCAGGCCCAGCGATCCATGCCTGAAGCTGTTCGGATGCCTGCGATCCTGGGTTTGCCGTTCCGAACGGGTTCTTTGGTTGCATCGGGTACTGGGCCGTGAATTCCGCAACAGAGAGTAACTCGGGGTCGTAGAGTAGCTCTAGCCCAAGTGTGTCAAGCTGTGACAAATCCGAGCCAGTGATCTGGTTTGCACCTGCTCCGATCCAGTGGATCGCAACCGTGTATCTTTGCACGTCTGAGAGGCCCGTGAGTGACTGTCCGTTGCCAGTGTACATATTATCCATGTCTGGGCGGATCATTATTGGGGTACCCTGGCGCGCTGGATCTTCTTCTTGCTGGTTAATAAAGCTCCGGTACTGCTCTATGGCTCGCTGCACCGTGTTGAACCCCAGAAACGTGCTTTGGCCAGCATCGTTGATATCTTGGTCTAGGCGCAAGCCATCAGCATTGCCGCGCCACAGGAAGAAATCTGCCCCTGAGTTCCGGTCAAGCTTCCACGATAGATCCAAGCGCATCGGTCGACTAGCTTGCTGAATTGCTCTGTGATATGCCACTGCGGCCAAAGAGTTGTTGGCAGGCAAGTTTTCGCCAGCGTCTGGGCTACCCGGAGTCATGAAATCTAGCTTGATGTAATCCACTCCGCTGTCGCAGCAGTACATAAGGTATGTTAGCGTATTCAAGTGCGAGGCACAGGTTCTTACATCGAGGCCCAGTTGTTCACAACGGAATCATGCCATTGTTGGACACCGTCTTTGCCAAAGTCGAAAGTCTGCCTCAGGTTGTAGCTCGGTTGGTTCGTATCAAATAGGCTTCCCAGTTTTATGTTGGTTCCCTCAACAGTAACGCCGGCGTCGGCGGACAGGGCCCCCGGAAGTGCGTAGACACCGAGAAGCTTGCCTTGAGAGTGCAGGTTATTTGCCAAGGCTGTGAGGTTTGGGAAAAGAGAAGTGTTCGGCACGAGTCGACCAAATGGGTCTCCTCCATCCGCTGACCATCCCGAATCCAGACTGCACAGAGTGTATCCCGCCGTGGCGTTCATAAGATTGCATTGGCTCTGAACATTCCCCTGATTGAGCGTAAATGAGGTGCCGGCCCGGGACTGCATACCGTATGAATTCCATCCCCTGGGTGGCTGATTAAATCCATTGGCGCTTGTCCCATAAAAAGGGATAAAAAGCTGGCCTGCAGTGTTTGCTGCTCCTGTGGTTGCAATCAGAAAGATCTTAAAGATTGAGTAATTGTCTTTGATACCCATATTCTTCGTCTTTGTTATTACAGCTTTGTTGCTGAGTATGCTGAAGTTTTCAATGTCCGTTCGTGGAGTCAAGATGAAAACGGGCGATAACGGTCACTATTTACTAAGTTCCCCGGCTTTTTTCTCGTAGGCGAAAGCGACTTTACATCGTATCATGGGACGGGTAAGAGAAGCATAAGGGGTTATTTTCGGCAATCACCTGGACATGTTACGCTGACGCGGCTGGAACGGCACAAGATCTGCTTCGTATGGGGTACATGACGCTACTATCAACAACTTCCTTCTTTATCCTAGGGTCTAGGATCGCTTCTGTCCTGTTCGTCCAAGTTATACATAGTAGATGGACTTGGTGGCATCGAAGCCCAATTGGAGGGATTTCATTGTCAGACATCATTCTTCTTTTGCTCCTTGAGCTTCAGAAAAGGGAAACAATATTGAATCGGAACCAGACATTCAATTAATTTGTCATGCGGGACCTGACCTATGAACAAAGGTGGCGACAATCGCTAATTGACTCCAAGTTATGGTCGTAAGAAGTTGGCAAACATTGCGTATCAGCGGACCGAGTCGAAGCCAAAAAAAAATGTCACATGTATTGGCTGGCATTGCTGGATATCTTGACTAGGTAAGATTCGAGTCTCTGACAACCTCTCTCAATAGTGACTCAATTCCAAGACATGTAGTTGTATTTTGTGAGCTGGGCCTACAGTATGCGCTTTACCAACGTTTGGCCTGAAAAGTTGCAGTAGACTTGACCTCGATATCGTCTCCTTCTGATTTCCGTACCGCGCAACTCAATGGAGCAATATATAGGACATAGTGTAGAGGTAGATGGCCGAGAACATCTCATTATATGGTTAAGTACTTCGTTATGAAGATGAGTTACATTTCAATTAACATAGGTTATACGTCCATGACTTGCATAGTGTTGGCGTCGAGCTGTCAATTAATTTCCATAAAGTGCATTTCTAGATACTGCTTGCTAACTCTGGAGACCGGAAGAAATAGTTTATTGCTTTTCGGCCTGAGCTTGTCCCCCACTTGCTTCCAAAGATCCTTCGTCCGCGTCTGTCTTGATCTCATCGACATGGCGATGATCCCGGACGACAAGATAGGTAGGAACCACAGATAATCCTTTGAGATCGACGTTAGACATCTAAGACGGCTACTAACAGCTAATAGCTGGAGAAGAACGACTCACCAAGAAGAACTGTGTTAACAGCGAGCGGCACACGCCCTCCGTACCAATTCCTCGTATTCAGACCATATGATACCGCTTGTGCGAAGCTTTCTTGGCCTCTCAAAATGCCCGTGAGTCTTGTCAACTCCGACATATTGTCTGTCATTGTAGCGACAAGATAGTATAGCCAGCTCTGGGCCGCTTGCTGTGAAAAGCTCCAGAGGAAAAGAACGAAGAAGCCCTTGACGAAGCCCGGCGTAGTCCAATCGAGCGTGGGGGGGTTCGCTGTGAATTGCTCCGAAACCACCCAACCATAGACCCAGGAAAGAATATGGACTGCCACGACATAGTAGTATCCATATTCAAGGCGCTTCCCAACGGGAAATCGAGTCCAATCCAGCCATTGGCTGAGAATTTGCGAAGAGAAAAGCGTGGCGAAGTTGCTAACAAATCCAATCAGAGCACGCCCCCGAATGCTGAAGTAGTAGGCTTGGAAGTTGCCTGTGTACTGGTTGAAATAGGCGGCCCAGAAGACGGGAAGAAGAAGAAGCACGTTGCGTCTCCGGGATGTCTGGTAGAGCGCCTTGAACTCGGCGAGAAACGACGCCTCTCCTTTGACGATGACCTTGGAACCGTCGCTTCGCTGAACCTTGTGGGGTGGTGACAATGCCAATGCCAGGGGGGCAGCCAGGCACTGCAGGACGATGAAAATGAGGTAGGTCACATAACCAACTTTCCCCTTGCGCGCGGTTTTGACATTCAATGCCAGGACAATGGCACCACCAACAATTGGGCCAAGAGTACGAAACCACACCCAAATGTTCAGATACTTGGCGCGCTTGGTAGGCTCCGGGTAGCCCAGAGCAATTGCACCCTCACTTGCCCAGAACAGGCCAGCTGATATACCACAGGCGACGGCACCGACCAGGACGAACCATTCGTTGCCAAAACGATTGTTGGTGTAGAGACCTGCCGCATAAACGGGATAACCAATGGCGCCGAGGAACAGCGTGTAGGAGAGACCGATTCGATTCGCGATCGGGCCGCCGAAGAGACAGAAAAAGCCCATGAGGCCGAAGACGAGTGCATTAGCAGCGTTGACGAGATACGGGGATTCCGCTCCACCGGCTCCTGTTGTTGTGACGCGTCAGAGATGTATCTTGGGAATCAGCTGTATGATAACCTACCTAGGGAGTTCATGGCGTTCCATAGACCTGGGGCCAGAAAGCCAACTCCTCCGATCACAAATGCATTAAACAAGGTACTGCGGTACCACTGCCGCTTCGGATTTGGCAAGGCGGTGACATGCTCTTCCGAGCCATCTTTAGATATATCTGCTTCTATATCAGTCATGATGTTCGGTTTGTCGTGCTTTTAACGTTGGGCGCCTATTAACCTCTGCGTTTACTCCAAAACTTAGTTAGAGGGGGCATAATCTAGTATTTATGTGCCAATGTTTACCTTACGTTTATGGAGCCATCTTACTCGGAAAGTTCGCCATGTGCTTTCCCTGAAGGCAATATGATGGGTACGATCGGTACAAAATCCAAGGTGAAAAACTCTGCTCCCAGCAATCTATGATATGAAACCATGAATTCGTCCAATGCTCATTCTCGTTGGAAATGGCGTGAGAGAGAGATTGTGGATCCAGCAACCAATGGGATGCTGCCAAAAACCCTTGTTAACATCATGAATGGAATCTTTCGTCTTCTCCATCATAGGTAGATCCAGCCGCTATCTTACCGCGGTTTCAATGGCGTCTTCGCGGTACATACCGCTTATTATAGAGCTCATCCATGACAAGACATATGGAATTTCAATGGAATCCTTGCGGCTATTTGAAAGACATTGAATGGCAATATTAGAACACAAACCGTAATGACATTTAAACAAGGCCGTTGCAGTTCCAGCTGGTTAGTGCATCGGCTCGTAATCACAGATATTATAAGGTAGGTACGTTCAATTGCACTTGGGTGCTTATTAACGCCACCGGCGAAGGATCATCGGTCCGGTCCGTCACTGTTCATTAAACATGGAGAGAGATAGGCGTAGGGCGAGCCAGAGGAATTCTCAAGAAACTCAATGCCATTACAACTTCTTGCACTGAAGGGTATAAGGAGTTTTCTAACATACGGGATCTGGTAATTCTTTCCTCTGGCTCAAGCCAATTTGATAAGGGAACAAGGTGACGCAATACTCTTGATCATAGAGACAGCGCAATGAATGGCTTTAGGAAGCGCCGACTTGTATGACTCGGGAACTTGAGACTATGCATAATAATAGCTAGATCACGCACCTTGCTCGAGGATCCACCGGATAATGTTACTCGACATGAGAACGAATGGGCAGAGAAAGACGACGGAAAACACACTTATGTATCAAGTGGTTTATGCGATCTGGAGGGTGATTCACTTTGTCGTTTCGCGTGCATCAGACGAGAATGTTGCGCGCTTGTTACGTCTGTCTGCAACAGAGCTCTCTCCGATCCAGACCTGCCCCACAAACTGCTCAAGCAGATCTCCAGCCCATCCAGTACGTACCTTAGTAGATACTAGTACGTACGTACCTTAGTTGCAACGCTTAGATCGCGCTGCAGATTGGGGACATCGTCAACACAATGCCTATCCAGGTAAAAGATCTTATGATACCCAAATTGGCGTTCCAAACATTGAGATATGCAATAATCAAGACTCTCTTTTTGCACAGATCCTTGTAACAGAGCGCAGCAACATGCACTATGGCGTTGTCCACATCATTAATAAGATCTGCAGCGCCCGAATCCCTACGCTTTTTCCCCATCGAAACCATTCCACAGAAAACGGGCCCCAGTAGTGTGTCGTGTTCATTAATGACAATAATAGTTCGCAGCGGGTGGAATAGAGTGATAGCTGAAGAATGGTGCATTTTCATAAACCCGTCAGTTCACTTGCACGCTTCTTCCTTCTCTGCGTCTTGCAAGCGTGGAAACACCTAACACAGGCTTAAATCCTTCCTATGCAACAGGCGCTTATGTGGCAGCTGCGGGCTCTGCAGTCGATGTTCTTGTATCGACTTTGATGATCTTTCTGTTCTCGACCTTATGCAGGCACCAGATGCGACTTGCTGACATACACAGGCGTCTTGTAACTAGACAAAGATTAACCCGCCTACCCTACTTTATAATGCATACTATTCGCACTTCCAGAGCTTGATAAATGCCGCCAGGAATATGAAATGTCAAGCTTTTTTTTTTTTTCCGAACCTGACAATTACATATGCAAGTGCTTAACGCGTCTATTACTTCAAAGCCTTCAAGGGCTGCCATTCCCGTTTTCCTTGGATAGTAACTGAGTCATGTGTTGTTCTCACTTTAATGATTCAGTAGCTTATGCTATACTCCTAGATGAACCTTATTACTACACTATACTGAAATGCTCTGGCTTCCTCTTCATGTGTGGGTTATAGCAAAAGACAAGATAAGAAATGCAATATTGCAAGTTCACTACACCTGATACAGGTCCATCTCGCTTCAGACTCCACGCGACTACGCATCTCAGCTGCGCGTTAGGGATATTGCTCAAGAATATTATTTTTTCAATGCTGCTGTCATTCTAGAGCCTGCGGCTTTTGTTTCCTACGAAACAATGTCGTGCTATATATGCAGTGCGCCAGCTTCACGAGCATAATCACGTCCTGGGCTTGTACAGTATAAACTTTGACTTTGCCTACCGTGTTATTTGCCTGGAGCCAATGGATGTTTCTCAAGCGTGAGCGTGCATTAGCGTCCCACCAACTTTAGTCGGATATCGTCGTGGGTTGCCATTCTGAACAGAGGGGGACTTGAGATCATCCACTCTATAAAGTGAGCCAAGACGAGCTAACCGTAAAAATGCGGCTGCTTCAACTCTTGAGTAAAGAGGGAACGGTCAAGTGATCGATCCAACAGCACCTAGGGGCTCACACCTTTGAATTGCCAGTATCAGAAACGTGCTGAAGGGAGCAATACAAATACAAGTTATGATCCAGGAAGCAACCCTGTATTTGCTTTCCAACTTCTCTTCCAACCTTGTCTAAACGTCTTCGGAGCCTTACACGAAGACTTATACAGGACCCCCAACTCAAGCGCCGTTTTCTACATAGGTATCGATTGACAATCCGATATGGCCCCTTTCGACCTCACTTCATATAAAGCCCTCTCTTTTGACATCTATGCGACGCTCATTGATTGGGAATCGGGCATTTTCTCTCAGCTCCTTCCACTGCTTACCAGACTCCCCAATGACCATTCGTTGTGGAAGAAAAGTCTAGCCGACCTTCGAGGCTTTCTCCTCACGCGATATTCTATTCACGAGCATGCTCTGGAAGTTCAGCATCCAGAAGAGAAGTATTCCGTGCTGCTGAGCAAGGTCTATGAGCATATCGCTGCGGATCTTGGCGTGGCCATAACGCATGAAGAAGCCGAGGCGTTTGGAGAAGCCATAGGGCAATGGCCAGCTTTTGCAGATACAGTGGCAGCCATGCAATGCTTGAAAAAGTACTACAAGCTCATTGCATTGAGCAATGTTGACAAGATGTCGTTCCAAAACACTCTCAAAAATGGTTTGCAAGGAGTTGAGTTTGACGCCATCTATGTCGCCGAAGACATTGGGACCTACAAGCCAAATCCGAACAACTTCAACTACCTCGTCCAACATGCCCGTCAGGATTTTGGCATCGAAAAAGCTGAAATATGTCACACCGCGCAGAGCCTGACATTTGACCACATTCCCGTGGCCTCACTGGGTTTCCCTCCCGCCGTTTGGATCTCTCGCGGGGGTGGCAGCATGGGCATGGGAGACATAGAGGCAGTAAAGGACAAAGTAAATATCGGGGCCATATATGAGACGCTGGGAGACATGGCGGCAGATGTAGAACTGGCTTTTCGCAAGAATAAAGAATAGCGCAACAGGCACTGAACGGATTGATCAGGAAAGACAGCATGTTAGAGATATTTTTTAAAATAGGAGGCATTTCTACATGGCCATATGGTTAATGAGTGGCAACCATTCTATAAGAGTAACAAGTCTAGCCCTAGTCTTTGCTGAACTGCTTTCCAGTCTTTAATTACCAGATCGGGGCTTAGACCACGAGCAATAGCTTCGTGGGTTCTCTCCTGCCATACATGACGAATGATTTCTCCAGCTATGAGGCGATTTCGCATTCCTATCAGGCTCGAAATGGCTAACCATTGTTCGACAATGGCTTGGTCTTCTTCTTCAGTTGCTTCAGTGGCCGCAATAAAGACTGGCCATAGCGATATTGACCCTCCTTTCCTGTGAATAAACGTGAAGGCGTCCGCAAGCACGGATCTGACGAGGTTTCGAACGCCACGTGGGGGAACCCGGAGAACAGCTTGGTGTAGATAGATCAGGGCCGCGGTGCGAAAAAGCCGGAGATGCAGGCTATCTAGGAACTCGAGTAACTTTGCTTCCGGCAGGGATTCGAGAAAGTGGTCACGATCCGGAATGTCGAGATCCACATGGATAACAGTGTGATTCTGTGGTGATAATTCAGTAAGGTATGCCTGAATCGTGACGCCGAGGTCATCAGGGACGTGGCCTAATGACAGTGTCTCTGCAAGCAGTCTGATTGAGGAAATGGTGCGTAAGACGTCGCAGCTGGCACCTATTGTGTATCCAAACTTTTGCCAGGACGCAACGCCGTCCAAAAGGACGTCTGTGATTGGGGATCGGCCATGGACCTTTGCGTTTCCCGTCTGTGAAATCTCAAACGAGAGAGCAAGACTCTGTGATATCACCCAAGAGTTTGCGGAGCGATTCCAAGGCTTCTCTTGAACAAATTGACTGACAAATCCCCCGACGCCGTCAAAATGATTTCTCCAGGCGATTGAGCCTCGTGCATTTCCCTGTAAAGTAAAAAAAACGGTGAGTTGGCGAGCTGCTGAGGCATTAATGGCCACTCCCTACCTACCTCGGAGATCATGAGCGTATACAGGGTCGCAGCGCAGGCATCATATTCTTCCTCCGTGGAGACGCTCAAGCCCTGCCTCAGGTTGCTTAGCGAAGCGCCATAGTGCTTCAGTGCAACGGAGTCTTTGTGCCTCGAAGATGCGCCATTGTCCCCGTGCAGATTGGCTATGTTGAACGCTGACTGAGCAAGAATGGCATGGTACAACGCACGCGAGGCAGTGGAGGAGCTTCGAAGCGCTGTCGATGGGTAGACAGATTTCCAAGGGTTCTCAGCACCATCCACTGGTATCATCAGAGGGGCAATCCATGTCACATAGTGATGGAACAGCATAGCCTCTTCCTTAGAGCTTGATATGCAATCAACGACTGTGGGTTCCAGGGACCGCGCCATGAGAGCGACGTCTGCGCTCAACGGCGAGCAGGAAAAGCGTGCTTGACGTGGAGAGGATGGAAGAGATTCTGCGGCGCGAGCGGACGGCGGATCGATGGAGTCATCTGGTTCTGCGCATATGTTCGAAGGACAAGCCCTAAAGACTGTGAAGGGATTGGAGTATCTCGAAGACTTGGAACTCTCGGCACCGATGTTGTCCACTTCGTCGATCAAGCGTTGTAGACGCCATTCTTCAAGAATCGGCCGGCCGCGCCATGTATGCTCGAAATCCATGCTCCTGCGACAAAATGGCGGGTATGCGCCTGTCTTGGGATCTACCCAGACCAACTCGATGCCGTAGCCTTCGCATTCGACCTTGTGCTTTCTACACGGGTTGCAGGGCAGACCGACGCCATTGCATTTGACACGCCGCCGACGGCAAGTCCAGCAGGCGGAAAAGGACCTAGTAACCTGCTTGCGTGCTCGAGTCATCGTGTGTGAGATGCAAGCGGTTAACAAGCAAGCCGTGCAAAAGTCGTGGAGGCGTGACTGAGTAAAGCTCCCCGAGCCAGCACGATTATGAGGTTGACTCATCACGTGTAGAAATTTGAGACAGATGGCACAAGGCAATGAACCCTCCGCTGACTTCAAGAACTAACAGATTGCCAACCCCGCTGCGAATCTTCAGGTACATGCATCCTGCCAGCGCTACATAGGCATCGCTTTCCGAGTTTATCTTGTTCTACATCCTGTCTACGTTACCTACCTACGTACATGTAGGTACCTTAGGTAGGTAAGTGTGTACCTAGTGCTCTCGAGACAGTGTGCACACCGTATGGGCCGCAGGGCAAGGTACCCACCTAGTAACCTACCTTATATGCGTAAGGTAGGTGTAGTCCTGGTCCTTCCACTGTTAACGATAGCGACCTTGGCTCGTCCGCCTTCCCCGTCACTTGTGACAGTCGAGTCTGGCAATTGACAGCTTCACACAAATGAATACGCGCTCCGTTGGCGCATGCTTACTTCTATGGCCTAGACATTGTTAGAATGTAGGCAGATGAACCATGCCATATGGAACCACTTGGCATGCACCCAAGAGTTTGATGCAGCAGGCCTGGCTTAGGAGTGTGTCAAGGACCCAAACCCGCAATCTGCTCTTCACTGGCTCTTAGGTATAGAAGTGAAATTGCAAGATTGCTTGCGTCTCAGCATCTGAGCAGTTATGAAGATGGGACAGAATAAACTTCCTTGCGGCAGCTGCGGAATGTTCCTATACGTAACTGGGCTCTACCACAACATCCACGAGCAATCTAGGACCGATTCTTCTTCTACGAGCTGGAACCTGAGGTATTACATCAAATCTAACGTGAGCTACGGCTTGCACTTTCTTCTTTTGTGGTTGGGATAATGTGTGGCATTAATGGTCTGAATCACATGCCCTGAATTCTTTCATTTTATTCGGCCAGGCGGATTTCTCTTACAGACTATCTACAGAGTACCCTATTCGTAATATCAATTGTCTCAGATGACGGGCAACACTAGAATGGGCCAGATGGGAATACTTATTGCCAGTACTGTTTCTTACTCTACATGTTACTGCGTGTCTTCTGAACTGGTAGGAAGAATCATCAAGGCACATAACTCTCCTGATATTGAAATGACAGAGCGATACGGTTAAGTGTCTCATAACAATCTGATAGGTTATTCTATATCCTGACACCCAAGTCAGTGGCCGTAAGGGCCGGTAAATATAATTCTGTTACGAATGCTGTTATTATTTTACAGCTATTTGTTCATATACACGCCTGTTATTGCATGGGAGAGGGTTGGCAAAACAGACAAATCTCTAGAGCCGATAGCGTATAAGCAGTGCATAACGTTCTGCAAATGGATTGATGTTACTGGTGTGAGCATTGAGTTACGGAATCGTGTTCTTGTAGTCACTTATTACTTCAAGCTATATTTACCTGACGAGGCTGGTATATTGGTAATATGATGAGGCTATCTTATGGGCGTAATTCTCGAGTTCCTCTTATTCAGAGGATGACCGGCCCGCTGTCGATCTGCTCGTATTGGACTTAGCGCTTATCCCAGCCACGACATACATGATGCAGATAAGATCAAGGGCCTTGTAATTTGGGCCTCAAAGCTTTCTATAGGAAGTTATCCGGGAATATCGGGCGATCGGCCGTTAAACAACTTCGACGTAGTAGAAAATCCTTGTACTCAGTGAGTCGGGCTGTTAACAGAAGGTTCTGCGTCTATTTGCCTTCCATTTACAGCTGTATTACTTGACCAGCACTTCAAACTTTCCTCGTACTTTGCAATGAACTGCTCCGTGGTCAGGTCACGTTAACGCGACACAATATGTCTGTTATTTCATCTGCAATGGAGTCTCATAGGAGCCCAACGCGTCCCTAGAAACCGGTTATACATAGAAGGGAGATATAATGCGGTCGAGTTGTTGTTTATATGCCCTCGTATCGCATCCATTCTCCTTGATGCAGACCCCCGGATGCTCGGCATCAAGACAATCCATTCATACCGGCCTTCTGTGATATATGGCCTGTTGTAATATGCATGAATACCGCATACCGTAGGGGTCAACATCATACTGGCTGCTTCCTCTTTGGTCCTATGCCAATGAGGGGAGTCTTACTCCGTGTTGTCACAGTAAACGGATCAACTTCACGAAGTAAGCAAGAGTGTCATGGGACTGAAAGCAAGGTAGTCATGCCAAGTGTCATGACTTCACCTTCTTGGTAATGATCTTCAGTCTTCAGTTAGGAACACAATTATAAAAGGGAGAGAAAATCCGGCTCGAACAGCAGTCAGTCCAAGCATATCAATCACTGCCTTCAACAAACACTCAAACAATTCTACAAGCTCCCACACTTTTAATTCTCCATCATGAAGTTCTTCGCTTTGAGCCTTCTCTTTGCCAGCTCGGCCATGGCCGGACAGATTCTGTTCTGCAACCAACAAGATTGTGGTGGTAGCTGCAGCTTCCAAAGTCCTGCTGGCAATGGTGCCTGCATCCAACTTGGCGGCATCTCGAGTGCCAAGGCGACTCAAGTCGATTCCGGTTGCAGCTGTGAGTTGGACAGCACTATACAATGATCTGAATCCATTTCTAACAAGCCTAGTCTCTGTCTATACCGACCCTAACTGCAGCGACTTTGCCACTACAGTTGGCCTTGACAGCTGTGTTGCTGCTCCTATCTTGGGCTCCTACTCTTACGATTGTTAATTTGTTAATTTGGAAGTTTGTCACGGGTTGGAAAACTCTTCTGAACAGCTAGAGCATGTGATGGTAGCAAACGAGGAAGCTTGGTACTATATATAGCTCGCTACCTTATCTATATATATTCACCAATACACTACTTTCCTTATGATCACCATAGGCCACTGATGTGATATCATTCTGAAGTCCGTTACACCGTCTTTTAACAAATGATATCTCTATTCTAATTCTGTCTAGAACAGTTTGTGTTTACTACGAGGCTAGCTATAAGTGATTTTGGGTAAGATCTTCGTACTTTAAACGAGCTACGGAATTATCACTTTCTGTAAGCACAACTTGTTCTTTATTTATTTTTTGAGTGATAGAGAATGCCATGCAGTTCTATATCAGTCCTTCGCAGCCTCATCTACCTAGATTGGGAGTCTTCAGAAACTCAATGGGTTAGCTCGTTAGCCGTTTATGACGCAACATTGAAGGGGCGTTTGGTTATCTTCGAAGAGCCTAATAACATAGTAAGGGAAGAGAATATGAAGGAGCTTTGCGCATGGAACATTCAGGTAGAAAGGTGCTCTAGTCGTATAGGATCCAGCATGAGGTAATCAACACGTACCCTTCAGCCCTATGGCAAGTAGGGCGACATATTTACAACTTGCCATTAATCAAGCAAAGAAGAAGAGAAAGTACACTCTCTTTCTCCGATTGTATATTTGAGCTCCCTAGACACAGCGGGGTTCATGTAATATAACAAGACGCTATCTGCGAAATTACCCCCCTTGATATCATTTCGTCATGCGCTTTTCCCCCGTAATCCCTCGTACCATGTCTCAAACTTCATTTACGTCAAGCTGAAGCTTCCCTTTGTCTGCCTCTTCCACCAACCGGTGCAGCCTGTCAGACTTCGGCAGGGTGCTAGACTTCCAAGGCTTAACCCCAGTAGCAAAGAGCTCGTCAATATCTAGAGAGTGAGTTAGTCGCGTATCTCGCCATGGTGAAGATAGCACGGCGCCTACTAGCCCAGTGACACCTAAACATGGGATTCTTACCTTCTAGGCTTCTTTGCTTCGTCTCTGGAAAGAAGAAGAACGCGTGCAGACATGCGACAACGTTGAATGTGCCAAAAATGATGAATGTTTTCCACTGGATGTTTTGAAAGGCTGGGGGTGTATAATAGTTATTGGCAAAGCCCAATATCCAATTAGCAGACGTTGCGATTGATACGGCCTTGCCTCGTAGACGAATGGGATAAATCTCTGATGGATAACACCAGGATATGGGAGCCCAGGTGAAACTGTATGTTGCAACCAGGAGATAGGTAAACGCAATGACGGCAGCTTTGGCTGACTTTGCATCATCATTCATCGTCCAGGTTACCGCGCTTGACCCATCAAAGCCGCCGGGTACATAATGACCGTACTGTGCCATGACGCCTGCTGCAGAATACAGCCATACCATCATGAAGAACGCACCTCCAATAAGGGCGGGGCGTCGACCGATTCGATCCAGAAACAGAATGGCCGGTAAAGTGAACACAACGTTAATGATATACTGGACGCTTGACGCGATGAGCTTGACATTGCCAGTAAGACCAGCCATCTGGAAGATGTAGACGATGTAGTATAACAATGCGTTATTGCCGCTCAGCTGCGTCCAGATATGGACAAAGATTCCATTCGAAATGCGGAGGATGTTGTCACGATGGACTAACTCGGCCCATTTGACTTTGCCTTGCGATTCCGCAACGGCCATCGAATCCCGAATCTCGGCATATTGAGCTTGCACAATCGGAGCTTGGTGGTTGCCTTGTCCATGAATGCTGGCAAGCACAGCCAGAGCATCCTCCCATCTGTCCCGAGAGGCGAGCCAGCGTGGCGACTCAGGAATGAAGAAGAGGGCAGTAAATAGAACGAGGGCAGGAAACATTTGCACTGCCCACGGCACTCGGAATACCGCCTCTGTCTTGGTGTAAGACGTCCCAAAAGTGATGTAATACATGATGAGGGCCTAAAATTAGTAAGTTCAGAGTCCAACTGCTATTGCACATCCGACGAATAGTCGCTTACTCCCCAAGTAATGCTCCATTGTTGGAAACTCAAGATACGACCTCTTGTTTCTGGACGCGACAGCTCAGCTAGAAAGAGTGGCCCAGTAGAAGTGAACATGCCTGCGTCCGAAGTCAGCTTTTCTACATGCATCTGCCTACATCAGCGTGTCTCGCAGATCCGGCGCTTTGGCTTACCAACCGCTCCCCCACAGAGTAGCCTGCCGACTATCAACATTGCAATGTCGATACTGGCCGTACATATAATGGACCCGAAGATGAAGATAATGCACCCTGCCATTAAGGTATGCCTGCGCCCAAACCTGTCAACCACAAACATATTGACTAGGCATCCTAGGAAAGAGCCGCCAGAAATGCTGGCAGTAATACCGCCTTGCTGATCAGCTGTTGGACTGTCAAATCTCTCTTTGAATGGCTTCGTGCTAAGGATTGCTGAGAGTGACGATATATCAAAGCCTTGGAGCAGACCTCCGATAACTAGGAAAGCCGTGATAACATAAATGTTGCTAATTTTGTAAGCCATATCGAAGAGAGTTGCCCAAACTGCAAACGTCAAAAGCCCAAGGAAGAGGAAACAATCATTGTGAGAAGTGCAATTTGGCCAACAGAGGTTAGGATATAACGCCACGGCGAATCAGCTCCCTGTCGCCGATATCGCCAAATGCAAATGATCCAAACTCATGATTCCGCTTGCTCTGTCAGGGAATGCTTCGAACGCAAGACTAAGCCTAAAGCAAAGAAGGGAAGTGAAGTCGCTGCGATCAAGCGATCCCTGATGCGAACAGGCTGAGCACGATGTTCCGAATACTCGTAGTCGTAGTACGACGTCCAGTCATTGCATCTTCGCCATCCTTGTTCCCCCCTTGACACAACAAGCCTATACTACTCCACATTGCACTGAAATGCTATGAACATGGTCGTGGTTAAAGCGGCATGCCGTCGGGATTGTGTTCCCACAGATGTAAGTCGCAACAATTCCCCGGAGGCTTTGCCAACGATAACAACACCGTCGGCATCAAGCTGCCGTGAAAACCGGGGTTATTTCCGCGCCAGACTTCACAGGGCTGTCGCGACATACACGAGGTCTATCACGACATCTGCCGCTGTTATACAAAGAGACGAATCAGAAGGGATTTCATTCAAAAGGGGAGTTAGAGAGCGGCTTTCGGTGATGTCTTACCCGACGAGCGGATTGCATGCAGGTTCAAGTGCGCATCACGTCTTGGCACCGCTACCATGAGGTAATGTCTACTGTCAGCTGTTGGACCTTGTCGGCTTCGTGAAGCTTGTCAAGTATATCAGGCTGAAGAGAGTTAGCAAATGTACGTGGCGAACCGCAAAAAGAGTCTTGGCAACGGCCCATCGGCACAAGCTCAGTCGCTTGGGTCTCGGAGCAGTGACTGGGCTTGGGAGTACCTGAAGTTGCCATTGCGATATTGCAAGACTCGAGCTGTGATATCGCGATAGCGCGACCGTCATATTCCAAAGCAGTCCAAGCAACTTGCCTATGCAGACTGCAGCAAGACAACCAATTCTAAAGATAAAGCAGGTACTCGTACTGGATACAGAGTACGCATTGGGCAATCGCATGAGGAAGAAAACGGGTTCTGTACATGTTGGCATTCTGAACTTATAGACAGCTACCTCCTGTACACTAAGAGTATTCAAGACTAACGGGATATATTACATCAGAGCCTAATTGTCTTCTCTGTGAATGGAATAAGCCTGATTGGTGCTGCAAGTCCATAAGGCTGACCGCCATAACTATCCGCATACCGTGATTGTTCCCATGATTGGGTGACATTGACTTGAAGCAACCGGTTTCTCAAAGTTGACGTGACCTCAATTTTGACATCATTTACACCGCGTTTCAAGTAAGGTGTGATGTCGACAATTGCATCTGTGACATCAATTGGGCCAGTCCATTCATTGTTGATCCAAAGACGGACAGTGTTGAACACGGGACCCAGGTCCAGCAGAGCACCATTGATGGCGCCTTGGGGCGCCCAAGCGAAACGAGATGTGTACGTACCAATTCCAGACGTGTTTTCGAGGCCAGTGATGTTGTACCACGGAACAAGATTCGCAAGCTTCAAAGTGTGGTACTGGTATGTGGAGGTGTAATTGTGAAATTTGTCCGGGTTCGGAAGCCAATCTTGAATCGTGACATTCCATGGACCGAGTTCCGACACAGTTGATTGCTCGCCGAGGCCTCTCAGGGTGAATTCTAGGCCATTGCTCAGGATGATCTGCTTGTCTCCTTTCGAATAAGAACGAGCGATAATGGAGTGACTGCTTCCAGCGTAGCTCAGATACTCGACATCTGATTTGACGACGTGCACATCTGGCACACGAACATCTGTGAAGAAGCCATGGGGAGCAAATGCTAATATGGTAGACTGGTTTGACCGAAGCTCGATCCAGATATTGAACCTGTCTCCAGATGTTGTATAATTAACCACCGGGGTGATGGCACCTGTCCAAGCATCCAAGGTATACGGAACTCCCTGTCCTCTGATGGAAGCTTCCGTGGCGTGATCCTCGTAGATGTCCGAGTTGTATACCCAGTAGTAGTCCACATGGTTGTCCTTGTCAATCCTGTGCACATACAGGATGGGGGCCGGAGCAAGGTTTTTCGCCGCCGGCTCCACGTTTAATGCCGCCAAAGCGTCAACGACTTCGTTCTCCGACTGTAAGGTCCTGACTGAGGGATGTTTGAGCAGCTCCTGAATGCCTTGTTTCACACGCTGGTCGCATGAGTCGCAGTAGTATGGAGTTGTCTCAGGCACACCGCCGACGAACAGTATGGGAAACCCGTGGCTGGCATACTCTTGAAATTTATCAAGAGCTGCGGAAGTAATGTTGGTTGAATTGTCGACAATGAAAGCGGAAAACCCTGGACCGCTCTCTGCCAGCAATCCATTTGTGATGACTGCGTGATCCTGAAGATGGGAGCTGTGTTAGCATCGAGGAGACATGCATCCGATTAGGTAGCCATACCAATTTCAGCAGCGAGGGGCTTACAGAGACGTAAGAATACCCGGCATTCTGCAGTGACTGATCCCCAAATACGTTTTCTCCCATATTGTAGTGCTTGATGTCGACCGAGAGATACTTGTGACGGTATATGCCAATATCTACTCTTGGATTGCCAGACTGGAGGATCAGCTGTGTCCTCGCAATCCAGTCGCCCATCTCCTTGACGTGCGACCAACTGGGCTGTCTGGGACCCCACATCTCCGAATACAACCATTCGAAGGTGGTAAGGTCAGGCCATTCGACCTCTGGCCGAAGCCCAGAGTAAGGGAAGCCATGAGTGACGATGCGGTTGACGCCGCCCGCGTAATTGATCTTGCAGTCATTGAGGATAACGGGCCAGGTGATTGCGTACGACTCATAACGGTGCGCCCCGAGCTCGCTGGAAAAGATTTGCTTTTTGCCCATCATGGCACCGCCACCCATGGCGCGGAAGGCATCGATTACACCATCAAAATAGTTCGACTCCGTCTCAGGCGCGTCAATGTGTGCAGCTGCCGAGTTCATATCCCATGGCGGCGCTGCGTTTGGCGCTGTGGCATAAGGCTGCAGGCTTCCTTGGAGGCCCCATTTGCTTGTCCACTTGGAGAGACCGTCTAGGTGATACCGCTCATACATTTCCTGAAGACACTGGTAATAGTCATTCCGTAACTTCCAGCTGATGTCCGTTCCGTTGGCATGGCTGTTGAAAGCGTAGTAAAAGTAACCATTTGCGAGTGTGCTGGGTGGAAGTCCATTCGTCCCAAAGAGTGCCGGCAAAGCCGGGGTAATATCATAACCCCGTGTTTTGCGAAAGAACGAGCGCAGCTCATCAGTCCAGAACAGCGTTGCACGGAATTCTGCTGAGTCCTCCCACGCATACAGCCCGAGCTGTCTCAAGAGATCGCCGTTCCCGCCATTCATCACGTATTCTTCAGTAAAGCTCGTCCAGAGATCCGTCCCTTCTTGGCTGAAGTGATCAATGACATAGGCAAACCAAGATGCCGGGTTCCGAGCATCAGTTGCGTTGTTGAAGGCGCCCTGAGCAGCAAGGTAGCCAGTCCGGCGCTGGTAGAAGGCGAATAGAACGTAGTTGTTTCCGTCAGCTGGCGTGTTATAGTGCAATTTGCCGTTTATGATTGTGCTTGTGACGTCTATAACACTGTCGAAGTCGAGCTGAACTACTCGAGGATCTTGCGAGGGCACTTGAAGACCGTTAGAAGCAATCGTAGTCAGCACACAAGCTTGGAAATGCAGGGTCGTTCTCATTCGTTCTGACTCACCTTTGCTTTTCCGCGCAACAACAGCAGCGACGAATTTGTTTGTGAAGTTAATAGAGGGAGCAACAAAATCCGGCTTGTTCGCATAGCCAGCATCTGTTCGACCAGGTGGGGGAATATCGCCGTTATAAACTTGTCCTGAGGCCAAGGCTGCACTACCATATGCTAACTCGGTATTCATTCCAGGAGAGTCAGGATTCAGGATTGGGATCGAGGCGCCCTGCGTTGGCCCCAAGGCAAAGTCAATGAGAAGGTTCAAGTCTTTGGAAGCTCTCAACATGGTGTTGAACTTTTGGCGCCATTTCTCGCCTCCATAACCATATATCGCCGGGTCAACTACAGCCGGCTCGATGCCATAATTTTCCAAGCAGATGATCTTAACCCCTCCCTATCCTGCCTCCTTAATTTACTGCAAATCTGCGTATAAGACATCGTCGTCCACATCAGCATCTGGAACCCAATAGCGAAATGCTGGCCGAGCCAAGCCCTTAGGATTAGCAAACTCAGAAGGAACATTATAGTTAACCCATGGAGCTGGACGACTACTGAACCCTGGGTTTTTGCTGGCACTTGTCGCAACGTTTCCCACAACTACTAGAACAGACAGTAACAACAATAACACCCTCATCTTAATCTTAATTCCTCTTAAACACAAATTAATAGGCTAAGATGGCGCTCTGCTGTTAGCATATTAGCGATAGCAAACGCACAGGTACTAACTGCTATGTAAGACAATCGGTGCTTATAACCTCCGTATAGTTTACTTTATTTAACATAACACTGCCACGTGGGGCTGGCATAATTAAGATTAAGTGAAAATCACACTATTATAACCCTGCATCGAATCTTTAACAGTAGTTCCCTTTATGACCCCTCGCTATCGGGTCAAAGTGCGGGTTAAAGCACACTTAGGGTTAGGTTAGGGTTAGGGTTAGGGTTAGGGTTAGGGTTAGGGTTAGGGTTAGGGTTAGGGTTAGGGTTAGGGTTAGGTTAGGGTTAGGGTTAGGGTTAGGGTTAGGGTTAGGG